CCACCGGCCGTCCTCCTCCCCTCCTCATTGCCCCCCTTCCTCCCATCAAGTCAAGGCGAGAGGTGCCATCACTGATAGCAAAGGCCCTGACAGCACATGATCCAAGCATGCTTTGTAACACCAGCCGTCCTCCTCCCCTCCTCATTGCCCCCCTTCCTCCCGTCATCCGCCCCCTCAGTCTCCCTTACCTTCCTCCACTTGCTTCCCACCCTCTCCCCACCCTATCAGCCACAAGTCAAGGCGGGAGGTGCCATCACTGATAGCAAAGGCCCTCATCGCACATCATCCCAGCCTGCTTCCTTCCACGGGCCTTCCTCTCCCCCCCTGTTCCTCCTCTCGTCCCCCCTCCCCATATTACTGATCAGCCACAAGACTAGGCGGGAGGTGCCATCACTGATAGCAAAGGCCCTCATCGCACAGCATCCCAGCCTGCTTTCTACCACGGGCCTTCCTCCTCTCCCTTCATTGCCCCCCATCCGCCCCTCATCCGACCCCTCCGTCCCATTCCAGCCTGCTTCCTCATTCCCCCCTTCCGCCCCTCATCCCTCCCTTCCGTCCCATTCCTCCCCTCCTCGCCTCATCCCCATATTACCGATCAGCCACAAGACTAGGCGGGAGGTGCCATCACTGATAGCAAAGGCTCTGGTCGCACATGATCCCAGCCTGCTTCCTTCCACCCACCTTCCTCGCACGCTCCTCTATGCTCCCCTTCCGCCCCTCATCCGCCCCTTCCGTCCCATTACTTCAGCCACAAGACTAGACGGGAGGTGCCATCGCTGATAGCAAAGGCTCTAATCGCACAAGACCCCAGCCTGCTTTCCACCATGGGCCGTAAGAAACCTGGAAAAGAAGGGGAACTGGGGGAAGGCGGGGATGAGGGGGAAGAGGAGGAAGGGGAGGAAAGGGAGGAAGGGGGGGAAGTTGGAGAGGACGGTGGGGCAGGGGAAAAGGAGGGTGTTCCTCGAAAAACGGACCCTATAAAAGCACTTGCGGCAAAGGTTAGCCGGTTTTTGCGGTCGCAGGGGTTGAAGAGAAGCAAGGTGGAAGCAGCTGATGCTGGTGCTGGTGATGGGGTTGGAGGTGATGGTGGTGGTATGGCAGTGGATGAGGAAGCAGTTGGTGGGAAAGCAAAGGCTGGGAAGGACAAGTCTGGGAAGGCTATGCGTGGTAGGACACGGGTGAATATAGGGAAGAAGGGAAGGAGGAGGCATCTGGTGTTTGATAGTGACTCTGAGGAGGATGGTGGTGGGGAGGTGAGTGAGGGAGAGAGTGAGGGAGGGAGTGAGGGAGAGAGTGAGATGGAGGAAGAGATTGGTTTGGAGGAGATGGAGGGAGGGGAGGGGGGTTGGGGGGCTGGGGAGAAGGGGGAAAGCAAGGAAGGAGAGAAGAAGCAAGGAAGTGCAGAGGAAGGTGTGCAAATCGGTGGAGAGGGAAAGGAGAGGAGAACCGAGAGGAGAGAAGGCGTGGGGTTGAAAATCGGGAGGAAGATTCGCAACAATCTCCCATTCACAGATGAGGATGATGCAATGATAAGAAGTCTATTCAGCAGCAGCAACAGCAGCAGCAGGACGAGTAAGGGCAGGAGAGGCAAAGCGGCAGTTGCGAAAGAGATTGCTAAGGCCATGGGAGGGAAGTTTTCAGTTGCCCGGGTTGCGCAGAGGATTCAGTTTCTTGGGCTGCCCGAGGAGGATGGAACGGGCAGGAAGAGGAGTGAGAGGAGGAGACGAGGGAGTGGGAATGGGTTTGATGAGATTTTAAAAGACGTGGCTGATGGAGAGGAGGGAGAGGAGAGGGAGGAGGGAAAGAAGGAAGACAGAGAGTCAGAGGACGAGGAAGAGGAAGGAGGAGGGGAGGAAGCAGTGGGAGGAGAGGAAGGAGAGGGGGGTCTCGTGGAGGATGAAAGGGAGGAGGAGGAGAGTAGTGAGGATGAGGAGAATGTGCTGCTGAGCAAGAGACAGAAGGTGCCGGCTGGTTCTGCTGCTGCTGCTAGAGGAAGGCGAGGAGGAGGGGCTGATGAGACCTCTCAAGAAGAGGCGGAGAATAGTGAGGATGAGGAGAATGTGCTGCTGAGTAAAAGACAGAGGGTATTGGCTGCTGCTGCTAAAGTGAGGCGAGGGCAAAGGAGTGACAGGAGGCAGAGGGGAGGAGCAGCAGCAAGAGGAGGAGAGTTGCGGATGGAGCAAGAGGGCCAGGAAGGGGGAAAGGCTACTGGCAGTGAGGCTGCCAGTGGGAATAGTGCAATGGATTCAGAGAGGGGCAAATGGGGTATCGTTGTCGCAAACAACACGGCTAGCGGTGCTGCTGCTGGAGGGGCTGTTACTGAAAGTGCTCTTATCAAAAGTGCTGCGATTGGAAGTGCTGCTGTGGGAGTGGAAGTGAGGGTGGAGTTGAAGGAGGAAGCCGTAAGAGAGGGCGTTCAAGCAGTACTCGCTGATGGTAAGAGCTCTTCTCCTAACGAGGTGACTTTTGAGTCGACTCAAAAGTCACAAGGGGCATTTTTTAGTTGACTAAAAAGTCACCTCATTGAAGGAGGAAGCCGTAAGAGAGGCCGTTCAAGCAGTGCTCGCTGATGGTAAGAGCTCGTCTCCTCTCTCCTTCCGTTTCTTCCTTATCTTCCTCAACGCCCTCCCTTCTCGCGTCTCGCTTCCCTTCCTCCATGTTTCCTCCATGTTTTCTCGGGCACTCTATGTCTCCTCTTGACTGCTTCTGACACCCATCCTTCAGTGCCCGTGTTTACTTTACCTCCTCTATTTCTCTTCCCTCCCCCCTTCCCCCTCTTCCCCCTCTTCCCCCCTTCCCCGCCCCCCTCCCAACCCCATTTCTCCCTTCCAACAGATTCCTTTGATGGAGCAGAGGCGATCCAATGGCTGCAATCGCGCCTGAAAGCAGCCCACGCCAGCTGGACGGACGCGATCGCTCGAAACAGCTGGCAGCTCCTGCTAATGGACGGTCCAGATTTGCTCAGCAGGAAGGGGAAGAAAAAAGGAGGGAGGGGGAAGGAGAAGGGGAAGAAGGGGAAGAGGAGGAGAGGGCAGGAGGAGGAGGACGAAGAGGAGGAGGAAGGGGAGGGAGGAGAGGAGGAGGGAGATGGGGGGTGGGGGGAAGTTGTGCATGTAGACTTTCCTTTGGTGGAGGAACTGGAAGATTGGGACACAGTGGCCAATGACAGCATGGCGCAGCTGCTGTCAGGTGAGCTGTCTGTTGCTGTCTCCCTAAGGTGCTTTTGGTCTGTTGCTCTCAGGTGATTTTTTTTTTTCCTGTTGCTCTCAGGTGTGCTCTCAGGTGTTGTACACATACACGGATGGTGGAAGAGGGGGGTGCTCGTGCGTGGATGCTTGCATAACCAGTCACATTCCCCTCTGCTCCGTTTCCTCCCTCCCACCAGCGCTGTGCCTGAAGCACCCAGACGAGGCTGACGGCTGCTGGAGAGTCCCCGGGGACAGGGGCACGCAGTGGCTGCTGCACGCTGTGAGCATGCTCACACACATGGTGGAGGGGGAAAAACTTACATACTCAATTCCTCTCTGCTCCGTTTCGTCCCTCCCACCAGCGCTCTGCTTGAAGCACCCTGATGAGGCGGACGGCTGCTGGAGAGTCCCCGGGGACAGGGGCACACAGTGGCTGCTGCACGCTGTGAGCATGCTTGCATCCCTGACCCACCTGCGTTATCTCTCCCTCTTCCCTTCCACGTCTTCCAAACAGCGCTCTGCTTGAAGCACCCTGATGAGGCGGATGGATGCTGGAGAGTGCCCGGGGACAGGGGCACGCAGTGGCTGCTGCACGCTGTGAGCATGCTTGCACGGATGATGGCAGGGGGAAGGTCGTGCGTGGATGGTGGAGGGAGGCTGGAGATGGTTGTTGTGGAGGTGAGAGAGGGAGAGAGTGAGGGAGGGGAGGAGAGACAGGGTGGAGGAGAGAGAGAGGGAGGAGGGGCGGGGAGAGATGGAGGAGCAGAGGGGAGACGAGGGGATTGGAGGGAGGGAGGGGAGGAGAAAGATGGAGGAGAGGAAGAGAGAGGAGGGGAGCATAGAGAGGAAGGAGAGGGGGTTATTAGGGCATGTTTGGGCCCCAGGCACAAGAAGCGGAGAGGGACAGGAGAGACAGGAGAGACAGGAGAGGTACTGCACAAGTCGGGTTTAAACGCCGATGGGGGTAGTGAAGGAGAGGGGGTTGAGTGTGGAGGGGAGAAGGAGAGAGGGGAGGGGAGGGTGGGGGGTGGGGAAGACAGCGGGTATGAGGGAGAGGGCATTACTCTGTCAGCGCGAGTGAAAGAGTCAGGAGGGGATGCGAGTGGGAGGTTCGAAGGGAGCCCGCCAATGGAAGAGGTGGGGAGGGTTGGTGGAAGAGGGAATCCGCGATTAGTGGAAGAGCAGAGGAAAGGGCTTGAAGAGAACAGATGCAGGGATGATCGGGAGGGACAGATTGAAGGAGAATGTAATGATGATCGAGAAGGGGGTAGGCTTGAAGAGGGTGGGAGAAGAGAGGCCCATGCTGGTGTTTCCAGTGGGGAGACGGTTCCTTTAATGCTGGGGGTGTTTGGTGCTAGATCCAAACGGCCTGCTTCCGTGGGTGATGGAGGCTTGGACCGAGCCAAGCGGCTTAGGTTTGATGGTTCGGAGGAGGCTCGGGAGGGATGCTAGGCTCACAGCAGTACATATTGAGGTTGAGAAATAGCCAGAAATACGGTACCGTACGGATACAGAAGTTCTGAATGAGAATTACATGTGAAAAATGCCTAAATCCGCACTGTTGTGCAGTAAATACCGTAAGAGCGCCATGAGGAATCACTTGAAGACCCAGTGTTAGTAGTGTATCTCGGGTTCCTACAGTGCACTATTACCTCTCGCTTGTCCTGTTTCAGGCGGTACTGCATGCAATTTGAACCATCAATACTGTACACATACACGAATCAATTCTCCCTAAAGGCCTACTAAGCACTGCCACACACCCAATAATTTCCCTTCATGAGACGAGCGTTCCTAAAGAAGAAAACAGGTGTTCTACCGCTTAGTAGGATCATCAGGCTCAAGCCTCTTCTGAATGGCAGCAGCTCCCTGAAAGACAAATGCAGGCATGTATGACACAAAATCACACAGGAAGCACACGGTTGATCTTACACAAGCACACAAGGAGCACATGCAATGGGCGGTACACGAGCTGAAGGGCAATGGATGGTGTATGCAGTGGAAGAGCGAGGACAAGACTGTCTTTTGTCTTTTCCTACTAAACAGTGTCTACCTACAGTACTAGACACGGTGATGAAGAGAGGAGTTACCGTAAGAGAACAAAGTTCTGATGTAACGACGTGAGGAGGAAAGGTAACAATGTTCGGAATAATAGAGGTCCAAAGCTAAGAGCAGGAGTGAAATTCACCTCGTAGTTTCCAATTTGATAGAGGAAGCGCAACTCTTCCTTGAGTCGCTCCTGGTCTCTCATTGCTTGCGCCTGGGGAGCAATCAGGAAAAAGGCACAAAAAATGTATGCACGGGGCAAAACGTGAGGAGACAGCACGAACGAATGCACATGATGCAGCCGTGCAGCCATGCACCCATGCACACATGCAGTTATACACCCATGCACCCATGCACCCATGCACCCATGCACCCATGCACCCATGCACCCATGCACCCATGCACCCATGCACCCATGCACCCATGCACCCATGCACCCATGCACCCATGCACCCATGCACCCATGCACCCATGCACCCATGCACCCATGCACCCATGCAGAGGCAGCACCTCCTTCTTCTGCTGGAGGGAGCTATGCACCTGGTGCGGAGAATCTCAACACCTACACAACCCCCGCAACCCCCCAGTACCCTTCACAACCGCTTTCAAACCCCACAGAACCCCTCATTCTCACCATGCCCGACTCCATGCTTCGCTTGAGCGCCAGCACCTCCTCCTCCTTCTGCTTCTCCCTCGCGCGGCGAATCTCCTCCCTGCCATGAAAGGCAAGGCGGGGCAGAGAGCGCACAGGCAGGATTCACACGTGGCAGGGACAGCAGCAGCACACGTGCCAACACAGGGAGGTTGAAGTGGAAAAGTGGTTGAGCACAAAGGCCGGATCAAACAGTAACATGCCAACAAGTCAACAAGACGGCACAGGAAGCACAGTGAATGCGTCAACAAGTCAGTAAATCCCACAACCGCATCTCACCTCCTCATATCTTCATCATTAAACTCTGTCATCTCCTTTCCAGAAGGCTTGTCGGGCTGTCCCTTCCTCTTCGTCATCTGCTGATGCTCCCATGCTGCCAGGTTGTAATACCTGCCAGAAACAGATGCGTTGGGACGGAGAAGTGGGCAGGGGGACATGGTTGGGCATGTACAGTACAGAGCGCCTAGAAGATACTTCGTCATCTGCTGATGCTCCCATGCCGCTAAGTTGTAATACCTGATGGAAACCAGGCGTGTTGAAATCGACAGGGGGACAAGGGGGGAGTATTGGGCATGTTCAGGACGCCTAGAAGATAACTTTTCATTTGCTCACTCACACTGAGGTCGTTTTTGAGGCGCCTCAAAAACGACCTCGAAGATATCTTTTCATTTGCTCACTCACACTCCCATGCTGCTAAGTAGTAGAGCCAGAAAAAAGGCAGATGCGTTGTCGTGCCTGACAGAAGCAGGGGGCTCGAAGCAGATTGGGGGAAGGGGGAGGGACAGGGTTAGGGTAACAGCAGCAACCTGATGCTGGACAGGGACAGCACCCTGACAGGGACAGTGGTGTATATCCGGCAATAATAGGTCCAGAAACTTTAGAAGCCAGCACAACAAAGTTCTGCAGCCCTGGCTCGTGTTGACATGGACTCGTTACAGAGGGACTCACTTCTTGGATGGGAACGTGGCGGTGTTGTGGTCTTCCATGAACTCCTTGAATAGGTTCTTCTCCTCAAACCCGCTCAATTGCTCCAGATTCGCCTGCAGTGAGACACCACACACACACACAGCCGCACCCATACCCACAGACACAGACACAGACACACACACACACACACACACACACACACACACACACACACACACACACCCCCGCCCACCCAGCCACCCAGCCACCCCGCCCCCACCCCCCCACACCCCCCCCCCCCCCCAACACCCACACCCACACCCACCCCCACCCACCCACCCACCCACCCCCACACACACACGCACACACACACACACACACACACATACACACACACACCCACCCATCCACACACCCACCCATCCACACACCCATGTCAATGAAAGAAGGGCGAGACCTGACAAGAGACCATGGTATACGGCCAAGGAGGGGACATGGGAAGCAGTGCAAGCGTGAGAGTCAAGAAAGTCAACAAGGGGAGATCCAGGACAGGGGGCAGGGTGAGGGAGCCTGGGAGGGGGCGGGTTGGAGGAGAGAAAAAGCGACAGCGCGAGGTTCAAAACGAGAATGTGAATGGGAGATTTCACCTTTTTCACTTCAGCCAACCAGGCGCTGAACTCGGGTCGTTTGCTCCTGCGAGACAAAGAAGGCATAGCAAAGAAAAGATGGGCACTTCTTCAGACAGCAGCAGCAACAAAAAAAGCAGAAGCAGCAGCAGCAGCAGCAGCAGTGATGATGGTAAGGAGGATGCATTGGTACAAACGATTTGAATGTGAGAGTTAATTTCGCCAAAGGTGGAAAGCCGAACGAGGTTCATGATCCTGGGTATACACGCAAAATTTTCAACAGTACTCACACTCAAGATGAATCACACTCACCACATGTCCACTTCTCGTATGATGCCGTATTTCCCATACTCTGTGACCGGCCCTTTGGACTTGGCCTCTTTCCTAGCCTTCCTCTTTGCCTTCTTCTTCTCCCTCTTCTCCTCCTTCTTCTTCTCCTTCTTCTTCCTCCTCGTCTCCTTCCTCTTCTTCTCTCTCTCCTTCCCCTTCTTCCTCTGCTCTCTCTCCTTCCTCCTCCTTTCTAGCCTCCTCTCATCTGTCTCACTCCCACTGCTCTCCGACGTGGTCTCGTCTTCCTCCTCGTCCTCCTCTCCGTCATCATCGCTCCCTCTCCTCCTCTTCTTCTTCTTCCTTGACTTGCTCCCTTCCTTTGACCTCCTCTTCTCTCTCCTTGCTCTCTTTCTCTCCCTCCTCTCCTCCTCGCTATCTTCCGAACTCTCATCATCACTCTCACTTCCACTCTCGCTCCCACTCTCACTTTCACTCTCACTCTCACTTTCACTACTAGAATCCTTCCTTCGCCGCTTCCCCTTCCCCTTATCCTTCTCCTTCCCCTTCCTGTGACGCCCACTGCTCTTCTCCTTCTCTTTCTCCTTCTCCTTCCCCTTCCCCTTCCCTTTCTCCTGATCCTCTTTCTCCTTACCCCCGCTCCCATCACTCTCCGATCCCCCCCATTCATCACTCTCCTGTCTCGTCTTCTTCCTCTCCTCCTCTTCCTTTGCATCTGCATCCTCACCGTCTGGCCCTTTCCCCTTCCTTTCACGGTCCCTAATCTCCTTGCTCCTACCTCTCTCCCTTTCCCTATCCCGCTTATTTGAGTCCGGATGCCGATTTTCCCCTTTCCCTCCTCGTTCCCGTGAATTCTCATCGTCCTCCTTTCCCCGAATATCCCGTGCGCCTTCGCGACTTCGCCGTCCTTTTTTGCCCTCCATCTCGTCCTCGTCAGATCCCATGACGGTTCGGATCTAGCACGAAGGAACTAGCTTGTTACGACCACAGATATTGTAAAAGATTCAAAACGGGAACAGAAGCAAAATGCCTTCACCTTAGGGTTTACAAAATAGGCTTTCCAGGCTTTAGCGGCTTGAGCTCGAAAAAGCCGCTGCAAAAGGTTTGACCCAACATTGTACTCGATACGGTACAGAGCAAAGTTACGGATTTCTGGCAATTACAGTAGCATAATGTATTTTACTGCAAGCATCGCTGAAGTTGTGTAGTGCTCCCGTTTGCGCTTTTGCCCATCAGACCAGCTCAGCTTTCGCTTTGTCACTGACATAAAGGATTTTCGCCAGCTGTGATTCTCTCCAGCCAATGAAGTGCAGAAATTCTCTGCAAGCGTGAAGGTGATTCGCGACCATCTGAAGAATCGCGATACGCGACAGAGCTACAGATTCGGTGACGAAACTCGTCGATGCCAGCGAGCCATTGCGAAAAACCTCACGCTTTCGTGAGCCTAATCCAGACCGAGTCCACTGCCAGCACCACAGCCACGTGCTCCACATCCCACTGATCACGGTTATCAAATTTGTGGCTTGGCTTGAAAAATCCACGGCCAGAATGTTCGGGCCTCGTCAACATCGATGTGTCCGTTGTCATGACACGATTCCCTGTAGTGCCCCCTGTACCCTTTTCTTCCCACGCCCATCATGCTCTCGCGCAATCCCATCCCATCCAGCCTTGATCCTGTCAGGGCTGGTCGACTTTGAAATCTCCATCTTGGGACCTCCATAACTTCCACTTCTAGAGTCCTAACAAGCTACCAAACTTTCCAGGCTGAGCGGGCTGTCCTAGGACTATCCTATAGGTTCGAGTAGACTTCAACACAAGCCGGTCAAGAACCTTAGCTGGTTAGCTTAGTCTACGACCGTAGCTTAGCCTGCCGTCAGTAGTAATTTCTTCAACAACCAGGTCGGTTTTTATTTTGAATTGTTTTGTTTTTGTGTTATAGAATCTTCCGCGGCGACCTGGAGACATTTTTCACGTCCTTTACAAGTCGTGTCCACTGCGCGTAAGGTCTTGATTAGCTCGGAATTGTCACCGGTGGTAGATTTACCTTGTCAGAAGCAACTCACTCAAGCGGAACGAAGATGGAATCTTCGGAACCGAAACAGCAGTGGGTTTCAGCAGAACCGAATGTCATGACGCTGGCCTCCATTTCGCTCAGCCTCAACTCCAACCTTTTCTCTCAGCACACTGCATTAACGGCTGGTTACCTGAACACGAGCAAGGACAGTACGAGTCGGGTTGACGACAACAGGAATCTTCCGTCAGCAATCAAGCGTTCAGCCTCGAGAACGTCAGACGAGCTCCCGTATCTTGACGATGTTCGTGACGACAGTCGTCAGCCTCAGCCACTGGTCGTGGCAAAGGGAGGGCTTACGGACGGTCACCTGTTGGGAGCGTCTGATAAGAATGCTGGGAGCTTGGTGACGATGTCATCAGGAGGCAATGCTGGCGGCCTCGGGCGAATGCTGAACGATCTTTTCCGCAGCAACCGGGGAATCACCCCCTTAGGTCAGTTCGGTTACAATTTTTACCCCTCGTTCGCTCGAATCCGCCAGAGCTCCTTCTTGCTTCTTCCTCGTCCAAGATGGTGCAGTTTTATCATTACCTTTGTCCTCAGGTGCGCAGCATTCTCTATGTGCCTCTTTTTCATGTCTCCTCCGCAATAGGTTATCGCCGCGGCCGCGGATCAATCAAAGACTGGCGGCATGGGCGGTACGAATCCGCCAAGTTCGACGTGGAGCACGCGGCGACGGCAATAACAGAACCGGAGAAGAAAGTGGCAGACGCCGAGCGCAAGAAGCGCGTTCTCATTCTCATGAGCGACACCGGTGGAGGTCACCGCGCCAGTGCTGAGGCGATCAAGTCGACCTTCGAGCTGGAATACGGAGACAAGTACGAGGTGAGTCAGACACAGAGCCAGAGAACAGTTTTTGTGTCAGCAATGTGTCTGCAAAACGTTGGAACAAGATTGTTGCGTCTGTTGGTTTGATGCTTAAGCCCAATGTGTAACTTTTCACGCACAAGGCTTGAGCACATTTGAGAAGGGGAAGAACGAAATGGAACGCTGTCGCATTGCGACTGGATCACGTGCGACGGCGTTCTCTCTGTTTCCTGTTTCTTTTCCGCCAGGTGACCATCATCGACCTGTGGAAGGAGCACACGCCGTGGCCCTTCAACCAGATGCCCAAGAGCTACAGCTTCCTCGTGCGCCACGAGACGCTGTGGAAGGTGGCGTTCTACGCCACTAAGCCCAAGTTCGTGCACCAGCCGCAGATGGCTGCGACCTCCGCGTTCGTTGCAAGGTGAGAGGGGGGGATGGATTGGAGTGTGTTGCTCGAGCCTGAAAGCACATTAGCGTGGGTCTGGGTGCCTCGAAGCACACAAGCGCGTTAATCATTCCCCACGAGACGCTCTAGAAGGAGCTACAGTTTCCTCGTGCGCCACGAGACGCTGTGGAAGGTGGCGTTCTACGCCACCAAGCCCAAGTTCGTGCACCAGCCGCAGATGGCTGCGACCTCCGCGTTCGTTGCAAGGTGAGGGGGGGGGATGGATTGGAGTGTGTTGCTCGAGCCTGAAAGCACATCGTGGGTCTGGGTGCCTCGAAGCACACAAGCGCGTTAATCATTCCCCATGAGACGCTCTAGAAGGAGCTACAGCTTCCTCGTGCGCCACGAGACGCTGTGGAAGGTGGCGTTCTACACCACCAAGCCCAAGTTCGTGCACCAGCCGCAGATGGCTGCGACTTCGGCCTTCGTTGCAAGGTGACGGAGGGGGGGGAGTGGAAGTATTACACGTTCTCTAAGAGCGATTAACAACAGACTTGGTGTGGCCTCCTCAAAGGAATGCGGCAATGTACGACACCAAACCCAAGTTTTTCTAGACGTAGTGAACAAAGATTTCTCTAAAGGTATACTGTGCCGTCGTTCATCTTAAGCGAGCACAGTTGTTCCCTCCGATCCTTTCCCATCTCCCTTTTCCTGGTCTTGTCTCCACGTACCATCAGGGAGGTGTCCAAGGGGTTGGACAAGTACAAGCCGGACGTGATAGTGAGCGTGCACCCGCTCATGCAGCATATCCCTCTGCGCGTTTTGGCGCTATCTGGTTTCCAGCCGTCACTCTATCGATCCCCTTTCCCCTTTCCGACCCGCGCCCTCCCTTCCCCTCTTTCCCCTCTCCTTCCTGGTGCTTCCGTGTTCCATCAGGGAGGTATCCAAGGGGTTGGACAAATACAAGCCGGACGTGATAGTGAGCGTGCATCCGCTCATGCAGCACATCCCTCTGCGCGTGCTTCGCTCTCGAGGCCTGCTGCACCGCATCCCCTTCACCACTGTCGTCACCGACCTCACCACATGCCACCCCACCTGGTGAGACATTAGGCGTCTTGACAGTAGACGTTTTTGGCGTTCCAGAATGTGAAACGCTGGAGGAATTCAAAGAGTATCTTTCAACCACGTTGTCACTTCTTCACCATCGTTGTCACTGACCTCACCACATGCCACTCCACCTGGTGTGTTTCTTGCTGTCCGCCTGGCTTGAACCTTACACATATTGGTGAAACATAGAACACCAGAGGAGACCCAGCAAGATTCTGAGTGTCCTACAAGTGCCTTCCTGCTCCATCTTGTACTCTTTTACCTGCCTTACCATCTGATTAGGTCACCTTCTCATGGGTCAAGAGAATGACATCCCACACAGCTCTGAAAGCCTTCTTCTCTACCACCTTCCTTCAGGTTCCACCGCCTGGTGACGGTGTGCTTCTGCCCCACCAAGGACGTGGCTCAACGAGCTCTCAAGGCGGGCCTGCAGCCGCCTCAGATCAGAGTGCACGGGCTGCCCATCCGACCAGCCTTTGCCAAGCCCTCAGCTCCCAAGGTATGCTGGAATCACTTCTGAGATTATTAAAAGCTCTCAAGGCAGGCCTACAGCCACCTCAGATCAGAGTACACGGGCTGCCCATCCGACCAGCCTTCGCCAAGCCCTCAGCTCCCAAGGTATATTGGAATCAGTTCTGAGAAGTTTCAAAAGCTCTCAAGGTGGGCCTGAATCTGCCACAGCTCATACCAGAGTACATGGGCTGCCCATCCGACCAGCCTTCGCCAAACCCTCAGCCCCCAAGGTATATTGGAATCACTTCTGAGAAATTTTTAAAGCTCTCAAGATGGGCCAGAAGCAGCCTCAGATTAGAGCACATGGGCTGCCCATCCGACCAGCCTTCGCCAAACCCTCAGTTCCCAAGGTGCTCCTTCTACCTCTGGTTATCCCACCTTTGGCATTCTGTCCCCTTCCTTTCCCCCCTCCCCCACCCACCGTGTTTCATCACTTTTTTCCTGCACCCTGCCCCACTTCATGCTCCCTTCGTCTGAGATGCTATGACTTTCCTTTTCCTCCTTTGCAAATCTCCACCTCAATCCGTCTTTATGCCCAACTGACACAACCCCCCATCCACCGTATTCCCTGCAACAGGACGAGCTGCGCCAGGCATTGGGCATGGACCCTGACCTCCCAGCAGCGCTGCTGATCGGCGGAGGGGAGGGCATGGGCCCTGTGGAGGCAACAGCAAAAGCTGGCAGCCAACCTGGCGCCATCGGGTGGTGGGGAGGCGGTGGCCAAGGGGCAACTGGTGGTGATCTGCGGCCGCAACAAGAAGATGCTGGCCAAGCTGGTTCAGGCCTCCCCCCTACCTCTCACACCGCCCTCTCCATTCTTCCCTTCTGTCTCCCCCCCAACCCCCCTCCCCCCTCATTTCCTCCAACAGGATGAGCTGCGCCGGGCGTTGGGCATGGACCTTGACCTCCCAGCGGTGCTGCTGATCGGCGGAGGGGAGGGCATGGGCCCTGTGGAGGCGACAGCAAAGGCGTTGGCAGCCACGCTCGCACCTGCTGGTGGTGGTGAACCTGTGGCCAAGGGGCAGCTGGTGGTGATCTGCGGCCGCAACAAGAAGCTGCTCGCCAAGCTGCAGGCTGTCAAGTGGCCCTTGCCTGTTCTGGTGCGTGTGGGAGTCGAACGAGAGTTGGATGCGTGTTTGATGGATGTTGGGAACGGTTTTTGGGTCAGGAGGGGTAGCCGGTGGTGAAGCGGTGGCCAAGGGGCAGCTGGTGGTGATCTGCGGCCGCAACAAGAAGCTGCTGGCCAAGCTCCGGGCTGTCAAGTGGCCCTTGCCTGTTCTGGTGCGTGTGCGATTAATCGGTTGGATGCGTGTTTGGTGAGTGTTGGGAACGGTGCTTGGATCAGGGTGGGTAGCTGGTGGGGCGGTGGTGGCCAAGGAGCAGCTGGTGGTGATCTGCCCCGCAATTAGAAGCTGCTCACCAAGCTGCAGGCGGTCAAGTGGCCCTTGCCTGTTCTGGTGCGTGCAGGGGATTGAATGACTGAGATATGAGTGTTGGGAGGGTGTTTGGATCAGGATGGGTAGCTGATGGGGATTGGGATTTATTCGGCTGTGAGCATCAGGGTGGGTAGCAGCAGATGGGTATTGGGTTAAACTGTTGCGCATGATGAATCTTAATGCACGGTTTAACCATGCTGGCTGAAATTTCCATGAGGTGCCCCCGTCCCCAAAGTCATGCCGCATTTTCCGCTACGCATTCAATCTCTTCCCCATGGTCTCCTCACTTCCCCATGGTCTCCTCACTTCCCCATGGTCTCCTCAGTTCCTGTTGCCACTTTGTTCCCCGTTCACACACTTTGCCCTTGTTGCAGCTGAAAGGCTTTGTGACCAACATGCCTGATGTCATGGCCGCATGTGATTGCATCATCACTAAGGTTAGTGTTGTTTCTGCATGCTGCCATGCAACTGTGTTACTACCCTGTTAGTGATGGTCAGTGCTGCGCTTGGTGTGTTTGCATTTGGTCAGTTCTACGACCGTGCATGGCCTAATCATCAACCAGCAAACCCATCACCTCCGTCATCCTATTCTGACAAGTTTTGGCTCTGAGCATATTATTCCTGCTGTCTTTTTATGTCAAACGTCTTCTGCAACCTTCCTTTTAAATGCCTCTGTGCAGGCTGGTCCTGGCACAATAGCTGAATCCATGATCCGGGGTCTGCCCATGGTGCTCAATGACTTTATTGCAGGACAGGTGAGTGTTTTTTTCTCCATATTGTTGACTGGGTGTCCCAGATCCCAGCCCACATATTAGTAATGCGACAATTCTGTGCTGGGTTTCCTATTCATGTCCCTGGCCCCCTCAGGAAGCTGGAAATGTTCCATATGTTGTCGACAATGGCACCGGACTGTTTGAGGAGAACCCCAAGGAGATTGCAAACATTGTGGCGGACTGGTTTGGGCCCAAGGCAGACCAGTTCAAACAGATGGCTGCCAACGCACTCCGCATTGCTCGACCGGATGCGGTCTTTCGCATTGTGCGAGATCTGGACCAGCTTGCTTGTCGACCCCACACCCTTGACAATGTCACATTTGCTTTCACTTGATAGTCATGGCTAGTCCTGATTTTCTTGAAAGCAGATAGTTGATATATCTGACAAGAGTCAACTTCCCTGGTAGGGATTTGTGATGCTGTTTGCTTATGAATCAAGGGTTGGTTTTCCATATGGAGAATGTGATAAGGGGGTGTCACCAACTGACAAGTCTGGTCATTTTGGCGACAGTAAGGGCGTGTCTAAGTCCGACATACGACCAGGTTGCCACAGTTACTGATTTCGCGGTTTGGGCAAACCTTCGCTTGACTCGCCACGCACATTCGTTCCACGTCCCGTGCGCCAAGCGAGTCGTGCTGTTCTTGCCACCAATTCGTCCTGTCTCTCCATGTCGAGGACTAAGGTGGACCCAATGGGATAGGAGTTTCCATCAGCGCCATTCGCGAATATTTGCGAAGCACTCCCTCCCCAGGCGACCATTATTTGCTCGACAATATCAACCCCCAAAAAGGATATCAACAGCACCAAACACGTGGGTGATATGGTCCGGTTGTTGCCTGTCCTATGTCAAGTGTCAGACACTTGCCAACCACATGGTTGATCTATTCACTTGAGAGGAGACTCAACTTCTGTGCTTGCCTTATCCCTCGGATTCGTTAGTGGTCGGGGCCTGTCTGCTGATGAGCGAGCTTGAGATTCCGTCGGCCATCTCTAGGTTGCGCTTTCCCGTCTGATGGCAGGCTCAACGTGGAAGTATAATATTGGCCTGCTGCTTATTCTTCTTGTAGTGTTCATCTGGGTTACCTCTGCTGAGGTGACACAGGTAAGCCTGTAGTTTTCGTAGTACCTCGCTTTTTCGTCTGTCGCCTCTGTCAGCTGTAAATAACCGTGTCTTCTTCGTGCAGCTTATTTTCGAAAAATACAGGCACCCGTTCCTGCTCACGTGGCTCGGTGCGGCACTGTTGGTCATCTACCTCCCGATCGCCTACCTTAGGGAGTGCATCACCCCTCTAATAAGCAAACCTAGTTCCGGCGTACCCGGCGCGACCTCAAAATCCCATAAGGATCTCAAGAGTCACTCGAGCGGCGGCGAATTGCAACGACTTAAGAATGAGCCTCGGCATCACAAGAGGCCCTCGAAGCCTCCACGCGAGATTGATGACAACTCAATGGATGAAGAAAGCGACCTGGACACAGAATTGCTTCTTCAAAAGTCTCTATCGGATATCGCACAACCCGTTCGTACCGCCAAACTTTCCACCCGGGAGATCATTAAGTGTGCTCTCGTCCTGGCACCCCTCTGGTTGCTTACGGAGGTCCGCTCGCATCCCAGCCCGTCGCCCTTTGCTCAACTTTGCTGCTCTTCTTGTTCCCTTTGCTATCATGTTTTTGGATATTGAGATGCTTTGTTTGTTCCATGCAGTACCTGTCAAACGCCGCTCTGTCAATGACAAGCGTGGCCAGCACAACCATTCTTTCGTCGACTTCAGGCCTTTTCACTCTCCTTTTCGGGGTTACTTTAGGAAACGAGAAGTTAACAACGGCCAAGGTGGTTGCAGTCCTGGTGAGCATAGCTGGGGTGGTCATGACTGAGCTCGGCAAAAGTACTGCAGCGGATGATAGCGAGGTGTTTGGTGACGATGCAAGAAATCCTGGCGAAGGAGCTGGTCAATATGTGTAAGTCTTATGTCTACACACTCTGATAGTTTGCCTGGTTGTGTTTTGTGTATGATGATCGTCCGGCGAGCTGTCTTTCTCACTCGTTGTCCGTTGCAGGTTACCGAGTCAACATCTTGTTGGTGATATATTTGGCCTCCTATCTGCAGTTTCCTATGGAGTATACACAAGTAAGCCCTTTGCATAATAGACATTGGCACCAATTGAGGTGCAATTTCTCACTTCGTTTTGTGCCGAATTTGCAGCTCTTCTGCGCAAGTACGTCGGTGATGATGAAGCAGGGGACGAGAAAGCTGATATGCAGAAAGTTTTTGGGTACATTGGCCTGGTTACCTTACTCGGGCTATGGTGGATTGGTGAGCTAAGCAATATGACAATTTTTGCGGTTTCTTATGTTGTTTCTGTTCTTCTTTCTGTTTTCAATGTATGGCTGGATGGATGCACCTTAGTGTCCTTGTATGTCAGCCCTCATGTTATCCATTTGTCTTCTGGCAGTTTTTCCTCTTCATGTGTTTGGATTGGAACCATTGGCCGTTATGCCTAGCACTGTCAATCTCGATGAGGACATTGTTGCCAACAGCCTTGTTGGCAGTGTGGTCTCAGATTATTGCTGGTGAGCTGCTTCACATGTCATCTGAAAGATCACTATCTAATCTGCTTGCAGGAACGCATATGTGCCTAAATTACTGTTTATATCGGAATGCTTTCTTTTCTGCATGCAGGGCGTTATCAGTTGTATGGACAACACCTCTTGTTGCCACTCTGGGCCTGTCCTTGACCATCCCACTTGCCATGGTCGCGGACATGGTGATGCATGGCCGACAGTACTCATTTGTGTATATTCTTGGTTCTGTCCAGGTGAGCTGAGAAGTTGCTGCATGTGCTACAAAAGTTTCCATTGAGTGCTTAATCTTTACAATAGAAGTATTCGTCTACGTTGCAGGTTTTTGGCGGCTTTCTGATTGCAAACATGGCAGACAAGTGCATGGGTGGTCCTGCGACAGATCATGAAAGTCCACGGTTCGAGAAGGAGATGATTGATATCCTCAGGAGCCCGGTAGATTAGCTTTTCCAATAATGGAAGTGGTGGCGGCTCTCTTTCATGCTGCCTTTGCATACTGCAGTAGCATCTGTGGTTAAGGATCAATGAAATGGCCTAGAAAATATCACCTTGGTGGGGCACTAGTTCTCCCAAGGTATGCTTGCATTTCTGGGATAGGTTAGGTTGTGGTTTGTTTCCTCTTGCATTTTTATGTGTAGTGATTCCTGAGATCCCAAAATTACATGCATTCTTGTCTGTACAAGAGCTTGTGTGGACTATAAGTGTGCGCTTATAGGGGGGAATTACTGTTGGAGCATGCTACAGTTCTTCACCTTTTTTATTGGTGGGACACCCCAAATATGATCACAACTAAAAGTTACAAGTTTTGTGACACGCCCATGTCAAGGATGTATCCCCCCCCCCTTCCCCACTCTAGTGGACCCTGGGGTCGTAATTGTAGGGGGGAAGGGGTCCACTAGACGGGGTATTATGGTATGAAATGCACTGATAAGTAGGTGTGCACAATTGGTAGAATACACCAGGAGTAGTAACAATTTTTCAAATTATCGGAAAAACACTATATAAAGATCAGCTCACAAACGGTGGAGTGGAGGACTGAAAACTCGCGACAGTACAAACAGAGCCTGGGACTTGCAGGATGCAGCAGAGGCCTATGGCTTCGTTAATCACAGAATCTTCTAGAGGATACGTTTAGATATGGTGCGGGCTCGAGACGAGATACCGAGTTACCCCAAGCCCCCCAAGGTCGAAGGTTTGAAATCCTTGGGACGCTCTTTACAAAAAGAAGTCGCTGCTCTAGCCCACAAACTCACGACACTGACCTACGATTTGCTCTCAGCTGGACCAAGGTACGAGGTGCGGGTGGATTGATATCTCCGACTGTATCCTCGAAAATGATTCGAGTGGCAGTAACATGAGAAACATGAGAGAATGGACCTGAGCGGACAATAGACCTGACCTGACTTTTTCCATCCATACCTGACACCCGCGGAAAATTGACAGACGGAACCGTTGACGAACCAGCAGCACCGAACAGATTGACGACAAACTTGCAGCACGACCGACGACAAACTGGACAACGTGATGCAGGGGGCGGACGTTCGGTGGGCAGCTCGTCAAACCTCTCGGTGATCTCAGCCGTCCGTCGCCCCCACCGTGCACCACCGACCCTCGATCAATCTGTTTGCTCGGCCTTCGATCATGCCGCGGCTGCGATGTTCCAGCCCAGAGAATGTCACTCAGATGACATCAGACACCCACTTCAGCTCCCAAGGCCAGTGCAAACCCCAAGGGCACCCAGCTCCCCCTCCAGAGACACCGAGGAGTGCAATACTGTACAGTAACGAAACTCGAAGTTGCGACTCAGGTTGAGACTCTGGTCCCCCAGCGTCCGGCCAGACTTCTGACCCCAAAAACTCCAGGCTGAAGTTTTCTCAGTCCAGACGCACAAGGCAGCAGAAAGGAGAGGAGCAGCAGAGCCGAGCTAGAGCAGAGCACCCACCCGCCAGAAGCACTGTGCGAGCGAGCGACAGCGTATGCAATTAGGACCAGCAAGGTTGTACTGTAATGTACCTGTGTTCCTTCCCAAGCCATGTGAAGTATGTACGGCTCAGCTCAACGAACTGTACAGCACTGATGCCGTACCACAGTGTTCGGTTACTCTGCTATAGTACATCCGTGGTCGGCGACGCTTCATGGTGACCAAGAAGCGGTATTCTCGCTCGCTGACCCTACTATTACTACGATAGTATCGTCCAGCAGTATCACTGACGCTACTATCTAACAGCAGTCGACGTACGAGCCATCACTGACGCCACTTCAGTACACGCATGACCTATTCAACCACACGTACAATATTGCCGATACATCTGTCACCGTGACTTCACTACCGGAGCTGCCTGTTGGCTGTCACCGATTTTTACGTTCTACCTGATTTATTTTTATCTTTACGCAAGCACAATCTCGCGGGAAACGGCCTTTCGTGTGCGACAATCAGTGGGCGACAACGTTGCGACAATGCGACACGTCTCCTGTGGGGTGATAGAAAGAAGGTCGGGGTAGGTACCATGAGAAAAGGGCGATTTCACGGAGCAGGGAGAAGGATTACAGGAGGAGGCGCGAGCGAACAGCCGGTTGCCGTTAGCCATCTCTCGACTACATTGACGGTTTCAAGACATTAAGAAAAGAAGTTACCTCAATTACCCTGACGCAGGGTAACTCGGTTGAGGTGTCTCAAGACAAGGCTCTTGGACGAGGAGAGCAGCAGCAGCGAATTGGTTGATAATCCCTGGAAGAATTAGACGCAAACGGATCTCAGACTCAGAAGCGTCCATAGTAGTGACTCGAGAGCCTACTAATTGTAGTAGTAACCACGGTGTTGCTGGTATAGTGGTGAAGAGAAGAGATATTATAGTGGAGGGTCCGGAATTAGCCAGTCTCATACCAATTATTAGTTGGGAATCCAGTGGCGCTGGTATGGCGGAAGTAGCAACGGCTGTGATTCGCCGCGGAGGAGCCGGCGGGAGCAACCGCGTCACGGACGGTGATCTCGAGAGTTTCCTGTTCGGCGACGATGGCGACACGTCAGACATCGGCAATCGCAGCCGTCGATCCAGCCTCAGCTTCGAGCCGCTCACGGCGCACGACGGCGACGGTGCTCACGGCGGGTCCCGCGCCGACAATCACGGCGGAGGTCACGGTGGGGGACACGGCGACAGAAGGCGGATGAGCGTGGAGGAGAAGAACGCGTTGTGGCGGGAAACCGTCCGCGCGCGCGTGTCGTTCAAGCGCGGAGGGGGAGGGTCGCGGGGGGAGCCGGAGGTGCAGGAGCCGCTGGTTCCGCGGAGTGGGGAGCTGGTTCCGCGGAGCGGGGAGCTGGTTCCGCGGAGCAGGGAACTGGTGAATTGGCCGCGGCCGCGAACGCCGCCGTTAGGCACGGAGAGGGGGACGGAGAGGGGGACGGAGCGGAGCGGCGTGTCAGGGATCGAGACGACTCATAGGAGCGGCATTTCTGGCACGGGAAGGGGAACTGAAAGGGGAACGGATAGGGGAACGGATAGGGGAATGGAACGAAGCCCAACGGCTAGCGGAGCAGAGCGGATTGGGAAAGGGGGTTCGAATAAGGAGAAGGAGCGAGACGCGGCGATGGTTGCAGCTGCGGCAAAGGTTCTGTCGGTGTCTGCTGCTGCGGCGATCTGGGGCGGGAGTCAGAAGGAAGGAAGTACCGTGGGCACGGGGAGCAAAGTGGGACCCGACTCAGACGATGTGTCTAAAAGGTGAAGAGAGCACACTCTGGTGGGGAAAGTGTTTTGAGTCGACTCAAAGCAAGGCAGTTCTGTGGGCACGGGGAGCAGAGTGGGGCCAGACTCAACTGATGTGTCTAAAAGGTAAAGCTACCACTGTGGTGGGGAAAATGTCTGTTTTTTTTTTTTTTTTTTTTTTTTTTTTTTTACCTCCTTTCCCCCCTCCCCTTCCGAACCTCCCGTCCAGGTCTGGCCACGCCTCGACAGAAACCCCCCTCTCGTCAGCAACACCCCTCAAAGGGGCACCCCCCCCCTCCCACGGACTAAGATCCGTCGCAGGAGGTGCCAATGGCAAAGCACACGCACATCCTCCTCCCAAACGGCACCTTCAAGGTCCCCACGGGAGACGATTTTGATCATGATGCCACCACCGCCACGGTTCAGCTCACCCAATTCCACCAAACCACACACCCACCCACCACTAGCTGAACTAGCCCTTCCCCCCTCCCGAACCTCCCAAGCCTCCGTCGAGGTCCGGCGCAACCCCTGTCTCGTCAGCAACGCCAGTGAAAGGCGGCGCACCCCCTCCCACAGACTACGACCCATCGCAGGAGGTGTCGATGGGCAATCACACGCACATCCTCCTCCCAGACGGCACCTTCAAGGTCCCCACGGGGGATGACCATGATGCTACCACCGCCACGGATCAGCACACGACAACAGGGCAGCACACCCCGATTATGCCGAAGCACACACCCACCAGTAGCTAAGCTAGCCTTCCCCCTTCTTCCCCCCTACCAAACCTCCCGAACCTCCCGTCCAGATCTGGTACTGCCTCGACCGCAACACCCCTCAAAGGAGCACCCCCACCGACGGACTATGACCCCTCGCAGGAGGTCCCAATGGGCAAGCACACGCACATCCTCCTCCCAGACGGCACCTTCAAGGTCCCCACGGGGGATGACCATGATGCTACCACTGCCACGGGGCAGCACACTGCTACGGGGAGGAGCAGTGGTGGCGGGGGCGGGAGCAATCGGCCGGTGAGACAACCTGCTGTGCATTGGGAGGACTGGGCGAGCGATGAGGAGGAGGACGAGGAGCAGATCGATGCTGTCATGCTGGAAGGTGCGTGGTGGGGGTGTGGGTACGTCATTCTTGAATGATGAATGATGAGTATGGTGGCTGATAAGGCACTTGGGGGGGAGGGAGGGGAGCAAGCAGCCAGTGAGGCAGCAGCCAGTGAGGCAGGCAGCAGCCTGCTGTGCATTGGTACGACTGGGCGAGTGAGGAGGAGGACGAAGACAAAGAGCAGGTCGAGCAGACTCACTCACCAGCCCGGCTTACACCTTTCCCCCTCCCCCCCTGTCCCTCCAGACATCTATTTCAAGGTCAAGGCGGCAGACAAGCGGCTAGACGATTACAAGAACCTGGTTGTCGTTCCTGTGCTTCATAGTGCTCTACCTGATGGTGCTGTACATGCAAGCAAGCCGACTCCCCTTCCCTCCCCTCTCCCCTCCTCCCAATCCACTCCTGTAACCTCAGACATATACTTTAAGGTGAAGGCGGCGGATAAGCAATTAGACGATTACAAGAACCTGGTGTCGTTCCTCTGGTTCATCGTGCTCTACATGGTGGTGCTGTACATGCAAGCCGACTCCCCTTTCCTCACCCCCTCTCCTGCCCTCCTGGTGTCGTTCCTCTGCTTCCCTCTCCCGTCGTCCCTGCTTGCGTTCCAGACATTTACTTCAAGGTCAAAGCAGCGGATAAGCGACTAGACGATTACAAGAACCTGGTGTCGTTCCTGTGCTTCATCGTGCTCTACATGGTGGTGCTGTACATGCAAGCCGACTCCACGGATGGGTTTGAGGTGTCCACAGCACACAACATTCTCCTCCCTTCGGTGAGCACTACAGGGTGTTGATATTGTGACGGTTGGTGCTCTACCTGGTGGTGCTGTACATGTTGGTGCCCTGTCTGGATGTTCGTACTCTACATCCTCCTCCCCTTTCCTCCCTTCATCGTCCCATAAGTGGACCAGAAAACTTGCACACACAAAACAGGAGGGGCAGGAAGAAAATGGGGCAAGACCTCAAACTTGCTGCACCGCTTACACCAACCAACTCCCCCTCCCCCACCCCATTTCAACTCCCCCTTTATCCATGCCATTCCCGCAGGGGGCATCAGGCAGCGAGCTCAACGCTATGAGTGGTCCGGATGAAATGTATCAGTGGGTTAACGACAGCATAATACAGGTGCGTGGCAACACAGGTGAGACACAATAAAGTTGAGTAACAGTACAGGTGAATAACCGTACAGGTGAGTAACACATCTGACGCAACTACTGGGGTATCCAATCCAATCCAATCCAATCCAATCCTATCCAATCCAATCCAATCCAAGTGTTCAAGGTGGCAACGGCAATGGTGTGGGAAAAGTTTGGGTGTGAAGCAGAGCAGAGCAGACTGTGGAATGCTTTTGGGAACGTGACCCACGTGGTGGTGGTGTGTTGACACGTTTCACCACTCCCTCCCTCCTCTCTCCCTTGAGTCGACTCAAAAGACACGTTTCACCACTCCCTCCCTCCTCTCTCCCTTGAGTCGACTCAAAAGACACGTTTCACCACTCCCTCCCTCCTCTCTCCCTTGAGTCGACTCAAAAGACACGTTTCACCACTCCCTCCCTCCTCTCTCCCTTAAGTCGACTCAAAAGACACGTTTCACCACTCCCTCCCTCCTCTCTCTCTTGAGTCGACTCAAAAGACACGTTTCACCACTCCCTCCCTCCTCTCTCCCTTGAGTCGACTCAAAAGACACGTTTCACCACTCCCTCCCTCCTCTCTCCCTTGAGTCGACTCAAAAGACACGTTTCACCACTCCCTCCCTCCTCTCTCCCTTGAGTCGACTCAGAAGACACGTTTCACCACTCCCTCCCTCCTCTCTCCCTTGAGTCGACTCAAAAGACACGTTTCACCACTCCCTCCCTCCTCTCTCCCTTGAGTCGACTCAGAAGACACGTTTCACCACTCCCTCCCTCCTCTCTCCCTTGAGTCGACTCAAAAGACACGTTTCACCACTCCCTCCCTCCTCTCTCCCTTTTTTCGACTCAAAAGACACGTTTCACCACTCCCTCCCTCCTCTCTCCCTTGAGTCGACTCAAAAGATACGTTTCACCACTCCCTCCCTCCTCTCTCCCTTGAGTCGACTCAAAAGACACATTTCACCACTCCCTCCCTCCTCTCTCCCTTGAGTCGACTCAAAAGACACGTTTCACCACTCCCTCCCTCCTCTCTCCCTTAAGTCGACTCAAAAGACACGTTTCACCACTCCCTCCCTCCTCTCTCTCTTGAGTCGACTCAAAAGACACGTTTCACCACTCCCTCCCTCCTCTCTCCCTTGAGTCGACTCAAAAGACACGTTTCACCACTCCCTCCCTCCTCTCTCCCTTGAGTCGACTCAAAAGACACGTTTCACCACTCCCTCCCTCCTCTCTCCCTTGAGTCGACTCAGAAGACACGTTTCACCACTCCCTCCCTCCTCTCTCCCTTGAGTCGACTCAAAAGACACGTTTCACCACTCCCTCCCTCCTCTCTCCCTTTTTTCGACTCAAAAGACACGTTTCACCACTCCCTCCCTCCTCTCTCCCTTGAGTCGACTCAAAAGACACGTTTCACCACTCCCTCCCTCCTCTCTCCCTTTCTCTACTGCTTCGGCTGCCGTGCTCGTCACCAGGTGGTGTGGGAGGGGCCGCATTGCGGCAACAGTGTGTGCGACAACCCCTTGGAGTACGCAGCGTTCGGGCAGTTCGGGTGCGAGGCAGACTGCGGGGTGTTTGAGAACGTGACCCACGTGGTGGTGCTTTGCTTTGTCTTTGACACGTCTCACCACTCCTCCCTTTCTCCATGCCTCTACTGCCTCTGCTGCTGTTGGTCTACAGGTGGTGTGGGAGGGGCCGCATTGCGGCAACAGTGTGTGCGACAACCCCTTGGAGTACGCAGCGTTCGGGCGGTTCGGGTGTGAGGCAGACTGCGGGGTGTTTGAGAACGTGACCCACGTGGTGGTGCACATCCACTCGTCCTTCTCCTCGCAGTCTGACAAGCAGGGCAGCTCGTGGAACCTGTGCATGGTTCAGCCCACCAACCTGTGCTGGTGAGTCGCATGCATGTGTGTGTATGGGTGTTTGAGAACGTGACCCACGTGGTGGTGCACATCCACTCGTCATTCTCCTCGCAGTCTGACAAGCAGGGCAGCTCGTGGAACCTGTGCATGGTTCAGCCCACCAACCTATGCTGGTGAGTCGCATACATGTGTGTGTATGGGTGTTTGAGAATGTGACTCATGTGGTGGTGCACATCCACTCGTCCTTCTCCTCGCAAGCCGACAAGCAGGGCAGCTCGTGGAACCTGTGTATGGTGCAGCCCACCAACCTGTGCTGGTGAGTCGCTCTAACCTGGGTTGCATGTGAGTGCATGAGGGAGTGTGTGCATGCACGGCCGGGCAGGGGGATGGAGACGAGGGGTGTTTGAGAACGTGACCCACGTGGTGGTGCACATCCACTCGTCCTTCTCCTCGCAAGCCGACAAGCAGGGCAGCTCGTGGAACCTGTGTATGGTGCAGCCCACCAACCTGTGCTGGTGAGTCGCTCTAACCTGGGTTGCATGTGAGTGCATGAGGGAGTGTGTGCATGCACGGCCGGGCAGGGGGATGGAGACGAGGGGTGTTTGAGAACGTGACCCACGTGGTGGTGCACATCCACTCGTCCTTCTCCTCGCAAGCCGACAAGCAGGGCAGCTCATGGAACCTGTGTATGGTGCAGCCCACCAACCTGTGCTGGTGAGTCGCTCTAACCTGGGTTGCATGTGAGTGCATGAGGGAGTGTGTGCATGCACGGCCGGGCAGGGGGATGGAGACGAGGAGTGTTTGAGAACGTGACCCACGTGGTGGTGCACATCCACTCGTCCTTCTCCTCGCAGTCTGACAAGCAGGGCAGCTCGTGGAACCTGTGCATGGTGCAGCCGACTAACCTGTGCTGGTGAGGGGGAGGAGAGAGTGAGTGACGAGGGAGAGATGGTCAAGAGTTAGAAAACGAGAGGCATACATGTGTGCAAGTCAAGCATAGCAGCTCATGGAACCTGTGCATGGTGCAGCCGCGCAGCAGTTGCTGGTGAGGGGAGGCAGTGGTCCACCGTGTTTCTCTCTCATGTGTGGTGTGCAGTGCAGTGCAGTGCAGTGCATGAGGGAGACCTCTTTCCCCTCCTCCCTTTTCTCTCATGTGTGCATTGCAGTGCTTCTGCAGGTTCGAGGAGCCTCAGGTGTTCTCAGAGCTCACTTCAGAGGTCGCATTAGATTAGACCTCTTCATCCCAGAGGTTCACCTCTTGCATGCACACACACATCAAGTTGCCCCCTCCCTCTCTGCACTCCTCTCCACTCCTCTCCACTCCTCTCCACTCCCTCAGGTTCGAGGAGCCTCAGGTGTTTTCAGAGCTCCAATCGGAGGTGGCGTTGGACCTCTTCATTCCGGACGGCGACTGGCAGATCAGGCTCGACGCGCCGGGCGGCGGCGTTCGGGGGATAGTGCAGGTGGTCGGCGCCCTCAGCAGCAACGCCACCCTGCAACGAACCAACAGCAGGGGCGGCCGAAGCAACGCCCGAGGCTCGGCGACAGGCTGGGGAACGACTTGGAGCGTGTCAGGCAACGGAGGAGGGTCGGCGGGGGTGGTGGATACACCCTTAGCAGAGCTAACAGACCTAGGAGCGAGTAAAGACGTGGTGGTGTCATGGGGTGGGTGTGCGACGAGTAAATCAACGGTGGAGAATGGCCGATCGGCGGTGCTGGCTAAGAGGCTGTATGGGTGTAGGGAGACGTGTGCTGCGATGGCAGCGTGTGTGCTGGGCGCGTGTGAGAATGTGGGGGTGGAAGAGGCTTCGGGCATGTTTGTGGACTGTGCGGTGGTGTGCAACATGGCGCCCTTTACAATCACACAGTACAGCAACTGGACGTGCGTTGAGGTGAGCACGCGGGTTGATACAACAGTCCCTAGTCTAGAAGAAACATATTTTAGGTTGTCAGATGCACATGGCAATGGCATCCCTGTAAGTAGAACCACTAAATAGACGCATATGCCTTTACCATGTACTGCACTCACGACCGTGACCATATGCATGTATGCTCATTTGCCCACCTCCACACTCTCCCATATGCTCACTTTCGCACCCACATGTGCCCATGTGCCCACCTTCGCACCTGCCCCTGCGTTCTCTCCTCCTCCCTCATCAGATGCTAAGGACCACCACCACCGTTCTTAAGAACATCAACTGCTCGGGTAAGAACGAATGGCATCCAAGGCAGGTCTGTACTCGGGCAAGTCCCCACTGTGCTCCCTCCCCCTCCCTCTCCAGGTGATAAGGACCACAACCATTGTCCTGAAGAACATCAACTGCTCTGGGAAAAACGTATCGCACGTAACTCATGCCTCGTTTGCCTCCGTGAATTTTTTGGGGCGCCTCAAAAAGGTGTTTTTGAGGCGCCTCAGAAATAACTCATGCCTCGTTTGCCTTGCCTCCGTCCGTGACATTGTAACGAAATGACTCTTAAGTCGACTTGATAGTCACCTTGCTTGCCTTGCTGCATGGGTCAAGGAGCTGAGGAAACAACTCCAAATGACTTTGCGACAACTCGAAATCCATTCCTCGTCTCCTTTCCCCTCACTTCCCCCTCCACACAGTTAACGCTACGTATGTCAAGGCACTGAGAAGAAACGCCTGCAGCAGCAGCAGCAGCAGCAGCTCCAACCCCAGCAACAGCAGCAGCAGCAGTGCACATGTGCGTCAGACACCCACCCATACCATCCCATCGCATTCACCCACCCATCCATCCACCTATCCACCCATCCAACCATCTATCCACCCACCCACCCATCCATTCACCCGTGTCGTCCCACCCACCAACAGCAGTTGCTGCAGCAGCTTTCATTTGCCGACTCAAACTTCTTACTCTGTTATTCTCTTTCACCGGCACCCGTCCATCCACCAATGTCCCCCCTTCAGGTGACATCCCACCAGCGGCGGTTGCTGCAGCTGGTTCGAGGGCAACCACCCCAGATACCGCCCGTGCAGAGCCTAGCACAGGGGAAACCACAGCTGAACGTCCAGGTGAAATCCCAGGAGCGAGCTCAGGTGAAAGCACAGGAGCAAGCAGTCAGGGGCGGGAGAAAGCGTTTTGCGGCGAGAAAGCGGACAACTGGACGAATGCTGGAGTTTTCCACGAAAGTCGAGGGAGATGATGTGCGTCTTCCTCGCCACCACCACCCACTGTGGCATGTGAGGCGAGACGCTCCCATGCAGGATGCGAGACAGGGAGCAGAGGAGGGAGAGGAAGACGTGGTGGTATTCGATGCAGAGGGAGGGAGGGCAGCAGAAGATGGGAAGGGTGGGGCGGCAGCAGCTGAAGAAGCAAAGGGGGTGGGGTTGGCAACGGAGGAAGAGGAAGAGGCAGAGGAAGAGGCAGAGGAAGAAGGGGAGGAAGGGGAGCAAGGGGAAGCAGCAGATAATGGTTTCAGCGTTTGGACCGACAGTGGTAGCAGAGCAGGCAGCATGGGGCACATGGAGAGCAGCACAGAGAGTGTGGAGAGTGCGCGAAGCATGGGAGACAGGATGGAGAGAATGGGAAGAATCGGCGGATTCATGAGCCATAGAGCCTTGAATGCTGGTCAGTTTTCATCACCTGAGTTTCCACCTGAGTTTCCACCTGAGTTTTCACTTGAAGTCTCTACCTGACTCTGCTGCATCAATTTCCATCTGAGCTTGCTGCGTACGCTGTGTTTCCCCCGTGGCTACACCCTCCAAAATTGCCTTTACAGTGCACCATCACCCATCCAATTGGCCACCCAACCAGGCATCCAATCAGCCATCCACACGTGCTGCCAGCCAGCTGCATTGTACCTTTTTCCATTCTTTGCCCATCGTCTCTCTCAGTCTTTTGAGGCGCCTCAAAAGGCCCATCGTCTCTCTCAGTCTCATCTCACTCCTGCATTGTTCCTCTTCTCCACCTCCCCCTTGGTTTTTGAGAATTCTCAAAATTTGGTTTTTGAGAATTCTCAAAAACCTTTTTCCATTCTTTTCCCATCGTCTCTCTCAGTCTCAGTCTCACTCCTGCACTGTACCTCTTCTCCACCTCCCCCTTTCTCCTTCTCTCCCTCGTCCTAATCCTGTCCCTTGCTTGCTCTCATCTCCCTGCTTATTCTCTCCGTTGTCCTCTCTCTCAACCCTTCCCCCTTACACCAGCAGTACCAACGCCCAGCCCTAATGCACCAACAGCTGCAGAAGCAGAAGCAGCAGCAGCCACTGCTGGCGCCTTGTTTCCTACTCTCCTCACTGCTGATTCTGCCGGCTTTGACTCGTACGCTGGTGATAGTCAAACCCAACCGCAACAGCTGCAACCACCACCCCAACAGCAGGAGCAGGTGATTCAGCAGCAGCAGCAGCAGCAACAGGTGTTTCAAGCCCAACAGCAGCAGCAGGCAGACGCACAAGCAGTCCCACAGGCGATCACCAACGCAGAAGCAGTCCCACAGGAGAGCACACAGGCAATCACAGGCACACAAGCAGTAACAGACGCGTGGGCAGCTCTAGGGCCCACGGAGCGGCAGCGGTGGTTCAACCTGCGAGTGGCTGTGAGCCGCGCGCTCTTCTCCTGGGTGGGGGATGCCTGCCTCGCTAAAGTTTTCTTGGCCGTGTCTCTCGATGCTGCCACTCGTGCTCGTGTTTCTGCATTGTTCTGTGCGCTGCTGCACAGCCCGGGGGAAGCGCAGGGAGGGCAGGGTGCTGCAGCTGGCGTTGGTGGTGGTGGTGGTGGTGGTGGTGGTGGTGGTGGTGGTTTTGGTGGAAGGCTGGAGATTACTGATACGGTTTTGACGAACGGAGCAGCAGTGGATGGTAACCTGCTTGCCAGCAGTTTGAGCAGCAACAGCAGCAGCTCGACTGGTGGTGGTTTGGTCGGCAGCAGTTTCAGCAGCAGTTCATTCGACGTCGCAGCAGTGGGAGGAAATGGCTGTGTGCTCGGCCCGTTCACTTCTGTTGATGGATCCATGGCTGCTGCTGCTGCCCACTTCGCCTTTCACGACTTCCCCCCTGCTCCTCCTCCTGCTTCCAACAACACCAACACCAACACGACTGCTACTAATGAAACCGCTTCTACCATCAGTGCCTCTGCCCTGCTCTCCAAGCGTCTGCACATGTCCCGGGACCAGTTTGCCCGGTTCGTGGGAACCTTCCTGGACGCTGTCGAGTCGGTGGTGGCGGTGGATGGAGCAACGCTGTCTCGTCTCTCCTCGCATCTTTACATCGCTGCGATTGGCCTTGTGGATGGCAGCATGGGCGGCTGCAGCCTGCGTGAGTGCCGCACTTGTGTTCATTGTTGACGCTGCTTGTGCTGCTTCTCTCTCCACTTGTCGACGCTGGCATGATGGCGGTGGCGAATGCTGGAGGAGTGGACATGGGCGCGTTTTGAGACGTCTCAAAACACTCCTTTTTTCACATGGCGGTGGCGAATGTTGGAGGAGTGGACATGGGCGCGCATTTAAATGTGACAGTGGTGAGGCGTGACAGACAGGGAGGGGTGAGTGTGACAGGGAGGGGTGGCAGGGAGGGGGTTGACAGTGGGGTTACAGCAGTTCATGTGGCCAGGTTTGGTTTTGAGTCGACTCAAAACACACCAGGTTTGGTTTTGAGTCGACTCAAAACACACCAGGTTTGGTTTTGAGTTGACTCAAAACACAGGGGGTTGACAGTGGGGTTACAGCAGTGTGCAGTTCGGGTAGCCAGGTTTGGCACCAAACCTGTCTCACTCCCCTCCTCCCTCATCATTCACTACCCCCCAACCTCATTTCAACCTCCTTGCCCAATGCAGATGGGCGCTTGCTGGAGTGGGCAGTGGGGGCGGATGTGACAGTGGGGAGGGGTTACACCAGTGTGCAGTTCGTGTGGGCTGAATTGGCAACAAGCCTGTCTCACTCCCCCCTCCCCACAACCTCATTTCAACCTCCTTGCCCAATGCAGATGGGCGCTTGCTGGAGTGGGCAGTGGGGGCGGATTTCAATGTGACAGTGGGGAGGGGCGACAGTGTGCAGTTCGTGTGGGCTGATGACTACCCTCACTCCGTTAAAGGTGAATTCCTCCGTTACCTCTTTTAAGCCCACTTCTTGCCTCACACGTAAGCCTCCCGTCTAAGCATGCGCCACCTCTTATGCAGTGGCAATGCGTTTTCTTTTCTTTTCTTTTCTTTGTTTTCTTTCCTCTTTCTTTCTTACTACTACGAACAACATCGCAACAACCGTATGGCTGTTTGTCCTGTCCCTTCCCTCCCTGCACACCCCCCTTTCCGTGTCCCCCTTGGGCCATGGCACCGTCCAGCCATGTTTCCATCTCACCCAACCGTCTCTCCCCTTCATCTCCCCTTGCCCTCTCCCTTCATGTAAAAAGATAGCAATCCTCCCTCTCCCCTACGTCTCAAAACTCCCCTTTGTCTTCCCTTACCCTCTCCCTTCCTTCCCCTGTCAATCCACGGCACGAGTTGGGCAGCAGAGAGGGCGACAGTCTCTTCAAGCGCTACGGCGCCAAGGGCATGGTGTCAGTTCAAAAATTGTGATCAGAATCTTTTCGGTTCAGCCAACCCTCGTCCTCCTCACCCCTCCCCGTGTTTCCCCTTCCCCGTCAGTGCGTGGGCTGGGCAGCAGCGCACACGACAGCCTATTCAAGGGCTACGGCGCCAACCGCATGGTGCTGTCGAGGCACAGCCGCTGCGCGCCTGACAACGTGGGCACCATGCCGCTTGATGGCCCACCACACCCATGCGCTCTCTGTAAGCTGCTTTTGCTTGCATCCCCTGTTAGTCGTGAGTTGCCTTGAGCCATGTGCCACACCACGCCAACCGCATGGTGCTGTCGAGGCACAGCCGCTGCGCGCCTGACAATGTTGGCACCATGCCGCTTGATGGCCCACCACACCCATGCGCCCTCTGTGAGTTGCTTGCGACCCTCGGGCACCCCTACCTTCTCCTCCTCTCTCTCTCTCTCTCCTTCCCCTCTCTTCCACTCCTTATGGAAGGACCCTCAAACCCTTTTACATTCACCTTCACTTCTCTCTGCACCCACACCGGCTCGAAGTAAGCTGGAAGTTACTGCAGTGAGTTTGTGCCTAGAGGCCAGTAACACTGCCTTTCTTCTCTCCTCCTCTTCCTCTCTTCGTCTCTCTCGCTGTCCTCTCTCGTCCCCTCTCTCTCTCTCCCTCTCCCTACTTTTCCTCCCAAAACAGATGGACCTACAGACACTCCCGCATTCACCTACACTGCTGTGTTCACCCAAACCGGGTCCTACAAAGTGGAGTGTGGGCGGTTTGGGGCCGATATGACTGCGACAATACATGTTGTGGATGATAGCGAGGATGACACTAGTGAGTATGCTGCTAAGGATGTATGCTATGGTGTGCTATAATAGTGCGGCAATTCATGTTGTGGATGATAGCGAGGATGACACTAGTGAGTATGCTGCTAAGAATGTATGCTATGGTGTGCTATAATAGTGCGGCAATTCATGTTGTGGATGATGGCGAGGATGACTCTTGTGAGTATTCTGCTGCTGATGTTATGTGAGCGACCTTGCTGATGTTATGGTGATAGAACGTATGTTGTGATGTGTTATAAATTATAATGTGACTTGTTTGTAGCGGGTACCATGTGCTGTGCTGACACGACTGCCCTGACACAAGGTCAAACCAAGCAAACCCCCTCTGTCCTTCCTCCCCCCTGCCTCTCTCCCCCAGCTTTTCTCCTCGACCTGTACTTTGATGCCAACACCAGCGCCAATACCACCACCAATGCCACAACCCCACGTCTCTCCCCACTTACCTCCTCCTGCTACCCCGGCTGCTCTTTCGGCAACCTAGCCGATGGCCGCTGCGACCCCCTCTGCAACAACCACCACTGCGCCTTCGACGGGGGTGACTGCGAGTGCGCTACTCTGGCTGGCAGTGGCGGGGGAGTGGGAGGGGAGTGTCCCTGCCCTGCTGGGCAGACCAGGTCGGAGGCAGGCTCGTGTTGTCCCACCGATGCTGTGGGTACGAGCCTGCTGTTTCCATTCCAGCTGCGCTCGTTCGGGCCGGACGCGCATGCGAGCAACACGCAGTTCTCGGAGCTGTATGAAAAGCCGCTGCACCGACACGTGACGGAGAGGAACAGGTGTGTGCAGGGTTCAAGGGACGACCTTTGAGGCGCCTCACAGGTGCGTGCAGGGGTCAAGGGACGCCCTTTGAGGCGCCTCACAGGTGCGTGCAGGGGTCAAGGGAGGGGAAACGGTGGGTTGTGAGCACATGTGGTCGTTCGGGCCGGACGCGCATGCGAGCAACACACAGTTTTCGGAACTCTATGAGAAGCCGCTACATCGGCATGTGACCGAGAGGAACAGGTGTGTGGAAAGGACAGGGGAGGGAAACAGTAGCGGGCACCGGGCCTCCCGTAAGTTCCTCACCTCCACCCGCCCCACACACTCTCCCACCCACGCTCACCTTCTCTCAACCCCTCTCACCCCCCCTGTTCTTCTCCCCTGTGCAACTTGCTGGTGGGCCTCTATGTGATGTGGACCAGACCCACTGGGGCGGGCTCCTGTGTGGTTTCCACCTCCACCCACTCCCACCCATTCTCACCTTCTCTCACCCATTCTCAACCCGTCTCAACCCCCAAAAAATTTCCCAATTCAGGCTGCTAGTGGGCCTGTATGTGCTGCAGACTCGCTGGGGCTCCCGCGAATGTCCATCCAAAAAGTAAGTGCCAGGGGAAAGTGGGCATGCGAGTGCCAGGGGAGGGGAAAGTGGGCGCGCGAGAAGTGCTAAAGAGTAAGTGCCTCACGGTTAGCGGGGATTCGATGGGTGTGAGAAGTGAGTGGAAGGGAGAAGAGGCGAAGTGCCGGGGGAAGGAAGGTGAGTGCAGGTTAGGGCGAGTGAGAAAGAAGAGAAGGGTGAGATTTCTGTCTAGCTCTCTGAGCGCAAAGCTCTGTATGACTCGGTGTGCATGCATTGTACCGCTCTGCTATCTGCCTCGAACCCTCTCGGCCACTCTAGATTCGCGAGCATCTGGCCGCACTGCACTGCCTGACAAATGCTACCAGCCAGCCTGACCTCCTTCACCATCAACCCATGCTCCCTGTACAGCACACACTGTACCGCATCGCATCGCATCTCACCACTCTTTTCTCATGTGGTACTCCTCTCATCTCCCCGCTCCCTTCCCCATCCAGGTTTTCAGGCATCTGGCCGCACTGCACTGCCTGACAAATGCCACGAGCCTGTCCTCCTACAGAATCAACCCATGCTCTCTATACAGCACGCACACTCTGTACCGCACCGCATCGCATCTCACCACTCTTTTCTCATGTGTTACCCCTCTCCTCTCCCCTCTCCCTTCCCCATCAAGGTTTTCAAGCATCTGGCCGCACTGCTTGACCAACGCCACCAGCCTGACCTCCTTCGGCATCAACCCGCGCTTCCTCTCCACCTCCGACCTCTACGACCCCCTTGTGGCCTTCTGTACCACACACTGTACCGCACTGCACCACTCTGTGCCCATATGCTGACTTTCTTCCTCTCCCCTCTCCCCTCTCCACTCTCTCCTCTCACCTCTCCCGTCTCCCCCAGGTTTTCAAGCATCTGGCCGCACTGTCTAACCAACGCCACCAGCCTGACGTCCTTCGGCATCAACCCGCGCTTCCTCTCCACCTCGGACCTCTTCGACCCCATTGTGGCCGCCACCAACCAGACTGGCCTCGAGAATTCTACTCTCAGCTCTGCTCCTCTCTTCAACGACGAGGGGCTGCCTTATGGATTCGTGCCCCCCACGGTGAGTTGCCCTCTCTCTAGTCTAGGGCATCTCTAGTCATGCAGTCAGACCTCTCTACCTCTACGGCCCCATTGTTGCCACCAACCAACCAATCAACCAACCAACCAACCAGACGGGCCTTGAGAACTCCACCTTCAGCTTTGCTCCTCTCTTCAACGACGAAGGTTTGCCCTATGGCTTCGTTCCCCCCTCATCTCCTTCATCTCCTCCCCACCTTCCCTCAGGACGGTCTGGAGTCCTATCCGCTCATATTTGACATCAATCTGCTCCGAGTGGCAGCCACCAACCCCTTGGCACTTGCTGCTGCTGATGTGCCTAGGGATGAGCAAAAAAACGGGCTAGGCCCGGCCCGGGTCGGGCCGGCCCGGAAATGCCCCGGGCCGGGCCTCAAAATTTGGCTGTCGGCCCAGGGCGGGCCAGGCCGGCCCGCATTGGGGCGTGGCCCGGGTCAGGCCGTTTTGGCCCGGTTTTGACCCACGCGACAAATGTCGCGGGGGTCAATATTGAGCTGCGCGACATTGTGTGCAGACTCAATTTCGACCTAGTTTGTCTCCCTTCCCTTCTCACCATACTCTTCGATCTCTCTTAGCTGGTTTAGGCTTAACTATTAGTTAATTTAGAATTGACGTTGTTTGGCGCGACACTGCCTTTCACCACGACAAAATCAGAACAGTCGTGCGAAACAATTTCGTTTTTGGGTTTGGCCCTGAAGCTATCAAAAGAGAGTAATTCAACCCTGAAGCCTATACTGTAATAGCACCCGGGCCGGGCCGGGCCGGCCCAGGTCGGGCCGGGCCGGCCCGGGTCGGGCCATACACAGCCCGGGTCGGGCCGGTTGCGGCCTGACCACCTTCTGGGCGGGCTCGGGCCGAGGTTTTGTCATCACGGCCCGGGTCGGGCCGGGCCGGGCCGGCCCGCTTTTTTGGGCAGCCCGGCACGGCCTGACCCACCCTAGATGTGCCTACGCGCTTTCACTCCCTCCATCCATATCATTCCCTCGCCCCAGGACGGTCTGGAGTCCTATCCGCTCATATTTGACATCAATCTGCACGGAGTGGCGGCCACCAAGCCTTTTGCATCTGCTGCTGCTGCTAATCTGTCCCATTCCCATGCGTCTTTCCTCCCCAACAATCCCCCAAGACGGTCTGGAGTCCTATCCGCTGATATTTGACGTCAATCTGCACAGAGTGGCGGCCACCAAGCGTCTGCAGTACCTCGTGGATGGATTCTTCTTAGACAGCCCCACCAAGTCCATCCCCTCCCCACTCATGCCCTCCACTCCTCGTGCGCTCCACTCATCCCCCTTTTTCCTTTCCACACCTCCTTTCATCCATACCATCCCCTTCCCCAGGACGGTCTGGAGTCCTATCCGCTGATATTCGACATCAATCTGCACCGAGTGGCGGCCACCAAGCGTCTGCAGTACCTTGTAGACGGATTCTTCTTCGACAACCTCACCAAGTCCATTGAGTTCGCGCTCATCACCTATAACGCGGATGTCAACATGTTTGTGCTCTCCAAGGTGCGTCATGCTGGTTGTCGTGGCTTTTGAGGCGCTCAAAGGTCAACCTCACCAAGTCCATTCAGTTCGCGCTCATCACTTATGACGCAGATGTCAACATGTTTGTGCTCTCCAAGGTGCGTCAAACTCGTTCTAGTTAGTCCCTTATGCGTGGATTCGTTTGCCCATGTGAAGATTCATTCGATTGCCGGAATACAACTGCTGGATGGAATATAGCCTAAGACGCTCCAACCCATATTCGCCCTTATCCCTCTCCTCCTCCTCTTTCCCTCCCAGGTCCGCATAGAGGTACACGTGGTGGCAAGCTAGGCTACACGTACCGGTTAGTTCCATTCCCGTGGAGCCCTACTCGAACCTCCCTTTCCCTCTCCTGCTCCCTCGGCCCCCATCCCCACCTCCCCTCCCCTCCCAGGTCCGCATAGAGGTAGACGTGGGCGGTAAGCTGGGCTACACGTACCGCCTGGTGCCGATCCCAGTGGAGCCCTATTCGTCCGCGTCCTCCTACGCTCAGATGGTGCTTGAGATCATCTACGTGGTGTGTGTGGCGTACAACCTGCTGGAGGAGGTCAACGAGATGTTCCAGACGTACCGCCGCTCGGGGAGCTTCCTCCACCATTTTCGGCAGTTTGGCAACTGGATTGATCTGCTCTCGCTGTCGATTCAAGTCTGGGGTATCGTCGTCTGGTGAGTCCCTCCCTCCCTGCTGAATTGAATGATAAATGATGAATGTTTGTAACACACTTACAATTAGTACCAGGTTCAAAAATGCGGTTTTCGTAAATTACGGTCCGTTTTTTCGGTAATTTTTCAAAAATACGGCGTTTTTTAGTTAGAGAACTCTTGTCACCAAGAAAAAAAAGGGCAAAAACAAGGTCGGATACATTTTCAATCATGCCCACACATGCAAGGAGGGGTTCGTCCTCTTCATCCTGGTGTTTTTCGCCATCAATTCGGCCCCATAGAATGGCCGATTTTCTCTTCAAACGAAAATCACCTTCTGGAGCCGTTTTTTTACCGTTTTTTACTGTGTTTTAACCCTAAATTAAATTTAAATTTATATTATAAAAAAAAAAAAACAAACAAACAAACAAACAAACAAACAAACAAACACGCCGTTATTTTTTACCTTGATTAGTACCAATGATAAGGTTAAGTAACGCAATTGAAGAAGTACACACTGTATGATTTACCCTACTCATCATTTCAATTAAGTAACACGGTATGATGAATGATAAATGTTACGTAACACACTTACAATTAGCATTTGTACTCTGAATTGCGCAGCTGAATGATGTCATCCATACCAATAAGTTTCAAGTGTCTTATCCTTGGTACAAATGATAAATGTTACGTAATACACTTACAATTAGTACCAATGATAAGGTTAAGTAACACAGTACAACTTTGTACAGATCATAATGTTAAGTAACACACTTACACCTAGTACCAATCATAAGATGAAGCAATGCACTTATACATATTACATAGTTTTAATCATATGGGTAAGATTAAACAGCGCACCACTTATCAGTAATCATAAGGTAAAGTAACGAACTTACACTTGGTACCAATCCACGTGCGCTACAACGCGCACACCTCCACTGCTATTTCTCTGTCAGCCGCACATAAACACCCCCTTCTCCCTCTCCCCTTCATCCCCACCTCAGGATCATCATGGTACAGCAGCTCTCGCTTCTCTCAGACATCAGCGTTCGCTACAACGTGTACACCTCTCTCGACGACGCTGAAGGGTATTTTTGAGAATTCTCAAAAATACCCTTCTCTCTCCGATATTTGAGTCGACTCAAAAATCGACCCTTCTCTCTCCGATATCAGTGTCTGCTACAACGTGTCCACCTCTCTCGACGACACGACGTCGCAGTTCTGGGCGGTGAATGCAGCATCCTGATACCCTTGCCCCTTTCCCTCCCCTTCCCCCCTCTTCCCCATCCCCCCAGAATCATCATGCTGCAGCAGCTCCCGCCTCTCTCAGACATCAGCATTCGCTACAACGTGTACACCTCTCTTGCTCTGTCTCTCGCACCCTCATATGCACACCCCCATCTCCCCCCCCAACCCCTCTCTCCTCTCAGGATCATCATGCTGCAGCAGCTCCCGCCTCTCTCAGATATCAGCATTCGCTACAACGTGTACACCTCTCTTGCTCTGTCTCTCTCACCCTCACATGCACTCCCCCATCTCCCCCCCCAACCCCTCTCTCCTCTCAGGATCATCATGCTGCAGCAGCTCCCGCCTCTCTCAGACATCAGCATTCGCTACAACGTGTACACCTCTCTTGCTCTGTCTCTCTCACCCTCACATGCACACCCCCATCTCCCCCCCCAACCCCTCTCTCCTCTCAGGATCATCATGGTACAGCAGCTCTCGCCTCTCTCTGATATCAGTGTGCGCTACAACGTGTACACGTCCCTCGACGACACGGCAGCGCAGTTCTGGGCGGTCAACACGACGAATGGAGGCTTTGAGAGGGCGATGCAGGTGTATCGCACCATGGATGATATCATCAATCTGCGCTCCTTCTACTTTGCCATCCAAGGAATCAAGTGAGTTGCCACACACAGAGGATCACACACAGAGGATCACACACAGCGCAGGTGATGGAGTTAGGTTCAGTGCGGTTCTGGGCAGTGATTGAGGTGCGGTGCGATGCAGGTGTATCGCACCATGGATGATATCATTCAGCTGCGCTCCTTCTACTTCGCCATTCAAGGAATCAAGTGAGTCACGACGCGTGATTCCCAAGCATGCCTTGCCCCCAAGAATGCCGCCTGTCATGCCTCTTAGAATTGGCATCATAACACACACCTGGGCATCACACACACCTGGGCCATGTCCCTCCCATGTGTTTAGGGTGCAATCCTCCCCATCCCTCTCCCACACTCCCCAATGCTCCCCATGCTCTCCCTCCCCATCCAGTGTCTTCCTGATGGTGCAGCGTCTGCTCAAGCTGATGGACTTCCAACCCCGGATCGGCATAATCACGCGCACCATGGCAGCAGCCCTTCCCGCCATCCTGCACTTCTTCCTCGTCTTCGGAATCATCTTCCTCGGATTCTCCTTCTATGCCTACCTCGTCTTTGGCCCCTCTTGACTCAATGTGTGCTGTCTTCCCCTTTCCCCCCCTCCATGTGCCACGTGCGCTGTGTGCCATTCCCCTCTCCTCCCCTTCTAACACATCCAGCGTCTTCCTCATGGTGCAGCGGCTGCTCAAGCTGATGGACTTCCAGCCGCGGATCGGCATAATCACGCGCACCATGGCAGCAGCCCTTCCCGCCATCCTGCACTTCTTCCTCGTCTTCGGAATCATCTTCCTCGGATTCTCCTTCTACGCCTACCTCGTCTTTGGCCGAACGCTCGAGCAATTCCGCACCATCCCCAACTCCATGCTCTCCTGCTTCTTCATGCTCATTCAAGACAACGCGACGGCGTATTATTTCGTGATGCTGGAGGGTTGGGAGCGGCTGGCGGCGTTTGTGTTCTGGCTGTCGTTTATCATCATCATGGTGTTTATTCTGATGAACGTCGTGATTGCGATTGTGGTGGATGCGTTTATGGATGTGAAAGAGGCGGCTCAGGAGGAGACAGCGCTCCCGATTGATATATGGATCCTTCTAAGGAATCTCTGGCAGCGGATTTGCACGCCGTATTGGAGCCTGAGGAAGCTGAGGCATCATTTACTGTTTCTGGGCACGCATGAGAAGACCAGAGAGGAGGTGAGCGTGTGTGTGTGAGGAGGGATGGGGAAGAGGGGGACGTCGTTGTATCCATGCCACAATGCATTTCGCATCTGCGAATTTACTGATATGCAACCCCCATCCCTTGCCTCCTCTCCCCACCCTCCTTCTCTCCCTTGTGCTTATCCTCACTGCAGGAGGAGGCACTAGCGCAGCAGCGCAAGTCGGCTCTGGCAGAGGTGGCGGGGATGATTCGCAAGGGGTGCTTTATGTCGAAGCAGGAGCGCGAGACGCTGAGGCGGATCCACCAGACGAAGAGGGTGGTGGATGTGGGAATTGATAAGATGGATATAATGTCGCTCTATGCCCTCATGAACCGCACCTACGAGCGCAAGGTGAGCTTGGGTTGAGTGCGGTTGGCTAGTGTACTGCACATCCACCAGACGAAGAGGGTGGTGGACGTGGGGATTGACAAGATGGACATAATGTCGCTCTATGCGCTTATGAACCGCACCTATGAACGCAAGGTGAGCTTGGGTTGAGTGCTGTTGAGGTCGGTTGAGTGTGGTTGGCTGGGGTTGAGTTCGGTGGAGTGCGGTTGGCTAGTGTACTGCGTATCCACCAGACGAAGAGGGTGGTGGACGTGGGAATTGACAAGATGGACATAATGTCGCTCTATGTGCTTATGAACCGCACCTATGAACGCAAGGTGGGTTGAGTGCGGTTGGCTGGAGGTCGAGTGTGGTTGGCTGGGGTTGAGGGCAGTTGACTTGCGGTTGAGTGCGGTTGACTGCGGTTGAGTGCGGTTGAGTGCGGTTGAGTGCGGTTGATTGCGGCTGAGTAGTACATGCAGACACATTAGACTGAGAGGGCGGTGGATGTGGGCATTGATAAGATGGACATGATGTCGCTCTATGCCCTCGTGAGCCCTCCTCCCGCTCTTCCCCTCAAATTTGTGAGTGAGTTTCATCACCAGCAGCTAGTCCTGTCAAGTCAATGCCATAATCAACGCATTTGCCTTACTGTCGTCCCCTCTCCCCCTCCTCCCCCTCAGATGGCCTCTATGAGTCCCACCAAGGCAGCCAGCAAGTCCCATCAGGTCAACCCGGTAACCATAGCCGAGTCAGTCATGGGGCAATACGGGGAAGACGTGAAAGGGGCATCACCTTAAAGCACCCGTTCGCCTGCCTTTCCCCTCCCCACCCCTTCCCCCAAATGGCCTCTATGAGCCCTACCAAGGCCAGCAAGTCCCATCAAGTCGACCCGGTCACTCTCTTCCCACTTCATTCGCTCTACCCTTCTTCCTCTTCTCCCCCTCACTGTTCCATGTGCAGATGGCCTCTATGAGTCCTACCAAGGCAGCCAGCAAGTCCCATCAGGTCGACCCGGTAACCATAGCCGAGTCAGTCATGGGGCAATTCGCGGAGGACGTGGAGGTAGCTCTTCTGGGGGAGAAGCCCAAGAAGGGCAAGAGCGGGGAAATGTCTCACATCAAACGGTCCTTCTTCCCCTTCTCCCCCTCACTCTCCCCCCCTGCAGATGGCGTCTATGAGTCCCACCAAGGCAGCCAGCAAGTCCCATCAGGTCGACCCGGTAACCATAGCCGAATCAGTCATGGGGCAATTCGGGGAGGACGTGGAGGTGGCACTCCTAGGGGAGAAGCCCAAGAAGGGCAAGAGCGGGGAGATGTCTCACATCAAACGGTCCTTCTTCCCCTTCTCCCCCTCACTATCCCCCCCCGCAGATGGCGTCTATGAGTCCCACCAAGGCAGCCAGCAAGTCCCATCAGGTCGACCCGGTAACCATAGCCGAATCAGTCATGGGGCAATTCGGGGAGGACGTGGAGGTGGCACTCCTAGGGGAGAAGCCCAAGAAGGGCAAGAGCGGGGAGATGTCTCACATCAAACGGTCCTTCTTCCCCTTCTCCCCTCACTATCCCCCCCCGCAGATGGCGTCTATGAGTCCCACCAAGGCAGCCAGCAAGTCCCATCAGGTCGACCCGGTAACCATAGCCGAATCAGTCATGGGGCAATTCGGGGAGGACGTGGAGGTGGCACTCCTAGGGGAGAAGCCCAAGAAGGGCAAGAGCGGGGAAATGTCTCACATCAAGCGGTCCCTACAGCGTCTGGAAGAGAACGCGGATGAAACCGCGTATGTGCTGCTGCAGGTGCAAGAATCATTGGAGAAAATGAGAAGGGAGCAGGAGGAGATGCAGCAGCAGCAGCAGCTGATGCTGTTAAGAGGGTCTGGGAAGGAGAGGCCGCAGGAGTTGGGGTTGGGAAGGGGTGGAAGGCAGTGGAGTAGGGTTAGGAGGCGGTTTGAGGAGGATGATGATGGTGATGATGATGATGCTGATGTTTCTGCTGCGGCTGCGTCGCGCGGCTGGGGCGGCGGCGGCGGGGGAAGCAGCAATCGCGGTGGTTTTGGCAGTGCTGCTGCTGGTGATTCTTCTGGTTCTGGTACCGGTGCTGCTGGTGCCGTTGCTGGTGCTGATGGTGCTGGTGATGCTGCAGTCAGTGGCTCTACCAAGGGCATAACTCACTCCACCAGCGCCGGCGAGGCAACGCTAACCTCACTCTCCAGACACTTTACCCGGTCCGTCTCAGGCATGAAAGGGAGCCTCTCGTTTGAGCAGCTGGCGCCTACATCCCCCACGCGCACCCCCACGCTTCACACCAACAGCCTGCCTAGTCCCATCATACCTGGGTTCATGAGCCGGAGAAGGACCGACAGTTCTGAGTCGACTCAAATCCCCATCATACCTGGGTTCATGAGTAGGAGGAGGACAGACAGCGCGTTGCTGCCTGGCAGCAGGCAGAACCCTCACGTGGCGGGGCTGACAGGTGGGTTGAATTTTGATGCTGGTATGGGCGGGGGAGGAGGGGGAGAGGGAATAGGTGGGCTGAGTCCGATTGCAAGTGTGGCCAGTGGGTATACGGGGATAATGGGGAATGGGGGAGGGATGATGAGTCCTGTAGGATCTCACAGCATGGGGGCGGGGTGGGCAGGACATGGGCCAGCAGGGGGCAGAGGCATGGGAATGGGGGAGTTTGGTAACCCAGGCAGTTTTGGTATCGCTGCTAGGCAGAGGCGGGCCCGTATGAAATCCTTTGGAGGAGATGAGCCGAGTATTCTTGATGCTGTGGCTAAGCTTGGTGGGGGTGTGGGGAGGATGGGCGGCGAAGAGGTCGGGAACACGAGCGGGCGGCACCGGCCGGGTGGTTTCGGCAGTAATCCGAGAGGGGCGGCGGAGGATTTGAGCATGAGAAGGAAAATGGTGGATTTTCCTTCTATGGGAGCAGGGATGGGTGGTGGGTGGGGAGTGGGTGAGGACGTGGGGAATATTAGCGGGCGGCGAAGAGCGTTAGAGTTTGGATCAATAAGACGAGGAATGCCGGGCGGCGGCATGGTTGGAGCAGCGTCTCCTTACCGAGGCGGCGGGTTCTTAGGCTCGGGAACTGCTGGTTTCGCCCAGCCTCGGTCGATCATGACAGATGGCGGGTTCGGAAACCGGAAGTTCGGGGAAGGTATGGGGGCAGGTAGTAGGAGGATGGTGGGAGGGGAGAAGCAAGGGAGTAGGGCTTCGGCTTTATTGGCGGAGCTTCAGGCTGCCCGGGCGGCGGGAGGGGCGGGAAGTTGGACGAGGATTCATGAAGGGGAGGTGAAGAGGGTGCAGTTGAAAGGACTCTTGCAAAGAGAGGGTGAATAGTGAGAGAGATATTGTTATTTTTGTAATCCTAGGCCGCCTGTCCAACACGAGGACAGTGCTTTGGAGAGAGTTCGGTTTGGGGAGAGCAACATCATGCAGTTTTTGTTCATTCATGGAAATAATATACATAATTATTAAGATTATTTCTGGATCCTGTGTCTGGATTTTGTAAGTCCATTTCGAGAAGCATATGTCTTCAAGCCTCTGTCCTTCAACGTCTTACATCCACCATCCTGATCGCTCTTGAAGAGGCTACACGATATTTAAGAAGAGTTTTATCTTTGGTGTAGTTTTTTTCTGTTTCCTTGGGCTTTGTATGTGAGTGGATGCAGACAATAAAGCGTATGAATTCGGCTAGAGCTGTGTTTAGGAGGATCTTCTGTTTCCATACATGTCCTGCCAGGAGACCACTGCAGTCTAAGGAAGGAGGTCGTCGCGTCGCGTACCTTGGAGAACCATATTTTCCGTAGCTGTATTATTCCCACGGATCCGTTGACTCTCATCCTCCGTACGCTTTTTTTTTTTTTTTTTTCCTGGAGATCTAGCCGTGGCGTCTCGTCTCTCCTCGATCTGCCGTGATCACCTGGTGAAACCGAGCAGGATTATTCGAGTTTCAATTAGGGAAACTAAATTTCGACCTTAGCTCTCCTGTCAAGCCCGGGTCGTATACTTTTCTGTTCTTCTTGCCGCAGCAGTTGCCTTTGCCTGCCATGTCGAGACGCTATGACAGTCGCACGACGACGTTTTCTCCGGAAGGCCGTTTGTTCCAGGTGCGATCCGATCAGAGTGTCCAATTGCAAAGCCGACTTAACAGTTGTTCCAAGTGCGGTGACAGTGAGAGTAAGTCGTTTTTAAGTCGAGTTTCATTCTAACGAGTCAAGATGAGTTGATTTTTTTTGTCGAATTCTGAGTCGACTCAAAGGTTGTTCCAGGTTTGATGAAAGCGATATTCAGATAAAAGGGGAAGTCAGCTGAGAATTGTGCGCGAGAGACACTTTGACGTTTTTTTCTATCATTCGGGATGATGATCCTTCCCTCCCCTCCCCACTCCCACGCTCCACCCCCTTTTCCCTTCCTCTCACGCATTCTCACGCTCCCTCCTTCCCTTCCATGCCCGATTCCGTCTCTTGGGGTTGGACACCCTTTTTCACGGAAAAGAGGCCATCAGCCACGCCGGATCAGACGGTCGCCCTCTTCTTTCCTCTGCTTCCTCTCGCCTACCCCCTTCCCCTGCCTCCCCCTTTCCATCACCCCCACCCCCCCCCCCCCCCTTCCCCCCCTCCCCCTCTTCCCGTCCCCGCTCCCCCCCTACCCCACCCCCGCTCCCACCAGGTGGAGTATGCATGAGGCCATCAGCCACGCGGGTTAAGACAGCAAGACAGTCACCTTGCAAGCGCTTCTTCTCCCTCCACGCTCCCTCGCTCTCCCTCCCATCATTGAGTTGATTTTTGAGGGGGCTCAAAAATCAACTCAGCTCTTCTTCGCCCTCCACGCTCCCTCGCTCTCCCTCCCATCCCCCTCCGTGCTCCTTTCCTCTCTCACCCGGTTCCCTCAGGTGGAGTACGCAATGGAGGCCATCAGCCATGCGGGTTAAGACAGCAAGACAGTCACCTTGCAAGCGCTTCTTCTCCCTCCACGCTCCCTCGCTCTCCCTCCCTCCCATCCCCCTCCGTGCTCCTTTCCCTCCCGGTTCCCTCAGGTGGAGTACGCAATGGAGGCCATCAGCCATGCGGGTTAAGACAGCAAGACAGTCACCTTGCAAGCGCTTCTTCTCCCTCCACGTTCCCTCGCTCTCCCTCCCTCCCATCCCCCTCCGTGCTCCTTTCCCTCCCGGTTCCCTCAGGTGGAGTATGCAGTGGAGGCCATCAGACATGCGGGGTCAGACCGTCACCTTCTCCTTGCTCTCGGTTCCTCCCCCACCCCGCGTCCTCTTCCCCTTCCCTCGTGCTTCCTCACTCCCTCAGGTGGAGTACGCAATGGAGGCCATCAGCCATGCGGGGTCGGCCATAGGCGTTCTGGCGACGGACGGCGAGGAGCTGGCAGCGGAGAAGCGCTACCCTCCCCTCTTTCCCCACTCCCCCAATTCAATCAACCACCCCCCCCCCTCCCCCCCCTCCCCCTTCAACTCCACCAGGTGGAGTACGCAATGGAGGCGATCAGCCTTGCGGAGTCGGCCATAGGCATTCTTGCCACCGATGGTGTGGTGCTGGCGGAGGAGAGGACTTTTGAGGCGCCTCAAAAGGGTGGTGCTGGCAGCGGAGAAGTGCATCACGTCGAAGCTGCTGGAGAGCAGCAAGACAGACACTGACACCCCCCTGCCTCCCTCCTCGCGTTTCCTCTCCCTCTTTCCCCCTCGCGCCCCCCACCTCCCCTCCTCTATCCACCCTTTTGTCCCCACCCCTTCCCGCCGCTTCCCACCAGGTGGAGTATGCAATGGAGGCCATCAGCCATGCGGGATCCGCCATAGGCATTCTTGCGACGGATGGCGTGGTGCTGGCAGCGGAGAAGCGCATCACGTCGAAGCTTCTGGAGAACAACCAAACACACACATCCCACCCCTTCCCACCCCCTCCCACCGCTTCCCATCAGGTGGAGTACGCAATGGAGGCCATCAGCCATGCAGGGTCAGCCATAGGCATTCTCGCGACGGACGGGGTGGTGCTGGCGGCAGAGGAGCGCTACCCTCCCCTCTTTCCCTTGCTCTCCGTTAACCACTCCCTCCCCCCCCCCCCCCCCTGCGCCCCACTCCCCCACTCCCTCAGGTGGAGTATGCAATGGAGGCCATCAGTCACGCAGGATCCGCCATAGGCATTCTCGCCACGGACGGCGTGGTGCTGGCAGCGGAGAAGCGCATCACGTCGAAGCTGCTGGAGAGCAGCAAGACCAACGAGAAGATGTACCGAATCGACGACCACGTGGCCGCTGCTGTCGCTGGGATTACTGCTGATGCGAACATTCTTGTCAACTCGGCCCGGCTTGCTGCCCAGCGCTACACGTACGCGTATCAGGTACGTCTGTAGCGGGTATGGCTGTTAAGCAGGGCGAAAAGCAACCGAGTTATCGTTCTCTTTCGTCCTCTTCCTACTTCCTTGTTCTCCCCCATCTTTCCTCCTCCGGTTTGCAGGAGCCCATTTTCATGGAGCAACTAGTTCATTCTTCCTGTAACACCAGCATGGCCACTTTTGATTTCTCATTCTCTTGTGTTCCCTTTCCCGCTGCTTGTTCGTTCGCCCCCCTTTGCCCCCCCAACTCCCATGCGCAGGAGCCCATTCCCATGGAGCAGTTGGTGCAGTCTCTGTGCGACACCAAGCAGGGCTACACGCAGTTTGGTGGCCTGCGTCCCTTCGGCGTCTCCTTCCTTTTTGCAGGTGTGCCTCTTCCTCCGTTTCTTGCAGGTGTGCCTCTTGCTCCGTTTCTTGCAGGTGTGCCTCTTGCTCCGTTTCTTGCAGGTGTGCCGCTTGCTTCACTATAACATTCAGTGGATGGTGTGAATGCTTCTTTGTCTTGTGGCCTTGTCTTGCATCGCTTCATATTGGGGCTTTGAAAGGTTGAAAGGCGGTTGAATTAAGCATCAATGGCAGGAACTACAGATGATGGAACAAAGCTGTGAATGTTTCCCTGACTTTCTAATATACTCTTTGCTTAAGTATATCTCTTTTCTCCTCTGCTCCTCTTCTTTCCAGGCTGGGACAAGCATCATCAGTTCCAGCTGTACCACTCAGACCCCTCAGGGAACTACGGGGGGTGGAGGGCGTGTGCCATAGGAGCCAATCACGGCGCAGCACAGTCGCTGCTGAAGCAGGAATACAAGGAGGAGAAAGGGCCGGGAGGAGAGGCGATTCCAGGGATGGACCTGGAGGGGGCAGTGCAGCTGGCGCTGAAGGTGCTGAGTAAGACCATGGACAGCACAAGCCTGAGTGCAGAGAAGATTGAACTGGCTAAAGTGTGCCTGGAGGATGGACAAGTCAGGTGAGATTGCCTGGGTGTGGGGGTATGAGGGGGGCTACAGGGTGTTAGATAAGGGGGAGATGAGGGCTGAAGCATGAGGGGGAGGGGGTGTGGTTTTCTATCATCTCGTATTTGTCCTGATGGTGGCGAGTTTGAGTTGTGTGTGACTGTGTGCAGGTACCGTGTGTTTGGGGCAAAGGAGATTGATGAGTTGCTGCTGAAGTATGAAATGGCTCAACCCAAGGAGGAGGAGAGATGAGCATAAGGGATTGGCCAAGGGGAGTTTATTTTGAACAGCTTGGTGTGTTTTATCCCCGTGTTACCGCAGTAGCCGATATTTCCAGCCTGATTACGTTGAAGTGATGATAGTACGTTTATCCTTATCATTGAGGTGCTAAATTCGACGCGGTACACCTGCAATGCCAACATCAGCGATTTTAGCACATATCAGTTATGGGCCGTGGCTTGTGTCATTATGGCCAATACAGGTGATCAGCATCATCTCTAATGTGTTTGTTTGTCGAGTATCTACACGGACCAAGTATCTACACAGAGCTTCGCAAGCAGTCCCAGAGTCTGCGTATTGTTACAATTGGTTTGGCTTCACGCCATCACGTTTTTCTCATACTTTGTCTTCTGACATTCTTGGGCTTGTGTGGGCCTTCACCTGCTCAGCCCTCTCTGCCTGTTGGGCATTCTTTGCCTTGTACTTGGCATAGGTGTACCAAACTCCACCCACTGTGTTGACTGAAGAACCGGCTACAATAAGTGGAGTGGCTTTTACACCCCCAAGCACAAAGAATCCGATTGTCTGCAAAAGAAACAGACCACCAGATCAGACACAAATGGTGTCAAGAAGGACAATGAATAGACAGTGAAGTCTGTTCCTTCCGCTGATCATCACAACGGGTACGTACCGTGCCCAGGACGCTTCGCAGAGTCCCGACGATGGTGGTGGTGAGTGCAGAATTGGAGATTGTACAGAAGAAGAGAGAGTAGTTGAGCAAGACCCCAACCCCCAGAGAAACCACAAAAAGAATGGCAAACCCTAGGCTATCTGAGCCAGATGAGAGCTCAAACAGTCTTGGGATGGATCTCTGTGCTTCGCCCGTGATAAGGGTTAAGATAGCGAGCACAGGAAATGACATGACGCCATTGTAGACCAAAAGGTCATTGGTCGTGAAACCTGGGGGAGCAAAGCCGAATCACATAAGATGAAGTATTTCCAGAATGAATCGTTTTCAGAAGGCGAGTTCTAGGTATGTCAACATTGTATGCAAAATCATTACAGGTATTTGCGTACCTTTTTGTGAGCCTGATCGTTCAACGAGGATTAGATATGCTGTTTGAAGCATGCAGCTCACAATGGCCCATAGGTATCCTCGAGCATCAAAACTTAGGTCACCCGCTCCAGCAAGAAAGCAACCTGGGGAGACGAGAATGTCACGTTAGTAAAAAAGACAGTGGAAATGTGAAATTTTGTGCCCCAGAAGCCCGAGGACTGCACGAGAGAAACCTAAAACATACCTGAAACAACGGCGAGCACTGACATGCAGACCTCAAGAGGTGGGGAGCCATCTCCGATCAAGTATTTCGCGCAGAGGACCATGACAGGGGTTAGTCGCTTCAGCACGTGGTACACTGGGATGCTCAGAGCTTCAACAGCTGCCAACGCGAAAGCGACGTTGGCGTTGTAAAAGAACACTACCCCGGAAAGCGATCTCGCCGAACCCCAATCGAATGGTCGGACTTCGATTAGGCCTATACAGCCCAGAGTATACACGATCACCACAGATGCGGCCATTTGGAGCATGAGAAGAGAGTTTGAGTACGGCCATTGCATCAAAACGGCCTGCAATGTCAACCGATCAACGCATTCAGTTCGAATCCTGATATGGATCATTGTTGCTGACGCGTGAAACTGTGATCAGACTCCTAGTACTGGTAAGAGTCTGGAAACCTCGTACCTTGTTTATGAAACCCATGGCGAGTCCCACGAAACAATAAAGAAGAGCGGAGAATATGGAATTGAACATGGGGACGGGAGTGCGCCTGGATGCTGAGGTTTTTGCATCTGTTGATGATTCAAGCTCGGCTATCGAGGACGGGCGAGGTATAGAATCTCGTTCTTTTACCGGGATTAATGTCTCCAGACTGATGTCTTCGGGTTTGGGAAATAAATATCGTAACAAGAGAATATCAGCTCCTTTGTATAGCCCTGCAGGTGAAATTAGTTCGTAGATATTAGTTCTCTCCCTTTCGCTCCGCATCTCGTCAAAAAAGTTGTTCTAGCAGGAGGAACTCGATTATTCACCTTGAAAAGCGTCACTTGATGTCTTCAAAGAGCCTATTCTTTCTGGAGCCATAATATCTCAGACACCTTGCGTCTGTGACTTCCCGCAACCGCCTCCCTCTAAAAGAACAGTGACTCTCAACAACAACAAAAAACTATCTTCGTTGCGACTACTTCAAGAACGCGCATTAGTGTCAGGCACCAAGAATTCCCTCTGACAGGCAGCTCTGCTACTAAAGCGCATTCGTGTCAAGCATCAAGAAATCCCTGTAAGGCAGGAAGCTATAAAACTACGAAGCGTATGTGCGTCTCACGACAATCAACAGCTAAACATTGCAGCAACAACTACCACTTCGAATCCTAAATCCTGACAGAGACGTGTGCGTGGACGGAAATGTTGGAGCTCCAGATGTACGTACACAAACTTCCTGTTGAACACAAGTGACGTAGTTATGAAAGCAGAAGCTGGCACATTCCCTCACTGGAGCAGATGGGGTCAACCAACAATTATGCGAGGAATTTGAGAGTTACATTTTTGTTCGTTAATGTCGCATTCGGGTATAGGTGGCTGCCCCAGCTTCTGGGGAAGGTTGAACGAACTTGAAGGGGTGGTTACGTTGTGGTTGTTGAGGAGGGGAAAAGAGCTGGCCCTGGTCTGTGCACAGCTGCATGTGTCTCGGCTAGGGCCTTCAGGTTCCTCTGTGAGCCACTCCCTCCGCCCAATCCACTGCCGACTTTGTGCTGTAACAGAATGAAGGTCGGTCTAGCGAATTTGTGTAACGGAATGAGCATCGGTCAAGCACATTTGGACTTCGCAGCCTGTAAGAATATTGTCGTCTCACATCACGAAATTGCAAGCAAATGTCATGCGAATGTCCAAGTTTCGCTGCTGGTACCAACGCAACGACGGATGTTTACTGCGATTGACTGCCATGCGGAGTCGCAGGTGTGATCCCAATTGCTGGGTACGAATGGGAAACTTTGAAAGAGACCCTAGTCAGCTTGCACCAGCAGCCTACAGTTGCTTTCCCAGCGGTTGGACCATCTTGGACCAGCATCATTCGGGCTTCAGGGGCGAACTGGGCGAGGTGATAAGTTGTCCATTACACTTCGCATATGCTGAGACAAAATGAGGGGGTTCAGTGTTAGAACAGTAAGTGGAGCTTCAACGAATAGCGAAATTGCACAAAAGTGTTGTGATTTCATGCAACCACATCCGTTTCTCAAACAAGAAGCATGCTTGCTCTATTCACTGGTCCTTTGCAGTCAATCAATCGCGTCCCGTGCAGAATTCCGTGGTGCACAAACACAGTCCTTTTCTGGCTGGGGCCCTAACTCTAAAGAGCATCTGAGAGGTCAGGATCGTCATAAGGTCCTTTTTCTGGCTGGGGCCTAATCATAAATTGCATCAGAGAGGTGAGGATCATCTGTGCAACAAATTTTGAGACCTGGTGGTATAACTGTGTGTACCTTTTCCCACTAATGCGAAGCCATTAGATTGGCAGTTCAGCGTGCGACTGGAGAAGCAAGGGAACCCCACCTCATGCAGCCAATACATTGGGTAACAGGAAATCGCATTCGGAAAAGCCACCATTCAATCGAGGACAGTATGTGATGCAGGCTAATGCAACGCGGAATAGACAAATTATTTAGCAAATAACAACCTTCCAATTGTCATATACAAAATGTGCAGAAGTAATCACTGAGCCGTCAATAAAGTCCGAAATCAACTCATCAAAGTCAGCTGAAAGTTGCATCGAGAGCTTGGGGAAGCAGACGCACGGGGCGGGAAATAAACATGGTCGACAGTGTCTGATTTTCACGCGTTTGAATCCATGGCAGGAAAGAGTTGTGAAACTATCCATGCCCTTCACTTTTAACCGTCCTTTACCGAGAGACTTTACTTGTCCACTTGGTTAAGCTTTCCCAAACCCTTGCATCGCGGGCACACAATCCGGTTGTCGTCCTTCCGCGCAGCATTTGCATTCAGGACACGTGAGTTTCGGATGAAACCAGCTCCATCGCATTCTGGACAGAGATCCTTTCGCGAGAACAGGATGGGGAAGGCGGTACCGATAAGCGTGATCGCCACGGCCCCAGCAATCAGGTAAGTAGTTGCATCTCCTGATACATCGCCAACGGCACACACCACGCGAGACCTTGACCGAGCGCCTTCAGTCGCCTTCACGAATGACGCCATCCGAGTCTTCCTGGAGACTATCCGGAGAGGCCCTAGACCAGCACATGCTGGAAGAGGCCTCACCTGGACATTTGCTGAAGTCCTCACAAGGGAAGCTGACGGATGAGCGAGGGTAGCCATGCAGGTAGCAGCCATTGCTGAGGGATTGGCAAGCGAGGAATCAAGCCACAAACAAGAAAGCAACGCAAGGTTGGCTGAACCTGAAGGCGGGTGTCTAGAAATGCGATAACTAAAGTTTGGACCGGAGATTACTTATACTCGGCAGGCTGGGATAATCAAGAAACGGAATTCTCAAGGAATTCGTGTTGCTGGGTTGTTCGCTGAACGGAGTAAGGCGGGGCTGATACTTCCGAGCTGACGTTGAATGGAGCAGCGTCAGCGTTGGGTTCGACAATGGGCCTGCTTCGGCCCACGTCGATGTGGATCGAGGCTGTCTGACATGGACCTGTATCAGCCAATGATAACATGGTGGTGGTTCTGGAGCTCTCGTGGCCTACGTCGATGTCACCGAGTGCTGATGATGCCACATTGTGCCAAGTCATACAATCGCATTTCCACGCTGGTTCACGTGCCAGCTGGGTCGAAACCCTGTGTTCGCGTGCCTGGCCCATCCTCATTTGTCTCATCACGAGTCCTCGTTAAGATTTCTCCCAAGATTGTTAAGCAAAACACGCTACAAGCTTCAAATAGATCATCCCAGGCAATACATCCCCTCAGCACACATAATTTCCATGTAACAACCTCTAACAATTCCACGAAGATGTTCTCCCAGTACCCACATTCAATCCAATGCAAGACCATGTTTTGCAAGGAGCGGCCCAAACCTTTTCGAATCTATGCCAAAGAAAGTATTCAGTGCAACCTCCTTACCACTCATCACACACTTGACCTGACCATCCAACTCAACTAGCGAGATCCCGTTCTTTCTAAGCACCGCCTCTCTCGGCCTCAACCTGCCTTCAAGGCTGAGAGTCACCAGATACGGCACCGAACCTATAGCTTCGGCAGACAGACCAAGATTTTTCTGCAAAAAGTCCAGCTTAGGCTGTATGCCACTCTCCCAGTTGGCGCTCAGCAGCAGCGGATACCGCCGAACCATATCCGCAGCATCACATTCGCCCGCTAAGAATGAGTCCCACCGACGGAAATTTTCACGTATTGACTCCTCGGGGGCTTCTAGCACCTTGGGGTATTTCAGAATAACTTCTCGGGCAGAACTTACCCCTAGAAAGTCTACTAGTGCTTTGAACCTCCCTCGCAGGGTCTCAGCAGAAGAGTTATCCACTTTCCGGAGGAACTTAGCTAGAACCATCGGGGGCAGTTCACAGTCAAAAAACTCCTGAAACAGCCCTTCCCTGGACGTAAGCTCTCGCGTCGAGATTGCCAGAAGGCTGGTGTTACGCGTTACGATGTTATGAGCATGATGATTTCCCACCAACTCCTTCAAATAATCCGCTTTCCCCGTGATAGTTGCCGGACGAGCAGTCATCACTCGCGAATCCCTTCTCATGGTTCTGACAACGTCTGTAATGCCAATCTCCCTTAGCATCCCAATCTTCCTCTCCTGAAATTTCTTCGAGTCGGTCGCAAACATCGAAGGATTTCGCCGCAGCAGCTTCCCTAGGAGCTCCCCATCCGTGACTCCCAAATCCCGCAGGAATTGCAAAACCTCTTCTATGCCCGCAGCAGACAAAGCGCCGAGCCACCAGGGGTGGATGAGGGTCGCATGGGCGAGATCGCAGGTCTCGACTCCGTAACCGCGTAACACTGCGATGCCCGGCAGGATTCGTTCCTTCACGCTTACTTTCGCGAGTCCGGGACGCAGCACGAGGACCCGAAACACTTGGTGCTCGTCCATGCCCCAAGACTCCAAGAGCGAGCGCAGATCAGCAGGAATTTCAGAGACGCCGCTTGTTATTCCGCTTCTTTTCTTCGGCCTTGATTTGAGTGCCTGACTTTTGTTCGCAGGTTCCGCCCCTGCTGCTTCTACCCCTGCTGCTGTTGGTTCTGTTCCTAGCGCTACTGGTTGTGCCGCTGCTCCTTCTACTTCTGCTGCATCTACCTCTTCTATTTTCACCGCTGCTGGTTGTGCCGGCGTTGCTTCTGCTGCCGGCATCGGAGCAACTTCAGATTCTGGTTCAGTTGCAGCTGCTGCTAGTGCTGCTACTGCTGCTGCTGGTCCTGCTAATGCTGCTGCTGCTGTTGATGCTGCTGCTGCTGCTGCTGCTCCACCTCCTGCTGCTGCTGCTGCTGCTCCTCCTGCTGCTGCTTCAGCTCCTGCTGCTGATTCAACCCTTGCTGCTTCACCCTCACCGCTGAGGACTGAAAATCTTCTCCGTTTCAATCCCTTCACCAATGGTTGCTCTTCCTCTGCTACCGCAACCCCCACCCTTTTTGCTGCCACTCCACCACTCCAGCTACCGTTCTCATCGCTGTTACTGCCCAAAGCTCTCTTCCGTTCTGCATTCTTCTCCCGCTTCGACCCACTCACTCGTGGCTGCTCCCCTGCCGCTGCAATCCCAGCCCCTTCCGTTGCCGCTGCACCATTCCCGATGCTGCTGGTCTCCTCGTTACCGTTTTCCCCTCTCTTCCGTTTTGTCTTCTCCCGATTTGACCCCTTTTCTTGCTTTGACTCCCCTTTTCCCCCTTTCACCTGATACCCTTCCTCTGCTGCTGCCACCTCAGTACCACCTGCTAATGATGCATCATGCTCCTGAGCAATTTCCTCTGCAAACTCAGCACCAGTCTCTTCCTCCTTCCCCCCATCGCTCGCAACTCGTTCCCGCTTCGGCTTCTTCTTTTTCTTCTTCCCCACGCGCGATTGGTCTGCTTCTGCTGCTGCACTATCACATGCAGCAGCCTCACTGGCAGCGCCATCATCAGTCCGTTTCCGTTTTGACTTCTTCTCTTCCTTCGTCCCATGTGCTTGCAACGCCTCTGCTGAAACGCCAGCGCCTGTCACTGCCTCACTAACAACCCCGTTGTCCACAGCTCCTTTCAGCTTTGACTTATTTTTCTTCCTTTTCACACGTGATTCCTCCGCTTCTGCTGCAGTCTTATCACCGGCAGCTGCCTCATTGGCTGCCTCATTCGCCTCCTCATGCACAGCCAGCTTCTGCTTCTTCTTTTTCTTTTTCGTTTTCTTAGGTGATTGCTCCGCTTCTGCTGCAACCGTAGCACCTCCAGCTGCCTCACTAGCAGACCCATCACACACAGCTCCTTTCCGCTTCGTCTTCTTCCTTTTTTCCTTCCCAAGTGACTGCTCCGCCTCTGCTGCAGCCTCAACACCTGTCAATGCCTCGTCCCCGCCGCTGCTAGCGTCCACGTCGCCTCTCGCAGATCTCTTCCGCTTTGACCCCTTCTTCCCCCGCTTAGACCCCTCACCTCGACCCTCTGCCTCCACTGCTGCCTCCTTGGCACCTGCTGCTGAATCCTGACCGTCTGTCGCTGCCTCATCAGCATTACCGCCGCTACTCAATGCCTTCTTCCGTTGCGATCCCTTACCCCCTTTTGACTCCCTCTCCCGCTTTGACCCCTTTTTCCGCTTTGACTGTTCCTCTGCTGCAGCAGCCTCAGCGCATTCCTTGCGATTTGACTCCTTCTCAAGCTTTGCTCCCTTCTCTAGCTTTGACCCTTTCTTCAGATCGCCCTTCTCCCGATTACCCTCCTCCATATCTCCCTTCTCTGGTGACTGCGACTGTTTTCCCGCTTCTGCAGTCGCAACGCTCGCCACTGCTTCATCCGATCCACCATTCAGCGCGGCTTTTTTCAGCTTCCTCTCCTCCTTCTTCTTTGACGCCTTTTCCCGCTTTGACCCCATCTCCGCAGCTTCTCGCGACCGATTCCCTGTTTCTGCATCCGTAACGCCCGCCATTCGCTGAGTCTCTCCCTGGTTCAGCGCTTCTCACACTTCTTCTTCGTCAACTCTTTCTCCCACTTTAAAGTCGTCTTCGTCGTTAAACCCGTCTCGTGCGATGACGAGCCGTCAATTCCCGGTGCCGTTGCTCCTGACACGTCAGTATCCCGATGCTTATGCTGCTTCAAGGCTAATAGATTTCTTACCCTTGACCTTGGAGTTAATCAGCAGACCGTCGCGTGACTTAAAGGTCACCTTATGCTGCTGATTCGTACAATGAGGACACCGTGTTACCCGCAAAAATATTTGCGGAAATTACAGCAATTCCGTAGTAGGTGACAGCGCGGTATCGGCGACGGCGACGGATGGATGAATAACGGAAGTAGAAAGAATCGCGTCGGACGAACGTCTCGAGATTCGAGAACCTCGATGTCACGCGATTCTCGGTGTAAATTCCTTACAGATGAGTACAAAAATGCAAACAGGGTTAAGGGACAGCTCGAGCTTGCGAAATTGACAGGCGTGCGAGACAATAGGAGGCAAAGAATCCACGCGAACTAGGTTGTTGGCGTCGCGATTCTCAGAAAGCAATGAAGCATTGTGACAAAGGGAGGAGATTATCACCATAAATGTGGAAGTCTCAAGGGGAAGGCAGGGGTGGGGCAAGTGATGTGATGAATGGGGTGTTGGGAACTCGCTGCCAAGAATGGTTAACGTCGTTGCACCAGAGGACGCTTCGAATTTGTGTAGAGGGAGAAATTAGACTGACTTGGGTGTAGAGATCTTCACACATGAATCACTTCGTGTTTCCACATTAGAAATGCATTTTTGCTTTATTAGAGTAGTAGTTATCTTACACAAGACGCCTTGCCCTATATGTTTCCTGGAAACGGTGCAAGATCCTGTAGACCGTTAAGGAAGACAGACGGCTCCAATGATTGCAAGGTTTCCCTATACAATTTGCGCTGCTGTGCACCACTCAAGTACCTGTGGTGGAATGAGTGAAAGCAGGAGGTTATTTCCAAAAAAAAAAAAAAAAAAAAGGATTTCGGATTGATGGCATACATGTAGCCACTTACAGTCGATCTTGAGCGCGGGTCATTGCCACGTAGCAAAGTCTCCTCTCCTCCTCGTCAAACATAATGTCCTTCTCCGCCCCCCCACTCTGTACCCTAGTGTCTCCTCTCCTCATAACCTGCTGCTGCTGATGAGAATGATGATGATGCTGTTGTTGTTTATGATGGTGGGAATGCTTATTCCCCTTCCCTATAGTAACCCTCTCCCACCCAGGCCTCTCCTCCTCACGCCCCCTCGGCTGAATCAGCGGCAGGATTCGATTCTCCAGGCCTGTCAGGAAGACCACAGGGAACTCCAGCCCCTTGGCCTTGTGAATGGTCATCAGCCGTACGGCATTGGCTGACAGCTGTGCCTCCTTGCCCTGGCAAGGGAGAGAGAAGGCACAAGGGATGCAAGGGTACCTCAGTAAAAGGGAGTGTGAGAGGTCGTGACGGTGTGTGCGTCATTGTCTCAAACCATACTCGTTAATGACTCACCCCATACTCCTTTTGACTCGCCTTATACTCCTTATTAACTCACCCCAGACTCGTGAATCTCCCCTGAAAGCAGTGCGATCTGCTCCAGAAAGTTCCGCACTCCCTCCATACCAACTCCACAGCTCGGGCCGAACCTGTTAGCTAGGTCCTGCAGTGCCAGCATTCGGTTCGGGAAGGGCAAAGCAAGAAGTTGCAGACACAGAATAGAATGTGATTCAACGCACACAAAGCTGGGGGAGCAGCTTTCAGCTGCTGCTACTGCTGTAGCTGCTATGACTGCTCTCACCTGCAGTGCTGCTTGACCATAAACCCAACCAAACCAAACAACCAACTCCCACCAACCCACCCACACCACACCCACTCCCCTCCTCACCACACCCACCTGCAGTCGTTCCATCTGGTCAAGAGCTCTCTTCCCCTCCTCCTCATGCCGCTGCCTCAATGCAGCAGGGCTGGGAAGCTGGCCTCTCCCGTTGCTGCCATAAGCCCTCTCAGCTCCTCACAACCACGTCATACACCCTCCTACCCCACCCACCTGAAGTCGTTCCATCTGGTCAAGAGCTCTCTTCCCCTCCTCCTCATGCCGCTGCCTCAATGCTGCTGGGTTGGGAGACTGACTCCTCCCATTGCTGCCATAACCCCTCTCAGCTCCTCACAACCACACCATACACCCTCCCACCGCACCCACCTGCAGTCGTTCCATCTGGTCGAGAGCTCTCTTCCCCTCCTCCTCATACCGCTGCCTCAACGCAGCAGGGTTGGGGGACCGGCTCTTTGCTGCTGCCGCTGCTGCTGCTGCCGGGCTGTACTCCTGCTTCAACCCAAGCCTGCACAGGAGGTATGGGAAAGAGGGGTGCAAGGGGTTCGGGGGATGGTTGGGGGACCGCCTCTTTGCTGCTGCCGCCGCTGCTGCTGCCGCTGCTGCTGCTGCCGGGCTGTACTCCTGCTTCAACTCGAGCCTGGACCGGAGGGACGAAGTACGGAGAACAGGTGTGGGGAAGAGGTGCGGGAAAGAGGTGTGGGGACGAGGTGCGGGTGCGGGGATTAGGGATGGTCAAAAGGGACATTGAGAGGACAAGTCACATTGGTAGAGTACGGAACATCAATTGAACCCCTTTGCGCCTATTTCAAGGGCTAGTGAAGCAGCCAGCTTAGCCTCGCCCTCCAGAATCACCTCTTCCTTACTCACAGGTCAAATATAGTCCCCAGCAGCCCTCTTTCCGGCCAGCATAAGGCAGCACTTCTCTTTCCCCCCCCTTCCTCCTTACTCACACGTCAACTATCGTCCCCAGCAGCCCTCCGGCATGAGGCAGCTCCTTTGTCCCACCCGTGTTCGCACTCTGACTCGAGTCACTCGGATTCGACGAGCCCAGGCTTGAATCGGCGTCGTCAACTGTGCCTACTGCACGGCGGAAGGAGAGGATGAGGTGAGCGAAGCTGAGGAGATTCTCCCTGAGACTTGAGACACGGGGAGGCACATAGTGAGGGAGGGGATGTGGGTGGGCACACAGGGTTGAGTATGGTCAAGAGTGCATGACGGGTGCGATGGGGAGGGAGGCCGGACAGAAGGTTCAGGGACTGGGTAAACACAAAGGGCAAGGGATATTTTTGTTGGGGAACACGCACACAACATCTTTGTTTTGGAATCATACAGAAATACTAAAGCTACGGATACATCTGACTTGCTGCACACAATAATCGGGGTAGACAACGGAAGAAAAAAAAAACAAAACAAAACAAAACAAAACAAAACAAAACAAAACAATCTCGTATGTTGAACAGGCATGGACAAGAAAGACACAGGGGTACTTTCTGACCTGGCTTTCTTGGAAACGGGAGGAGGGTTGTCGGTATGCTTTCCCAATGCTAGTTCCTAGTCAATTCACGTGATGTGAATTGGAAGGGTGGAGAATAGAGTGGAGGATGGGAGGGTGAAGAGATGGGGACTGCAACATTAGAATGATGGCAAGAGGATGCATGGATGGATAGGTCCATGGATGCATGGGTGCGTGCACAGATGGATAGGTGCATGGGTGCAAACGTGCATGGCTGCAAGGATACCAGGATTGCAGTGCCCGCAGGGGAGTCGAGGCCCTGAGCCCACTGCTGCACTGCTGCCCATGACTTGGCCCCCAAGCCTGCGTGGGCAAGGAGTGGGGGTGTGAGTGAAGGAAGAGGGAGTGGGAGATGATGGGAAGCAGGCGAGGCAGGAAAAGGGGAAGGAAGAATCAAGGCCTTGCCAATGACTGCTGCGCTCCTTGCATGGGCAAAGAGTGGGGGAGGGAGTTCAAGAAGAGGGGGGAGGGGAAAAAGTTATAGAGGAAGAAGGAGGTGGGGGGGTAGGCAAGTGATGCGCGAAAAAAACATTTGATTGAGGAAAATATTCCAGGCCAACACCGGACTACCTATGGATGGGAAAACAACAGAATCCCCTGAAGGGTAAACTTTGTAAGACCGCGCAACACTGGAATACTTTCCGAGGATAAACACCGGAATAATCCGAGGTTGAACACCAAAATACCTCTGGAGGGCGTGTTGTAAATCCGACCCAGTGCAACACTGTCTGCTGGATTTGCAACTACTCTCGTGTAGGCTATGAGATCCCGCACCACCTGAGAGAAGGCGATGGGATGGAGGGAAAAGAGGGAGGGGAGGGAGCAGAGGCATGAAATTGCAAGGTTCGCCAACCCCTGCTGCAGACGTTCCCAGCTGACCTTGAGGCTCAGAGGCTCAGAGGTTCCCAGCTGACCTATCTTAAGCCTCCAGCGACAGTGCAATAGAGGCAGCTTTTGAGGCGCCTCAAAAGTCCCCTGCTGCAGAGGTTCCCAGCTGACCTATCTAAAGCTTCCAGCGACAGTACAATAGAGGCACAGCACAGCAGCAGACAAGCACCAACCCACCCACCTTCCTCTGGAACAGCGTGCAGCCTTTTGAGTCGACTCAAAAGTTATCTAAAGCTTCCAGCGACAGTACAATAGAGGCACAGCACAGCAGCAGAAAAGCACCAACTTACCTTCCTCTGGAAGAGCGTGCTGCTGCTGTGCCTCTATTGTACAAAGTTGGTGTTTTTCTGCTGCTGTGCTGTGCCTGTATTGTACTGTCGCTCGATGCATGGGATTGCAAGGTTCGCCAGCCAGCGTATGTTTTTCGAGATTTCTTAAAAAACATACGCTGCTAAGGTGTTGTTTGGCTGACTTGCCTTGCCTTGGCCTCCAGTAGCAGGGCAACAAGAGGCACACCAAAGCACCAACCCACCTTCCTTTGGAACAATGTGCTGCCGCCCACAACGATGCATGGGATGGCAAGGTCCGCCAACCCCTGCTGCAGCTGCACTGCCTGGGCGTGTGTGCGGTACAGCACACAAAAGTCCCTCCACACGTACCCCCCGCTCCCCCCTGCTCCCTCCCCTCCCACCTCCCCCTCCCCCTCCCCTCCCCTCGCCCCTCCCCTCGCCCCTCCGCCCTCCCCTGCCCTCCGTGCCACTGCCCCCCCCCTTGCCCCTACCCCAGCCCATCCTCTTCCCCCTGCCCTCGCCCCTCCCCTCCCCCAACCCCCCCCACTCCCCTCGCCCCTGCTTGCCCCCGCCAGGGGGACAGCTCAGCAGGGTCGACGAGACTCTCTATCTCCTCTGCAATCGTTGCGGCTTCACTGGCACATGATGGAAAGAAGGAGAAGAACACCGGATGGCCTGGGGGCTGGGAATATGAGCAGAGAGGGTGGATGGAGGGGGACAGGGCGATGGGATCCTGGTAGGCGGAGACAGAGAGAGAGGGCTCTTTATCTCCTCTGCAATCGTGAGTTGATTTTTGAGGCGCCTCAACGATCAACCTATTTTTGAGTCTGCAATCTCCTCCTTTCTGCGATTACTCTTCCTTAGCTCTGCGACTGATGATGTTTTTCATGATGTCATGTGGCAGGTACACAAGCCACAACCTTCCTGTACATTCGCATATAATAAAACACAATACGTCCATTGCCATGCCGTCTCACACAGGCGATGTACCTTTTGAATAAGGATGTGTTGTGAAAGATACCTTCTAAAGCTATCATCCTCCTCTACTAGAAAGTCACGTGTTGAGGAGAAGGTATCTTTCACAACACATCCTTATTCAAAAGGTACACCCTCTGTGTGAGATGGCATGGCAATGGACGTATTGTGTTTTATTGAATGCGAATGTACAGGAAGGTTGTCACGGCACAAGGAACTGTGGCTTGTATACCTGCCACATGACATCATACATGAAAAGCATCATCAGTCGCAAAGCTAAAGAGGAGAAATTGCAGAAGGGAGGAGGGGCTTGTGGAGAGGAGCGAACAGGTGCATTACCTGTGTGAGCGATGGTCAGTGGAGACACGGTAGAACGCTGTCAGGCTGCCACTCGCTTACCTATCTAAAGCTATCATCCTCCTCTACTAGAAAGTTACGTGTTGAGGAGGAGGATAAAGAGCGTCTCTTTTGAAAACGACTTCAACATGGAACTCAACTCTGTTCTTGTACACTTCGAACCCCTACGAGCACTGCGCCTCTCCCTATTGTTTCGCTCCATCACAACAGGGAGCCCCTATCATTTTTCTCCCCTCATTCCGAGCCCCTCCTCATCACTCACCTTGGTGGGTTTTAGCTCCAGTGTGCCTCCCCCAACGCGCCTGTCCCTGGGTCCTCCCTGAATCACTCGGTTTGCTGCCTGTAGAATGCTTTGGGATGACCTGTAGTTGCTGCGAAGCTGTCCAGACAGAGTGGGGGACACGAGGGAAAGAGGGGAAATGAGGGGGGAGGAAGGGATAGTTGGCATATGGAAAATGACAAACAGTGTTTTCAATGAAAACGGGTGAAAGAAGATTGGCAACATACCAGCATTAGTGCTGCAAGCTGATTCCACCGACCATGCAAGGTTGGCTTCAGATATAATGTGGTGAGGTGGGGGACGAGGGTCTTACTCACTCACTCACTCACTCACTCACTCACTCACTCACTCAATCACTCACTCGCTCACTCGCTCACTCACCTGCAGCGTGGTGACGTCATCAAAGTCCTCGTCTAAAAGCCGCTGCAGATAGTGGTACTCCGCTCCCGACCAGGAGTAGATGCTCTCATTCACTCGCTTACTTACTCACTCACTCTCAACATTCACCTGCAGCGTGGTGACATGATCAAAGTCTTCATCTAAAAGCCGCTGCAGGTAGTGGTACTCTGCTCCCCGCCAGGAGTAGATGCACTGCCATGCCATGTGAGAAATGACAGGAGGGGGGAGAGTAGGAAGTGAGCAACAAGGCGTGCAGGCAGGAAAGACGCGCTGCAGGTAGTGGTACTCTGCTCCCCGCCAGGAGTAGATGCACTGTCACGCCGTGCAAGGAAGGAAGGGAGGAAGGAGGCAGGAGGAAAGAGTACTAAGTGAGTAGTCGCTGCAGGTAGTGATACTCTGCTCCCCGCCAGGAGTAGATGCACTGTCACGCCGTGCAAGGAAGGAAGGGAGGAAGGAGGCAGGAGGAAAGAGTACTAAGTGAGTAGTCGCTGCAGGTAGTGATACTCTGCTCCCCGCCAGGAGTAGATGCACTGCCATGGCATGTGAGGAAAGACGGGAGGGGGGAGAGCTCAAAGTAAGCAACAAAGCACGCAGGAAGGCAGGAGACCGCTGCAGGTAGTGGTACTATGCTCCGCGCCAGGAATAGATGCACTGTCAAGGCATGCCATACGAGGAACGAAGGGAGGAAGAACGCAGGAGGAACCAGTACAAAGTGAGTAGTCGCTGCAGGTAGTGGTACTCTGCTCCCCGTCAGGAGTAGATGCACTGCCATGCCATGCTGTATGTGGATGCAAGGGGGCAGAGGGTAACAAACAAGTGAGCGAGAAGGCACAGGCAGGCAGGAGGCGCTGCAGGTAGTGGTACTCTGCTCCACGCCAGGACCAGATGCACTGCCATGGCATGTGAGGAAAGACGGGAGGGGGGAGAGCTCAAAGTAAGCAACAAGGCACGCAGGAAGGCAGGAGACCGCTGCAGGTAGTGCCCGCGCCAGGAATAGATGCACTGTCATGGCATGCCGTATGTGTATGCAAAGGAGCAGAGGGTAACAAACAAGTGAGCGAGAAGGCACAGGCAGGCAGGAGGCGCTGCAGGTAGTGGTACTCTGCTCCACGCCAGGAGTTGCACTGGCATGCCATGTGAGGAAAGACGGGAGGGGGAAGATGCACTGCCATGGCATGTTGTGCGCACATGCAACGAAAGAGGATTGAATGGGTGGACCAATGAAAAAAATGACAAAACGAACCGTGTGGATCAGATCAGACAGGAGCAAGCAAAGGCCGGTAGCGAGAGAGTGACGAGGGACCAACGTTGAATGAGTGGACCAACGTAAGAAATGGAAAAATGAAACGTCTGACCAACGTTTGTGGATCAGACAGGAGCAAGCAAAGGCCGATAGCGAGAGTGACGAGGCGTGCAGTTGGGGACTCAATCAGGAGTCTCCCATAACAAACAGACACTTTGACAACAAGCAAACATCACACTTAGTCAAAAAGCCCCATCTGGTCTCACCTGGTCGCACCTGGTCGCACCTGGTCTCACCTGCTCTCACCTGCTCTCACCTGGTCGCACCTAGTCGCACCTGGTCTCACCTGGTCTCACCTGTTCTCACCTGGTCTCACCTGGTCTCACCTGGTCTCACCTGGTCAATGTCTCCCACAACAAACAGGCGCTTGGAGTTGAGTGTCAGTAGCCGCACTATCTCGTACTGGAACTGGAGGAGAGGGAGACGACAGAGAAGCAGGGAGAAAGCAGGAGAGAAGTTATTTCAGCCGACTCAGGAGTGGATTTAAAGGCAGCTGAAATGCCTCCCACGACACAAAAAACAGGCACATATCACTGAGCCTTAGGAGCAACAGCACCTGATACTATTATTGAAGGGAAGGGAGGGAAGGCAGACAGGACGAATGCATGGCAGAGAGATGCACGAATCTGCAGAGAAGAGTTGAGAGGTGCTGCAACGCTGCCCACTCACCGAATCCGTGTCCTGAAACTCGTCCACCAGCACATGCTGAAAGCGCCAACGTTTCACAAAGCGAGGAAGTAGAGAAGAGACGAGAGGTGCTGCAACGCTGTTCCCTTACCGAATCCGTGTCCTGAAACTCGTCCACCAGCACATGCTGAAAGCGAGGTGACTTTTGAGTCGACAAAAAAAGCAGAGCAGAGGGCTGTGGTGGTGTTGTTACTCTGCCAACTCACCGAATCCGTGTCCTGAAACTCGTCCACCAGCACATGCTGAAAGCGAGGTGACTTTTGAGTCGATAAAAAAAGCAGAGCAGAGGGCTGTGGTGGTGTTGTTACTCTGCCCACTCACCGAATCCGTGTCCTGAAACTCGTCCACCAGCACATGCTGAAAGCGCTCCTGGTATTTCTGTGATCGCATGAGACGAGAGGTAGGGGCATGTGGGTGGGCATACGGAAAATTGATGGCCCATAAGCACATATACATATACGGTATCTTTTGAGTCGACTCAAAAGTCATTGATGGCCCATAAGCACATATACATATACGGTATCTTTTGAGTCGACTCAAAAGTCATTGATGGCCCATAAGCACATATACATATACGGTATCTTTTGAGTCGACTCAAAAGTCATTGATGGCCCATAAGCACATATACATATACGGTATATCGATTCATACATATGTAGAATAATCTTTATTGTACATTACACATGCGACACTCACTTGGAGAACGTGGGGCTGAGAGTGGAACAGGTCGAGGAGGAAGTGTGTGAGGTCGTCAAAATCCAACGCGTTGCTGCGCCTCAGCTCGTCCTGACAGGGCGAAGGAGGGCAGAAAGTAAAGAGCGGTCTACTTTTTAGGCGTCTCACATATAGACTTGTCCTGACAAGGAGAGGGAGGGCAGAAAGTGAAGAAAGGGGGATGATGGATGAATGGAAAATGCATGATCGTGTAATACACCACCCCTCACTTCGGGGTCTGTAATCTCACTTCGGATTGTTTGTAATAGCACACATACAAACAATCTCCTGTAATCTCACCTCGTACAGCTTGGCGTATCTATAAATGCAGCCGAACAATTTCTGGGTCGACCCACAACTCATCTCACCCAAGACATGTGGGCAAGAATCATTCCCATCTCACCTCGTACAACTTGGCGTATCTGGGAATGGAGCCTCCTATGCTCAACTCCCCTTCGAACCTGCCTCTCCTCCTCTCCCCCACTCTCCCCCTCATGTCCTCTTTCATCCCCCCCTCCTTATACCTCAACACCGCATCCCTTATATTTTTCAACCGGTTTCCCTCCTTATCCCCATCTACCCCATCTCCGCCCACCCCCCCACCCCCCGCATCCCCTAAAACTTCTGCCACCGCTGCCTGTGCTGCTGACGTGGCGTTGCCTGATTGGAGAGAGAGGTGCGACATGGCCTCGTATAGGCCGTCTGTATTGGCTCCTGCTGCTCCTCCTGCTGCTGCTGCTGCTGAACTGGATTTTCCTGGCTGATATGGGCTGATCTTAGCAAGTCTTTCTTTCTCCTGGAGTAAAAATGGGGGTTGAGAGAATGAGATGGATAGAGGGAACGGGGTTTGGGTTCAAGGTTCATGGGTTTATAAGTTCGTGGGTTTCTGGATTCATAGGTTTACGGTATTATCAATTCATGGGTCCATGCGTTTCTGGGTTCATGTGTTTTATGCATGGATGGACCATGAGATGTGGTCTAACCTGTTTATCAATCTCCTTAATCACTCGCAGCGAGTCATCCTCATCGTAAATGGTGTAGTCCCGGTAGCATCTGCAGGCAGGCAGGCAAATGCGAGTGAGAACACCAGGCGAGTGCGCACACTGGAAAACGTTTACAATGAAAAGTTCAAAGTCATAAAGTGTACATCCCTGTCAAACTAACTCACCTCCGATTGCGCAGTGATGGAAGCATCTCGTGCCTGAGAATGCGAGCTGCAATGCCATGAAAGGTCCCCACCTGCGCGCACCCGAACCAGAAAGGGCAACCCAACCGGACATGGAGCCAAGCAGAGATAGAAATAGGTGAAGGTGACGTTTGAGTTGAGTTGACCGAGGGTGAGAGCAATTCTGGAGAGTAGGAATGTGGTAACCGTGGCAACAGCGTGATAACCGTGGTAACTGTGACGAACGTGGTAACCGTGGTGGTGACTCACATGGACGGCTGCAGCAGCCTCTGGAGAGAGGAGGACCTGGAGACGTGTCACAAGCTCATTGGCTGCTCTGTTGGTGAAGGTGATGCACTGCAAGCACAGGCACAGGCACAGGCACGGGCCAAAATGGTACTGCAGCAAGCTAAAAAAATGAAAGCAAACTCCCGAAATTGCCATTACGGGCCATCCAGGCAACAATCCAAAAAGGCTATACTGTAAAATGCTTTTTTTATCTAGACTCTTTCAGTGTCAGAATCCATGCGACCAGTGAGCTTACCAGTATCTTCCGTGGGTGCACTCCGAGGTTCTCGATCAGATTCACGTCCGGCGTGTGAGCACACGGGTCTTGTGTGAGCCAGGCCCAGCCACCACTCGCACTCTAGGCTCTTTCAGTGTCACATCCATGCGCCAACCAGCTCACCAGTATCTTCCGGGGGTGAACCCCGAGGTTCTTGATCAGGTTCACGACACGGTGGGTAAGCACGCGGGTCTTGCCGGACCCAGGACCAGCCACCACGCGCACACAGCCGTCCGGAGATGCCACCACCGCTGCTCGCTGCTCCTCGTTCAAACCCTCCAGACCGTCGCTTGATGCGTTGCCTGCTGGACTGCTTGCAGCAGAACCATTGTATGCTGCCGAACCCGTGCGTCCTCCCGTACCAGTGCCTGTTACCGAGCCACTGCTTGATGAAAAAATGCCTGATGAGTTGATGTCTGCTTGACCAGAATAACATCTGATGTTTGGACATCGAGACGCAGGAGATGATTTCGGAGAGTCCATCCTTAAAACAGTAAGGGGACGGTAACGGAGGTGACTGAACGGATCAGATCGACTTAAACGCAGCTGCGTTGAGAACCTCAGGGGTTTTCCTGGGCCAATGAAGCGCGAGGTGTACACGTCAGCTGGCAAAACGGATATCTGCCGGTTGGCATTTGATGAGCTGACTGTGAGCTGAGTGCTTGCAACCGAGGTGACACTAAGAGCCTGAGAGGGAGATGCGGTGATAAGAGTTCTCAGCGTAACATGGCTGTATTCCCTGACCTGAATCGCGCGTGAATTCATGACTCGTGAAACGGCGGCCATGGCGGGACGAGCTGTTTGTCAGAGCAACGCATTCGGCGCTCCCAATGGACTAGGAAAAGCGAGCGCCGAAGCTGAAGCAGATAGCTCAATCTCTGTTCAAAATAATGGAGGATCCGAAGCTGGAAAAACTTCGTAGCGCTCAGAATTCGCACACCACGGCTTTTTTTGGGTTTGCTTCGGCTCAAAGCGGTCTCAGTGGGCAAGCTTGAGGGGCACACAGCCTGCCCGTACAACAAACGGAGAGTGCCTTGGGAAGGGTTTTGCGCAAGTCATCTACAGTCTTGATTTCTCTAAACATACAAATAATGAGCCCTACTAGAAGGAACATTGCTCGAATGGTTTTCGCAAGATCCCATTATCGTGACTAATTTGAATTCCAGTGCGGAAAAATTCAGGTCCTCCCGGTACACTGACACTTCTGACAGTCTCCTTTCCCGCCATTTCCTGACCTCTGCATGGACCTCCTTTCTCATAGCTCACTGAAAATGATTTCCTCGGATGGTCAAAACCAGAACCATCCGTGGAGCTTACAGATTACCAGAAACATCTGAAGAGGTCAGGCGATCAGCGTCATTCATTCTCTGTTTTCAGGGTTCTGCTTTCGTGCTTTCGTGGCTACTAGACCTGTTGGCACGCCTCTTGGAATGACTCCCTGGCTTGGATCCATGTTTTAGCCCGATTCTCATTGTAAGAGGCGATTGTAGTTCGCAATAGTGCGACATGGTTGGCGAATTAAGTTCCGTTGTCGAAGTTAGTAAGCCGGAATTCGTGAATGAATCTAACGTCAGCAGTGACATCATCGATGATCCTTGTAACGACGGGACGCCGCTTTTGGAGGTGGAAGACGGTTCGCATGCTTCACGAAACAGCGAGAATTCGCATGCTTCTCGGGACGGCGATGTTACCCTTCGCAACATCGAAGCAGCTGACAGTGATCTCGACTCGATTCCCTCAGGCTCAGATCCGCATTTTCGGGAATCCGTGAGCAGCGAACAGTGTGGAGCCACGTCATGCTGCACAAGCTGCGATGTGACCGTTGACGCGACTCGAACGAGCGACAACGGGGTCGCGATCAGCGGGATCCACGCCGCGATCGACGCAAACCGCAGGAATGGAAACGAGGAGATCCAGAATCGGAGGACCGAGGAGGCACTGAACGAAGCTCAACTGCGCGACAGATCTAGTCCCGCTCGTTGTAATCACGCGTGCTGCTCGACGGACCACACATCTCGTGGGTCACTGGATGGGTCAACGCATGATAGGTCAACGCACGATGGGTCAACTGTTACGCTTGACGTTGACTTTGCAAATCTGTGGGCTCAGTCGCTCGGAGTGGCTTTCGGCGCTGTCATCTCTGAGGTGATTTCACTTTCCCCCTGGCCCTGCTTGGTTCTTGTTACAGCCCATTAGAAACTCCCTCTCTCTACACGTGAAATTGCTCTTGCAGAAATTTCTATAATCAAGATTCTCCCCTTCGCGAATCATCCCAAAGTAACTACGATGTTCTTCACTTCACTGACGGTTGAGGAGCCCACAATGTTTGATGTTTTTCACAATGTTTTGCACCTCACCTCATTATGATTATTGATTTCGTTGATGCGTCGGACCCGTGCAGGTGGAGTCGCACGTGCTGACGTCACAGCAGCCCATCCCTATTGATGAGCTCTCCCAGGTACTCCCTCTCTCTAGCTTCGTGTCTGCCTTGATCTCTCCGACTTGAATTTCATCCTTCTTTATCGCTTCCTCTCTAAAATCTGAACCCCTTTTCTTGCCATTGTATTACAATCCCCAGCTGCCCCCTCTCTCGCCCCCCTCTCCCCCTTCCTCCTCTCTCCGTCCTCCCCTCCTCCCTCCCTTATCTCTCCCTCTCCCACCTCGGTCACACTCCTCAGATGATAGAGGCATCTCTGTCCGAGTTGGTGCTTCCCTTCGGAACACAAGACGGCAGTGCTGCACATACAGCACGCAGCAGCAGCGCTGGTGGTGTAGTGACTGCTGGTGCAGAAGGTGAAGCGGCAACATTATGTGCATCAGCAAGATTATCAGCAACATGTGCAGCAGCAGGAGCAGTAGCAGGGCCAGCAGTAGCGGTGAAGCATGCTCCTCTTCCCCACGCATTTCTTGCAGCAGCTCTTTCCACCTTCCGAACCTGTGCTCGCGTACGAAGGGCGCTGGCTCGCACTGTGCAGAACCAAGCCGTTCCGAGCCAAGCCTTTGTTCCTCCTACTGCTACGGCTCCTGCTGCTGCCCCTGCCTCTGCTCCTTCTGCTCCTGGATCAGGGTGGCGGCTTGGCAGGCATGGGCATGGGTGTTCACGCGGAGCAACTGGGGGTTTTGAGGGAGAGGGTGCAAGGAAGGGCGAGTTGGGGACGGAGGCGGGAGCAGGTGCAGGGAAAGTCACGGTGGGGGAAGAGGGGACTGGGGAGGAAGGAGTGGATGATGAGTTGGTGGGGGAGGAGGGGATGGAGGAAGATGGGGTGGAAAAAGAGCAGGGAGTGGGAGTGTTGAGCTCGCTCATCTCTTCGTATGACCCCATGGCTGCCGTGCTGCTGCAGAGTGAGGTAGCTGCTGGGGTAGAGGGTCACACAGACGAGCAGAAGGAGAAGGGGGAGCAGAAGGAGAAGAGGGAGAAGAAGAAGGGATTGGCTAAGGAGAATGGAGGAGAAGAAGAGGAGTGGGGCATGACGGGAGAGTGTAAGGCAGGTAGAGGGATGAAGACGGGCGGTAGCACGGGGAAGCAAGAGAAGAGCAGGAAGCACAAGGGTCAAGGCACAGGGAAGAAAGAGAGTGCGAGGAAAGGCAGGCAAGGAGAGCCGAGGCGATTGCAAGAGCAGACCAAGAAGCAGCAGCACTGGCAGCAGCAGCAGATCCAGCAGGACACACACGCTCCAGCACACTCACACGATCCGCCTGCGCACTCGCACTCGCGTGCACACTCGCACACGCCTACCACCCCTGTCACACTCCCACCTACCCATGCTGGCACCACAGCTCACTTACACGCTCGTGAGTCTTGTCCCCCCGCCTCTACTATGCCCTGCTCCCAATCTCCCTCTCCTTCAACCCCCTTTTCCCAGTCCCCCATCCCTGCCGTCCCCACTCGTTCCGTCTCTACTAGCTCCATCCCCGCTTGCACCCCTGAAGGCTGTTCGCCTCCGTCTCACGCATACCAATCCGTCTCACCATTCTATGCTCTTGTTTTCGAGGCGCCTCAAAAGCAAACTGTTCGCGCTCCTGAAAACCATGCGGCTCTGTCTCACGCATGCCGTTCCGTCTCGCCACCCCATGCTCCTCAATCGCACTCTCCTGAGTCCGAGTCCCCCATCACTCCCATCGCGTCTCGTACTCGTGAAGGCCTTTCACCACCCCATGCTCCTCTCTCGCACGCTCCCGAATCCATAGCTCCTTCCCCGTCCTCTCCTGTAGCCCCACCCACACACCTGTACCATCAGAGCTCTACATCAGGCGAACCACATTCTTACGATCCGTTACCATCACACCTGCACCAGTCACACCCGCACCAGTCACACCTGCAGCAGTCACACCTGCAGCAATCACACCTGTACCAGCCACATCCGTACCAGCCCGTGCCAGCTCATCATTTGGCTCTGTCCCACACCCACTCAATCCTTTCCCACTCAATCACAGCCCCATCCCATGCATTCACATCCCATGCACTCACATCCCATACAGTCACAGCCCCCACCCCCTCCCTGCTCGCCCTCCGCTACGTAACCGCCCTAGAGGAGCGAAACCGCCTCTCAGCAGCGAAGCTTTCCCAATCCGCCCTCTCAGTCTCCCTCCACGCGCAACACTTAGCCGCCACAGACCTCTCAAACCACCTTATGGCTCAGAAGGTCGAGCTTTCCAAGGGGGAGAAGGCGAGGAGGGAGCGGGAGGTGCGGGAGAGGCGAGGCAGGGAGGAGCTAGCTGGGTTTGCCAGGGCTTGTGCGGATGAGTTAGTGGCAGGGTTGCTGGTGATGCTGGTGGTGATAGGAGCGACAGGGTGGAGGTTTGCAGGAGAGAGGTTGGCTGCTGGTGTGGCGGCTTGCCAGGTTCGGCATGATCCTGCGCTGGACGCTTCGTCTTTTCTCGGGGTTTCGTTCTCCCGCCCGGACCGGTCGCTGGTGACATGGCTGCGGCTGATTGGCTGCAAGCTGACCGTTGCTGGGCAGATGCTGCTGGCGTTTTTGGTTGCGTCTGCTACTACTTATATCATGCTGCTCAATAACATGGCTGCTGCTACAGGGGCGGGCAGTGCCCATTCCCGCCCGGCTACCACCATTGTGCTGTGTCTGGGGTGCGTGTGCGGTTACTTTGGGTTCTATGCGGTGAGGTTAGCTGGGGGGGATGCGGTGGTGTGGCTGGTGTGTTGGGAGGCGCTGTGTGTGTTACATGCAATGGTGGCCTGGCAGAAGGAGCAGCTGTTTCGAGTGCTGTATGGGCGGATGGCGGGGGAGGAGGCGAAGGAGGTGGGGAAGTTGGGTGTGGGGGCGGAGGGGGAGGGGGAGAGATGCAGGGGGGTGGAAGAGGCTTATACAGGGTCAGGATTGGTAGGAGGGGCAACAGTGGTAGGTGGGGTAGCTGCAGCAGGAGCTTCGGCGACAGGAGGGGCAGCAGCAGGGGTAGCTGCAGCAGGATCAACAGCAGCAGTCATGCTTGGGCGAACACCAGAAGCACCAGCAGCAACAGCAGCGCAGGGGATGAGGAGGAGAAGAGGGGAGAATGTGCCAAGCAAAGACCCAACAGGGCCTTCTAGTAACACAGGAGGACGATCAAGGAACACAGCAGGGCTTTCAAGAGAGCATTCAGGGCATAATGACAGCCCAGGCAACGGAATGGTTAGCGGGAGGGCCAGCACAAGGGGCGTGGGGTGGAAGGGGCATGGCATTGGGAAGATGGTTGGGGGTGTGTGGAGGCGGATGGCTGAGATCGTGACAGCTGTCATGGATGATGACGTGGATGGGCTGGTGATGGGGCGGTGGTGGGCGGCGAACAGGAGAGCGTCGGGCGGCAGGTCGGCATCACGGCGCTCGTCTTCTTCTTCCGTGTCCAATCCAGCAGAGAGCGGGCCGTCCTCGTCATCATCATCTGCAAGGCGGTCCTCCTCATCGCCTTCTGGGCGGCGACCCTCGTCTGTATCTGTGTCCTCATCATCACCATCAGCATCATCATCTTCCGAGTCTCGGCGACCATCAGGCATCTCAGAAGCAGCAGCAGCGTCTGATTCCATATGTACAAATTCACCTCGCTACACCACCATCTCGTTACAGTCACTCTCAGTATGTACTCTCCTCACCTCCTGCTTCACCTCCATCCAGCTACTGTTCACCAACCCACGAGCTTTTGCCCTCACGTGCAGCAAATGGGCCTGTTCTCACTGCATCCCTCGCCTCTCCCACATCATCCCCCCTCCTCCTCCCCCATGGGTGAGGCGCCTCCTCTTCCACCTCACCCTTCTTCTCCTCCTCCCTGTGGCTGCTGGAGCACTGCCCTTTGTCACCTGGGCAGACGCTATTCGCTTTATCGGAGCGCTCTTTAGCGAGGTTTGGATGATGGCAGCAGGTTGGGTATGGCAGGAGAGAGGGTGGGATGGGTTTGGCAGGCAAGAGTATGGGCAAAGCAGCTCACTTGGTGTCACTGCTGCTACGGGTGCTTCTGGGCCTGGTAGTGGTGGGGGTATGGCACAGTACTGGGAAGATGACTTGTGACTTGTAAGCTGTCACCTGCTGACTCGTACAGGTCACAAAGCCCCGTGCGTCTGCTCCTCCTTGTGCTGCTGCTAACAGGATGCCAGTGGAATGGGTAGTGGGGTAGCATAAGCTGCTGATAGTGTAATGCGTTTTTAGGTTGGCTTAGCTTTGCACATTATGAAGACATTTCTTTTCAAATCCCAACTTCTCTCCACTCATCCTATCAGCCAATATCCAGTGCGATACAGACTCTGCTTTGCTACTTCACAAATTTAGCATAGCCAGAGCCCCCTGAGAGACCGATACCATCCATCCTATCGTCCCAACCACCCAGCATTCTTCTCTTGCGAATCTAGATTTCACGTCTGTTCTCTAGTCGCACTTGGAGCGGCACTTCTTGATCTTCTTCTTGCACTTCTTGTACTTCTTGGTGCACTTCTTGTGGTGGTCATGCTTGTCGTCCTTGTTCTCGCGCTTGCACTCGCTGTAATCCGTGTTGCACTTCTTGTTCTTCTCCTTGCAGTCAGACTTGCACGACAGCATGCGCGGCGAATACAGGAACCGCCTGCTCGCGCCCAGCAGTTTGCCCACGAGACCTGGAAACAACCACGGCAACGAAGAAAGAAAAAAACTGACATTATGAGTTTCCATATTCGCGGTACATAACGCGATAAGTGAGCAGAACGGGCGACGCAATGTGGCGGAGGGGGCACACGGCGACAAAGAAAGGGCCTTGACTCACCGGGAGGCGGAGCCGCGTCGGCGGAAATGGCGGCGTCCGACAAGTCTTTGACGTCGTCGGCGTCGCCTTCCGCGTCGATCTCATTCGCGCGGCACTGCGGCGCCAGCGCGAGGGATACGAGCAGCGAGAGCGCGAGCAGGGCGAAGAAAACCTTGGAACGCCTCATGGCTGCAGCGAATGCTGGATCAACTGGGGTGGTGTTCTGGATAGGAAGAGCGCGGGAGGAAAATGCGAAATTCGTCTAGTAGAAGTATGGGTAGCAAAGCTTCTCTTCTGGCTGAACTGGAGTTGGTACCGATCAACACACAGGTCCTGGCTCTTACAGGACCCGTGGTGCTTAGCACGCGCGTTCATCGTGATAAGGCGAGTATAGCGGCTGGCCGGTGATAAATTTGGTCGAGCCGCTAGTCGGTGATAAGGTAAGTCTGGTGTGATAAGTTTTGGTCGGTGTTCTGAGCTGGACTACGTATGGCGATGTGCGTGTGCGAATGGGAAGTGGTGGGGTGGAGTTGCTCCCTCCAAGCTTTCAGAACGTGGGGAGCATGTGAGGGGCAAATTAGGCTGAGGAGGATCATAGATTGGGGGGAAGAAAGGGATGATGTGCTTATATTGTAATCGAAATGCAAAATCGAACCGCACAATGGAGGACATGGATTGTGCGCGACGCGTCCGCGATCCGTCACATTTTCTGATGACGTTTTTTGTGTCCGTTCTTTTATTTCCGATCCGATACAAATATGTGCCCCGAACACAAGTGGCACAAGCTTTACTGAATATGGTTATGGAAAATGTTGGGCAAAGCGAACCTTGCGCAGTCTCTAAAGGACTTCAGATTTTATGGTAAGTGAGCATTTCTACCTTATTTGTCTTGGTTTGACCATTGACAACATGTGAAACCGCCAACACAAACAGCAATGCTTTCATGCTATCCATCACACACTGTACAAAAGCATTATCCATTAAACTGTCAAACAATATGTTTAATATATACCCTGCGTGCTGTAGTTACTGTAGTTATTATTATTAAGAGTTGGTGGTGCACCTTCTTTGTTGCTTTGCTATATGTACCTTGTGTGCTATAGTGAAACCCCTCTTTCCTTGCCTAAACTCTCTCGACACTTTCTCCTCTTCACCCTAGCATGGCTCCTCACCTCTAGCTACTATCTTGACATGGTACAGAGCTGGTTCTTTCCCGGAACCTTCTCTTTTTTTTTAAGAATCATGGGCCCGCCCGTACTACAGCGCGAAATGCGCTATATTTTTTTTTTTCTCCCCGTTCGCCCGTCACGCGCGCCCTGCCCGTCCCCCCGAACGTGCCACGTCGGCTGCCTCGCGGACGCCCCGTCGGCTGCCCCGCGGACGCCCTGCCCGTCGCCCGCTGCCCCCCCGTTTCGTCGCCACGCGGCCCCCATTTCGTCGCCACGCGGCCCCCGTTTCGTCGCCCCCGTCACCCCGCAATCCGCCAGCGCGGAGGCCAGCGCCGCGGCCAGCCGCCAGCGCCAGCAGCAGCTACCGCCGCCCCCCCCCCCCCCCCCCCCCCCCCCGCCCGCCCTTCCTTCCGCTCCTTCCGTCGTGGGGGGGAGGAGGGGGAGATGTGTGGGTGGCGTGTGTGAGCTGCCTGCAGCCCGTCCCTCCCCTCTCTCTTACTGCAGGGATTGTCGCCGTAGAGAAGGGGGGGGGGGGAGAGAAGTGCAGAAGGGTGAGGGGGTGGTGATAGTGAAGTTGACTGGAGTGTGAGGGTGAGCATTGGGGGGATGGCAGATTCATGGAGTGAGGTTAAAGGGGGGTGGTTGAGTTGAGTTGAGTTCTGAAGGTTCTTAAGAGGGTCCGCCGCTCCTGGCCCCCCCACCTTCTGAAGGTTCTTAAGAGGGTCCGCCGCTCCTGGCCCCCCACCTTCTCTCCTTTTCCCTCACTCCTCCCCAACCCCCCTTTGTAAACGGAGGTTCGTAACGGGTCCGCCGCTCCTGGCCCCCCACCTCTCCTCATCCCTCTCTCTCTTCCCTCCTCTCCTCTTCTCTCCTCTCCTCTCACCTTCCTCACTTCTCTGCCTTCTTCCACAGCGCTTGGTTTGCTCGTTCAGGGGGTGCTGGCTGCACCAGTTTCTACCGCACGCAGGCTAAGGGGGTGTGTCAAACAATATGTTTAATATATACCCTGCGTGCTGTAGTTACTGTAGTTATTATTATTAAGAGTTGGTGGTGCACCTTCTTTGTTGCTTTGCTATATGTACCTTGTGTGCTATAGTGAAACCCCTCTTTCCTTGCCTAAACTCTCTCGACACTTTCTCCTCTTCACCCTAGCATGGCTCCTCACCTCTAGCTACTATCTTGACATAAACATGCACATCCTTCAACAAACCACGAGCACGACGCTTTGGTTTCATCACGTTCCCCTCCCTATCGTCCCCGCTTGATGCGCTATTTACGCTTGACACATTTCTCCGCTTCCTCGTAGTGCGAAGTGTTACAGCTATAAACAGTAACACCATAGCTGCACTCCACCCCAGGTACATCCACCTCTTGTCTTCATGCATCCACACCCGCACCCCTGCTGCCACCACCGTAGAACCCCCACCACCAGGTCCACCTGCCCTGTAGCCATAGCCTTGTAAAAAGCGCCTCCACTCATTCCCTTGGTTCATATTTGCATGGTTACTGTGTTTACCGGTTCCGACAGTATCACTACCAAGCTCACCTGACCCCTCCCTATCCCCTCCCTCTCCTGGCTTACCTTGCTCTTCCGCCTCCTCTCCCTCTCCTTTGCCGTCTGCTTCTCCTTCTCCGTCCCCTTCCTCCCCATCCCCCCCACCTTCATCCTCGTTTATGGCTGAATCAGCATAAGCAACATTGTCCTCGTCAGACGGAATCTTCCCCTCCTCCCCACCACCACCTCTCCCTCCCAATCTCCTTCCCCGTGCCCCCTCTCTCCGCTCTCTCACCAATAGTAACCCTCTTTCCAGCCCAGCTCGTTCCATCATTTCAGTCACATCCACAACATAGTCACCCTGCACTTTAATCCCCTTTCCAGCCCGTCCTCTCACAACAGTCCCCTCTTTCCCACCCCCACTCATACTCCCACTCCCACCCTCAACTCCTTTCTCACTCACTCCCTCACTCCCTCCCTCACGCCCTCCCTCACCCTCTCCCTCCCTCTCTTTCCTACTCCCTCTCTCCCTAGCCCAGACATCAGCCCTCAATTCGCCTGTAACTGTAGGGGACGCCCCACCCAAATCCATTATCCCCATATCTCTCTCCCACTCCACCAAGCACCCCCTCTTCTGCCTGTGAAACTCCCTTAAAGCCCGATTCAGCACCGCCATACACTCAATCACAATAAAATCTCGCCGCCGTTCCTCATATGTCTGGTTCCCGGGCAGCGCGGAAATTTCTGGCGGGTCGGGAAAATGCTGCCCGCAGGTGTTGACCATGTCTTGGCGATAGTAGGCCGATTTGTCCCATTGCCAATCTAACACCTTGAGCTCTAGACCGTAGTGTATCATTCGAGGATCGACCCCTTTAGGAGGGTCATAGCCTGGGTAAAGCATGGCGCTGTCAATCATAATGTGCTTCAGGCCCACCTGAGAAAGGGAAAGGGGGCGGAGGAAAGACAGTGGATTTGAGAAGGAAAGGGATGGATTGAAAGGGATGCTCATAAAGAGATGCTCATAAGGAGATGCTCATAAAGAGACGCACGTAGAGATGCTCGTAGAGATCGTAGACTTGCTAAGACTTGCATCGGACGATCCAAAGGAGTAGCCGTACATCTCGCTGATCCACCGCTGCCCATGCACGTCCCCCGTGGCGTTGATGGTGTAATTCCGACCACTCACAGAGAAGCACGTAGAGATGCTCATGTAGATGCTCACAGAGGCTCCCCATAGAGATGCTAAGACTCACATCGGAGGAGCCGAAGGAGTAGCCGTACATCTCGCTGATCCATTGCTGCCCGTGAACGTCCCCCATGGCGTTGATTGTGTAGCTTCGGACCACTCACAGAGATGCACGTAGAGATGCTCATGTAGATGCTCACAGAGACGCCCCATAGAGATGCTTGTAGAGAGGCTCACAGGAATGCTAGGACTCACATCGGAGGAGCCAAAAGAGTAGCCGTACATCTCGCTGATCCACCGCTGCCCGTGCACGTCCCCCGTGCGTTGATGGTGTAGTGCTCCACGTCTGCCCGCACCTCCTCGCTCTTGGCGCTCCAGATGGGCGCCAGACGCCGCAGGTCCTCCACGTGAATCACAATGTACCCGCCCACCTGTGAGTGATTTGTTGTGTGTGTGTGCATGTGTGGGTATGTGTGTGTGTGAGAGTGTGGCGCGCGTGTGCGGGGTGCACGTGTGTGAGGTTGGGGGAGGGAGGGGGAAAGTGGAGGGGTGGTTGGGAGAGGGACAGCGGGGATGAAAGAAGGGAGCAGTGTTGATGGTGTAGTGCTCCACGTCTGTCCGCACCTCCTTGCTCTTGGCGCTCCAGATGGGCGCCAGGCGCCTCAGGTCCTCCACGTGAATCACAATGTACCCGCCCACCTGCGCATGGGCGTGGTTGGGTGTGGTTGGGTTGGGTGTGTGTGGTTGGATGTGGAAGAAGAGAGTAAGGGAACAAGAGAGGGAGTGGCACTGATAATGTAATGCTTTGCATGCACCAGTGTACACTCGCTCTTGGCGCTCCAGATGGGCGCCAGGTGACGTAAGTCCTCCACGTGAATCACAATGTACCCGTCCACCTGTGCGCGCGGGAGGTTGGGTTGCGAGAGACAAAGTGGGAGAGGAAGAATGCGTGTGTGTGTGGTTGGGTGTGGTAAAGGATGGAAAGAGGAGAAGAAGAGGAGGAAAAGAAGAGGGAATGAGGAGGGCAAGGCGAGGGAGACGGATGGAAAGAGGAGAAAAAGAGGAGGAAAAGAGGAGGAAAAGAGGAGGAAAAGAAGAGGAAAAGAGGAGGAAAAGAGGAGGAAAAGAAGAGGGAATGAGGAGGGCAAGGCGAGGGAGAGGATGGAAAGAGGAGCTTACCTTGTCGCAATACGTGGCGTTGTTCATGTGCAGCTCGCCAAAGCTGTTGTCAAACCCCTTGAGGTACCTGGTGGGGAGGGGGAAAGGAGGGAGGACAGAGGGAGAGGAAGGGAGGAGGGGGGAAAAAACTGTCGCTCAAAGAGGGGAAGACGGTCATGAGGAACAGGAAGACTCAGGAACCTAGAACATAGACGAGAAGGGTCAAGAGGCGTCAAGAGAAGTCAAGAGGAGTCAAGAAGGGTCAAGAGGGGTCAAGAGGGGTTAAGAGGAACCACAGGAGGAGCAAGTCGCACAGCACGACACAGGAAAGGCACAACCGTCACGCAACGTATTGCATCTGATTGTAACACAGTTACCACCTCGCACCCGTAGTTTGCTGACACTGGGTGGCCTCGCTCTGCCCCCAGCTCCCAGGGCAGCACCGGCCTCCTTATAAGCTGATCCGCGTCCATTATAAGCACCCACTCAACGTCATTCGCGTCAGGACTGTTGTCCAGCCAATACTTCACCCCCACTGGCTTATTAATTGCCGGATACCAGTCACCCGTCCTAGGGCCGCGGCTCCAATTAGGGACCACCATAGTTGGAGCAATATCCAGGCCTCTGTACCCCTTAAGAGCATCCTCGTTACAAGCTAGAAGCCGCACGAGCTTCCCTGGCTGCCCTGACCGTTTGAAACTATAAGCCATTGCAACTGACTGCCAGTCCATGTAAGTCGAGCATTCGGCTGAAAATACTGTGATTATACGAGGTGTTCCCTTAACGTGAAACGGGCGCCAGGAGTTCGGATCCAGGCTCGGATCCACCCGAACGTCCACCCCTAGGTTCGGCAAAGGCACGGGTACAGGCGGCCAATCGTCTAACTCCACTACCTCCATAGTAGAGGCGTCTTTAAAGCCTGGTGGTAGAACCGCGCTAGTGTTTTTCCGCCAAGATTTGAACCACCGTTCCAGCTTCTCAGGAGTGTCGGCGATTGGTGTAGATTCCTCCTCCTCTTCTCCCCCTTCTGCTGAATTTTCTTCACCTCCTTCCTCTTCCGCCTCCTTCCCGTCCCCATCCCCCTCCTGCGCTACCCCCTCTCCAGTGTTGACTTTGTCGTCTTCCGCGTTTTCCGCCTCCTTCCTGACCCCCCCTGCCTCCGCCATCCCCTCCTCATCCTCTTCCACCACCTCCGGCGTTCCGCCCTCTGAAGCATTGTCAGGTTGATTCTCCACCCCGTCACTCCTCCGCCCGTTACTGTCACCTTCGGCAGTATCAGCACCAGCAGCAACAGCACCACCGTTAGCAGAACCACCGTTAGCAGCACCAACGGCAGTACCGGCAATGCTTGAGGTCGACGTGGCGGTTGCTGATTGGCCGCTGGCCTGGTTAAACATATTACCGCGCAGAAAGAGGAGGCTTCGCAATGTGGTTCCTGACGTGGCTGTTTTGGGTGATCGCGGATGGTTATCGGTGCTGACGAAATCCAGATGGTCGATAGGAGAGGAGGATGAGGATGAGGCAGTGCTATCATGCAGATCCAGAGGGTTCCGTAATGTGGGTCCCACCAGTGCAGCTACATTGGTCGAACGGGGAATGATATTAATGATGTTGTTGTCCGTGGAGGAGTAGGACGTCAATGACGATAGCGGATCCGCCTTAAGCGAGGCAAGGATCGAGAGGAGGAGGACGAGCAAAAGCAAGCAATAAGGATTTGGATGCATCATGATTACTACGAAGATGTCGAGTGATCGTCGAGGGAAAATGCTTCAGAGGAACCAGCGCGAAAGGAGGATGCGTGTGCACGCTTCAGAATGGCCCAGAAATGATGATGGTAGGAAGCGATGTATTTGTGGGTATGGTCGCGCGTGCTTTAGTGGACGATCCTACAACAAGGATACCTGTGTGGTTCTGTGCATCGAATCTGGTCCATTGGAATGCAAGCATTGGGAATAGGAGGACCGCGAAAGTCAGAAGACTAGGGATAATCAGCCTTGGGAATGAACAGCTTTGCTGAAGTAGCTTTGCTATTTTACCTTATGTATGATTCGGAAAAGATGAAGTTCCCGCTTTTTCTGGATGATCTGGAATTCCCTTGGGAATGCGTTGCATGTCACTTCGGTATTTGGCAGAAGTTTGTGGCGAATGAGACACCACATTCGCATAATTTCGAGATGCGTCACTGTGCCTTTGGTTTCTACATGAGCGAAGCTCGTCATTCCCTAGGATAGGGTCATTGCAGGTGTCGCGAAAGTTACAGATTTCGCGAACCAGCTTACTTGGCTGCCTTCAGGTGATCACTAACATGACAGGGTTGTCAGAGCAAAGTACACTGGTACTCTCGTACATCTCGTTATTGAAATCCACAGGTAACTGGCTGTCAGGGATGACTAGACGGTACCAAACGTTCTTTTACGGTTAAAGCATTTAGGCTTCGGTAGCATGAGTTCACGTTCTGGGATGCCAGAATTTGATCACTTCATAAATTCCTCCGCCATCATCAATGCACCAAGGAATTCCTGAAAGGCTACTTAGGGCGCGTGTCTTTTGGTGTAGATTGTCAAAGTTCGAGCCTAGTACCGCTTTGTAACGTGGCGACACGTCTCTCAACTGTATCCTACCGCGTACAACCTTTCTAAAAGTTCAACTTTTGGCCAAAGTTCAACCTTAAGGACATGCGCCCTTAGTAACTGACCAGGGAAGTTTAGAAGGCGAGGATCCTGTGTCGTCTGAGGCTCCATCAATAACAAGTCATGTTTCATGTCGTTGGACTTCTTCTCTTTCGCTTCTTGTCCTAGCGTCAGAAACCATATCGGTAGATTCTTTCCTAGTTCAAAGCGAACAATTACTAGGATCCCCAGGTTTTGAGAGTTCAGTTCTTGCGAGTCAGTGTCGGATTCGTCTTTCAGTTCCATTACTCTCTCATTGCATTCCTCTCCGTTTTGGAGTTACTGTTCCTGCATATCTGAATCGCCGGTCTTGGTATGACACGTATGCAAGATCCTTCTGGTGATATCAACCTAGACACTTGTCACACATTCACATTTTTTCAAGGCGAAACAGGGCTTCACTGGCCCTTCTTAACGTCCGGAAGCTCCTTTGTCATCCCGATCGCCACTAATCATACTTCCTGAGAACAAATAATTTCACACCTTGTTGTAACTGGTACTGTCGCGATGCCTCCGAAAGGAGGCGGAGGGGCCCGGGGAAGGGGAAGAGCCGCAGCAGGTGGCGGAAGTGGGGGGAGAGGAGGCGGACGCGCGGGGGGTCGAGCGGCGCAAGGGAAAGCGCCGGGGTTTACTGGGAAGCAGTCAGTTCCTACTCCCAGCGGAACTGGCGGAAAGACAGACGCATCAAAGAGAGTTGGGGTTGGAGCTCCTTCGGGCATCTCCTCTGCTGGCCCTACGAGGGTGGAGGGAGGTGGGAATGCCAAGCCGGTGACGCTCATTGGCGGAGGTTTGGGGAAGAATGCGTTTGAACGAGCCACGGAGGTCCGGTTGAGTTCCGAGGCCGAAGAGCAGCTTCGGATGCTGGTTGTTAAGGTGAGAGGAGAGACGATAAGAAGGGCTAAACAGAGTCTGCAGCTATTATGGTTCAATGCTACACCTATGCCATACTCAGTGCTTTTGCCATGTTTCTTGCTCGTTTCCTCAGTTTTTGAAACGCAGAAGACTGAAGGTCCCCATTTTCGGTGTTTTGCTTGTTGTGACGGTTTGACGAATTCATTCAGGCATACGATACCAAGAAAGGTGCGAACGGTAGCAACGCCTTGGATGCTCCTCCTGCTTCGTCATCGTATTCCACAGACAGCGCAGCTGGTCCCATGACACTACTTGAAGAGAAGACTGCCAACAGGCGCATATTATCAGCATACGAAACACTCTCTAGAGAGGGATTTACTGTAGAGCAGGTGGAGAGTGCCCTCTCGTCTCTGGTCCCCTCCTCGCTTTCCCTGGAGGCGGCTTTTGATTGGCTCTGCCTGCACCTGCCACCTCAGCAGCTGCCACGTCACTTCGCGTCTGCAGCTTCCACTGCCACGCTGGCACGAGGTGACGTGGAGGTGGTGCTTGCTGCTGCTGACGTGGAAGGGGAAGGACAGCGAGGCAGCGACGACGCATGGGGAAGAGAGGGAGATGAGGAAGGGGGGAGTAAGGGAAGGTCCTTAGCAGAAGAAGCTGAGAGATTCAGGAAGATGGAAGAAGAGAGGAAAGCAAAAGAAGAGGCAGAGGAGAAGGAGAGAGAGAAGGAGAGGAAGAAGAAGCAAGCGGATTGGATCAAGCGATATGTGACGGAATACGAGAGCGAGGAGGAGGAGAGTGCGAGTGAAGGGAAGGAGGAGGGGGAGGAAGAGGAGGAGGACGACTGGGAGAAGGTAGCGGATAAGGGGGCTTCAGCTGGTTCGACAGCAGGAAACGACTTGCTAAAGGGCTCTCCTCTTTGGGAGGTGAGGCTTGAAAAAACTCTGTAGAGAAAGGGTCCTCTCTTGCTGTTTGTGTAAGCGCTTATCCGCATTTGTGCGTTTTTCATAGTTTTCCTGTCTTGGCCTGTTATGCTGTACGGTATACCCCGTGCTGTTGTTTGTCTGTGCGCTGCTCTGATCTTCTGTGCCGTGTTTGCAGGTTTGGGCCGATGCAAGAGAGAGAAGACGCAGAAAGGATCTCAGGAAAAAGGTAATGGCTTCGACCTTCAGGTGTTCTCTCAGGTGTCTTCTCACTCCGTCATCCTCTCCCACTCCCTTAACAAAAGGTATCGGAGATTTCCCCTTTCTCCCCCTTCCCCACCTCTTCCTCATATTTGTTCTCTCCATCACTAAAGGCATTACAATGCTGTTCTCCCTCTCCCAGCCACTTTTCTCTGAACCTCAAGCTAAACCTTATTAAATCTTGGAGCTAAACCCTAACCCCCCGCCCCCACCCCAGGCCTCAGCAGACCAGCGCATGCAGTCCCTGGCGGCTGATCTGGGGAGGGCTAAGGCCGAGGCGGCAAGGGCGAAGGGGAGCATGGACAAGGGCAGGCAGGCAGAGGCAGGGCTGGTGATCCGCGAGATCAAAGAGGAGGCTGCAGGATATGGTATGGCTTGCGTTTGTTGTGTTACTTTCAAAATGTTAAGGGCGAAGGGGAGCATGGACAAGGGCAGGCAGGCAGAGGTGGGGTTGTTGATCCGCGAGATTAAGGAGGAGGCTGCGCTGCAGGATACGGTGTGGCTGTTACTTCTGTGATGTCTGGAAGGGGTACATGGGCAAGGGCAGTCAGGCAGAGGCTGGGATGCTGATCCGCGAAATCAAGGAGGAGGCTGCAGGATACGGGGTATGTGTGGCTGCTACTTCTGTGATGTCTACCAAGGGGTGCATGGTCAAGGGCAGGCAGGCAGAGGCTGGGATGCTGATTCGCGAGATTAAGGATGAGGCTGCAGCGTATGGTACGGCCCATGCGTTTCTGTGGTTAAGGGAGGTGTACACGTGTGTTATATGACTTGCCTTGCATTGATTCTGCTTTGAAATGAGCATGGACAAGGGCAGGCGAGCAGAGGCTGGGCTGCTGCGAGATTAAGGAGGAGGCTGCAGGATACGGTATGAGCTGTGCAAGGGTAGGGATCTACATGAGTGCTCATATGAATGTTCAAGCCGACAGGCAGAGTTGGATCTAGGGAGGGCCAAGTGGGAGGCAGTATGGGTCTTAAGGGTGCTTGGACAGGCTGTTGATCCGCGAGATCAAGGAGGAGGCTGCAGCATATGGTATGGGGTGGGGGGCATTGCTGTTGCTGAGGGCCGTTGTTGAGGGTGCAGCAGGTTGTTATTCCGAATGCACCCTTAAATAGTCCTTTCTTTGACGCGTTAAGAGCCATTGAGGTGTTCTCTTCTTGCTGCAGGCTATTTGGAATCTATGCTCGAAGAGGCGAGCCTGCAGCAGCAGCAGCAGCAGCAGCAGCAGCAGCAGCAGATACACTAACATTCGCTTTGCGTGTTTACATGTGCTGGTGGTGCAGGTTATTCTGAGTCGATGCTTGAAGAGGCTAACCAGCAGCAGCAGCGGGTTGCTGCAGAAGAGGATGAGGAAACCGAGGAAGAGGAGGGAGGGTTTGGGCTGTTTGGGGAGGACGACGAGGAGGAGGAAACGCCGTTGGAAAGGGGAGGGAAATCAGCAAGTGGAGAAAGGGCAGGAGCAGGGGCAGGAGCAACAGGAAAGGCAGCAGAAAAGGAGGGAGAAGAAGAGGATATGGGGCTGGAAGGAATGTCTCTCTTTGATGATGAGAGTGATGGGGGAGGGGGAGGGGAAGGGGGAAAGGGCGCAGCAGCAGCACTGCCGGAGTCTGTGCTAGCACTGCAGAGGAAGAGTGCTAGGGAGAGAGCGTGGCAGCAGCAGCAGCAGCAGCAGCAGATGTTGGCCGGTGGCAGGGGGGGAGGGAAGGGGGCAGGGAAGGATAAGAAAGGGAAGGATGCTGCTGCTGCGGACTTGCAAAGGCAGCCCAAGGCTCTGCTGCAGCAGCACTGCCTTAAAGCCCTCTGGCCCGCTCCCAAGTACACGAAGCTTCCAGGAAGCAGTGGGCCGGGGAAAATTAGCTACTCGGTGATGGTGGTCCGGCAGGGAGGGAGGGGAGGATCAGGGAGAGGGGGAGCTGGAGGGGGGAAGGGAGGGGGGGTAAGGGTAGGGCCTATCACGTTCCAGGTGCCAGCAGCAGAGGACGGGTTCGAGAGTGTGTCAGACGCACAGAATGCTGTGGCCCTCCTGGCACTGCATGCCCTGCTGCCGCACATGCCTCTGCACCATCAGCTGGTTTCTCCTTACCGAGAGCAGTGGCTCGAGCTGGCAGAGAAAGCAGGTGAGTTGTGGTGCTGGCAGCAGAGGATGGGTTCGAGAGTGTGTCAGATGCACAGAACGCTGTGGCCCTGCTGGCACCGCATGCGCTGCTGCCGCACATGCCTCTACACCATCAGCTGGTTTCTCCGTATCGAGAGCAGTGGCTGGAACTGGCAGAAAAAGCAGGTGAGTCGGTTGTGAGCGACAGCATCAGAGGATGGGTTTGAGAGTGTGAGATGCTCAGAACGCAGTAACTCTGCTGGCGCTGCACGCGCTGCTGCTCCACATGCCTCTGCACCATCAGCTTGTCTCCCCTTATCGAGAGCAGTGGCTGGAACTGGCAGAAAAATCAGGTGAATTTGTTAAGGTAAATTTGTTATATGACATCTCACAGTCTGTTTCATTAGGTGACATAACTTCTTCATTCGACAGCATCCAGCCTCACAAGACGCAGTGGCTCTTCTGGCCTGGCCATTCTGGCCTGGCCGTTCTTCATTTCGCTCTCCCGTTTCCTCTTGCGTCAACTCATACTCTTTGCTTCTTCCACGACTGACGCCCGGTGTGCTCTCCCAGATGCTGCAGAGACGAGCAGCAGCAGCGCTGCTGCTGCAGCAGAAGCAGCAGCGAGGCACCAAGTCAAGTTCGCTGCAGCACTCGTGGATAAGGAGATTAGAGCTAGGGAGGCTGCTGCTGCTGGTGGTACTGCTGCTGCTGCTCGTACTAGTGATGCTGAAGAGAGCGCGCTAGAAGATGCAGAAGCAGTGGAGTCGACTGGTGGAGGGCAGAAGAAGCAAAGAGTTCCTTTCCTTGGGGAAGAGGAAGGTGAGTAATGGGAACAAGGCATTTATTTCCATCTTAGCTTCTCAAAACTTGAGTAATGGGAACAAGAGCTCTTGTGGTACTCATATATGGTCCTCCCATGAAGAGGTTTTTCCTCTCTCATACTTTCCCTCTGCCCTCTTCCCCCTCCCAGACCCTGCTGTGGTGCGCAGGAGGGAGGCTAAGAGCCGGAAAACGGCTCGCAAGAGTCACAATGTTCCTTGTTCCTCTCTACATTTCCCTCTTCCCCATTTTCCCCCTCCCAGGCCCTGCTGTGGTGCGCAGGAGGGAGGCTCAGAGCCGCGAGCTGCAGCAGCGGTGGCGGCAGTGGCAGGCACTGGCAGTTGGAGGAGCAGTGGGGACAGGAGGGACAGGAGGAACAGGAGGGACCAAGAGCAACGATATGAAAGAGTCAAGAGAGGCCAGGGAGGCGAGTGAGAGGAGGGCGATGCAGGAGATGAAGAGGAAGCGGGGAGAGCTACCAATGGCAGCAGTGAGGGAGGAGCTGCTGCGGGCGTTGAGGGAGGGGGATGTGGTGGTGGTGAGTGGGGAGACCGGGTCGGGCAAGACCACTCAGGTGCCGCAGTATATCTTTGAGGACGCGGAAGCTTCGGGGAAGGCGGGATTCTGCAACATCGTGTGCACGCAGCCTCGGCGAATCGCTGTGAGTCGATAATATATGTATATGGGTATGTAATGTATCATTACAGCTCTTTGAACTTCACTGGGAATCCACCTGTGTTTCACTCCTCACCCTCTCTCCCCCTCTTTCACCCTCCCAGGCCATATCAGTAGCAGAGCGGGTGGCAGCAGAGCGGTGTGAGCCACCCGTAGGGAGTGGCGGCAGGGGAGGAGGTGGTGGTGGTGCAGGCGTGGTTGGTTACCACGTGAGGCTGGATGCTGTCAAGTGAGTGGGGGCTTTGGCATGTAAATCAATGTGAGTCAATGCGAGTCAATGTGAGTCAACAGGTTGGCGTGGCATGGCATACTAGCAGTGTGAGCCCCTGACAGGGAGTGGTGGCAGGGGAGGTGGAGGTCCTGCAGGCGTGGTTGGTTACCAGCGATGTGAGGCCTCCATACAGAGTGGCAGACAGGGAGGCAGTGGTGCTGCAGTTGTGGTTGGGTACCACGTGAAGCTGGGCGCTGTCAAGTGAGTGCGCGTGTGTGCTTGGTCTAGTCGTCTTGTGAGGGAATCTGGAGTCTTTGAATAGAAATACCAGTAGTTAGTCTCGCTTTACTGAGCATTCACCAAGTGGTGCTGAGCTTTTTTTTTAATCCAAAATTTTTTCATTCTGTCCCATTTTCCTCGTTTTTGGTGTGTTTTTTCTACCCTTTCCCCTTCCCAGAACCTGGTACACGCGCATCCTCTTCTGCACAACAGGAATCCTCTTACGAAGGCTTGTGGGTGACCCTCTCCTGTCAGACGTGACCCACGTAGTGGTGGACGAGGTGCATGAGCGCTCCATCCAAGGCGACTTCCTCCTCGTCATCCTCAGAGACCTGCTGGCGCGCCGCCAGGAGATGAGACGACAGATGCCGCACCTCCCTTCGTTTAAGCTCGTGCTCATGTGAGTGTTTGGTGGGTGGGTAGGCTGCTGATGGGTGCGTGCTGGCGGTCCCTCTGCCCTCTGCCGTGCAGGCAGGCAGGTGGGTGGGTGGGTGCTGGTGGGTGCGTGCTGGTGGGTAGGTTCCTCGATCCTCCATCCAAGGCGACTTCCTCCTCGTCATCCTCCGAGACCTGCTGGCGCGCCGCCAGGAGATGAGACGACAGATGCCGCACCTCCCATCCTTCAAGCTCATGCTCATATGAGTGCCTCACAGGCAGCCTTTGGAATCGCCCTTCCTCACTTCCCCCCCTGTCTTCCTCCCCTCTCTCCCTCTGCTCTCTTCCTCTCCGAATCCCCTTTCTCCTCCCCCTCGCTCTCTCCCCTCTTTTCCCCCACTTCTCTTTCTCCTCCTCTTCTCACTCTCCACCCTCTGCCTCCCCTCGTTCTCCCCTTCAATCCCTACAATCTCTCCCACACCACCCTTTCCCCCCTCCCCTCCTCCCTTCAGGTCAGCCACTATAGATGCCTCTCTCTTCGCCTCCTAATTCTCACCCTGCCGAGTCATCCAAGCCCAAATGCGAAACTCCCTCTCTTTCCTCCCTCCCTCCGTCTCCCCCTCCTCTCTTCCTTCCTTTTCTCTCCTCCCCTCAGGTCAGCCACTCTCGACGCTTCTCTCTTTGCATCCTACTTCTCCGGCTGCCCTGTCATCCAAGCCCAGGGCCGCACCTTCCCTGTGGAGATGAAGTACCTAGAGGACGTGTATGAGAGCACGGGATACAAGCTCTCTTCAGACTCGCCCGCTGCTCTCAGATCCGAATCCCATCAGTCCGCCAAGGTACAGTTCAAGGTTAGATAGGGGTGGGTGAGCGTCCGCTGGTAGAGTAGAGATAAGATGATGTTTGATGCAATCCAATGTGAATCCCATCAGTCCCGAGCCAGGGTACACTCACCATGGCTTGATAGATAGGGGTGAGCGTCCCCTGGTAGAGTAGAGATGAGGTGATGAGATGATAAGATGATGCAATCCGATCTGATTGACGAGGAGCCTTCTCATCAGGAGACCCCTTTTGTTCCGATGGAAAACCCCTTTGTTGCGCCCTGCTTGTGCCACACCCTCCCACACCCACGCCTCAGGGTTCCAAGGCAGCAGCGGGAGGTGGTAGCAAGACCAAGCAGAAACTGCTGAAGGCAGGATGGGGCGATGATGCTTCTTTGCAGGCTGAAACAGTGAATCCGGATTACGATGCCTCGCGATACAGCGACTACAGCGACAGAACCCGAACCAATCTGGTGAGCAGAAGCACTTTTGAGTCGACTCAATAGTCATTATGATGCCTCACGATCCAGCGACTACAGCGGCTACAGCGGCTACAGCGACAGCACCCGAAAAAATCTGGAGAGCAGAACCTGTTCCTGAAGAGCTGATAAGAAGTATTTATGGTGCAATTCTCAGCAACATCTCGTGCTTCCGATTTTGAGGCGCCTTCAAAAACAGAGGTGCTTCTGTAGAGCTAGTTATAGGATTTACTTTTGGTTCAAATTTCAGGAACCTCATGTGCTTCCATCCCTTCTCCCTCCGTTCTTTCCTTTTCCCTGCCATTCACTCCGTGCTCAACTCACACTCCCCACCCTGTCTCCCTCCCCACCACCCGCCCACTCTACAACAAACACCAGCGGCGGCTGGACGAGGGCACGATACACTACGAGCTACTTGAGGACGTGGTTGCTCACATCGACGCCACATGGCCCCCAGGTGCCATCCCTCGTGGCTCTCTTCTGTGCTCCCTAGCTCACATGATGTGTTCCTTCACCCCTGTGCCTCCCTCCCTGCGCCCCCCACACTCAACACACCAGCGGCGGCTGGACGAGGGGGCGATAGACTACGAGCTACTGGAGGACGTGGTTGCTCACATCACATCGACTCCAAATGCCCCCTGGGTGCCATCCCTCGTGGCTCTCTTCTGTGCTCCCCCCAACCCCTGTGCCATCACACTCACCTGATGTGTTCCATCACCCCTGTGCCTCCCCGATAACACCACCAGCGGCGGCTGGACGAGGGAACAATAGACTATGAGCTACTGGAGGACGTGGTTGCTCACATCGATGCCACATGCCCCTTGGCGCCATCCCTGTACCTCCTGGTCACCCCAACACCACCCCACCACCATCCTCTCTTTACCCAACACCCTGTGCCTCCCAACTGTGCCTTTCAAACACCAGCGGCGGCTGGACGAGGGAACGATAGACTATGAGCTACTGGAGGACGTGGTTGCTCACATCGACTCCACATGCTCCCCAGGAGCCATCCTCGTCTTCCTGCCTGTGAGCTGCGCTGAGTGCCGCCTATCTGCCTACTCTCCTCTCCTCACTCATCGTCTGCCTGCTTGACACACTAGTCTGTCAGAGTGTCAACTCCACATGCGGCCCAGGAGCCATCCTCGTCTTCCTGCCTGTGAGCTGCGCTGGTCACGAGCCTTCATCTCTCGTCTCTGTCTGCATGCTGCCAACCATGTGTGTGTCTCATCTATTGCATCTGTTACCATAACGCACATGTTACCATAACGCACCTATTACCATAACGCACATGTTACCATAACGCACCTGTTACCATAACGCACATATTACCATAACGCACCTGTTACCATAACGCACCTGTTACCATAAAGCACCTGTTACCACAATGCACCTGTTACCATAACGCACCTGTTACCATAACGCACCTGTTACCATAACTCACCTGTTACCATAACGCACATGTTACCATAACGCACCTGTTACCATAACGCACCTGTTACCATAACGCACCTGTTACCATAACGCACCTGTTACCATAACGCACCTGTTACCATAACGCACCTGTTACCATAACTCACCTGTTACCATAACGCACCTGTTACAATAACGCACCTGTTACCATAACGCACCTGTTATTGTAACGCACCTGTTACAATAACGCACCTGTTACCATAACGCACCTGTTACAATAACGCACCTGTTATTGTAACGCACATGTTACCATAACGCACCATACCTTTGAGCCCCATGGCTGTGAAACCCATCTCTATAAACATCACATTTGTCTACCCCTCCCCAGGGCATGGGCGAGATTCAGTACCTGTGGGACAGGCTGGCAGCCTCGAGGCAGTTTGGGGCGCCAGGGAAGGTGGAGTGGCTGCTGCCTGCTTTCACTACATCACCACCTGTGATCTGGTAAATCTTTAACCATCCCTCCCCTTCTCCCTCCCTCACTCATCAGGGCATGGGCGAGATTCAGTACCTGTGGGACAGGCTGGCAGCTTCGAGGCAGTTTGGGGCGCCGGGGAAGGTGGAGTGGCTGCTGCCGCTGCACTCATCTGTCTCTGCGGCCGAGCAGCGGCAAGCGTTCAACAGCCCTCCCAGTGGCGTGCGCAAGGTTAGCTAATGCCTCGTGTTCTTGTGACCCTGCTCTTGTTTTAAGTCGAGTCGCCTCGTTTGTCTCATCCGGGGATGGTGGCGTGGCTGCTGCCGCTGCACTCATCTGTGTCTGCAGCCAAGCAGCGGGCAGCATTCAACAGCCGTCCCAGCGGAGTGCCCAAGGTGAGCTGTGCTGTTCTCTGGGTGGACTCAAGGGTGTATGTGGTGAACGTGCGCTGCTGTGCTTTCCATGTCCAAACTGTGTGGTTGCCTCCCTTCTCGCCGTCTCCTTTCTCACTCTCACCGGTTGGTTCTGGCGACCAAGCTAGCAGAGACGAGCAGCACCGTCGATGGTGTGGTGTGGTGTATGTGGTGGACGGATGGTGGTGTGCTTTCCGTGCCTAACCTCTGTGCCTAACCTCTGTGCCTAACCTCTGTGCCTAACCTCTGTGCCTAACCTCTGTGCCTAACCTCTGTGCCTAACCTCTGTGCCTAACCTCTGTGCCTAACCTCTGTGCCTAACCTCTGTGCCTAACCTCTGTGCCTAACCTCTGTGCCTAACCTCTGTGCCTAACCTCTGTGCCTAACCTCTGTGCCTAACCTCTGTGCCTAACCTCTGTGCCTAACCTCTGTGCCTAACCTCTGTGCCTAACCTCTGCCTAACCTCTGTGCCTAACCTCTGTGCCTGTGGTGACGTCCCTTCTCATCATCCTTCCGTTCTCACCTCCTTTGTTCGTTTCTCCCCAGGTGGTGCTGGCGACGAAGATAGCAGAGACGAGCATCACCATTGACGATGTGGTGTATGTGGTGGACGTGTGGTGCTGTGCTGCTTCCTATGCTTCATATGCCCACACTGTGTGATTTCCTCTCATCGTTCCCTTCTCACCCCCCTCTCTTGCTTTCCCCATCCCAGGTGGTGCTGGCGACCAACATAGCAGAGACGAGCATCACCATTGACGATGTGGTGTATGTGGTGGACGTGGGGAAGCAGAAGGAGACGCAGTTCGATGCCAGGAGGGTGAGTGGGTGCATGAATGCACGAAGCATGTGTTGGGCCACGTGTTGACCTTGCAGCTCCATGCCAGTATTACAGGGAGTATCACCATCGACGATGTGGTGTGTGCGGTGGACGTGGGCAAGCAGAAGGAGACGCAGTTCGACGCCAGGAGGGTGAGTGCGTGCATGAGGCACGTGTTGGGCCATGTGTTGACATAAGGCCGCGTGCTGGTGTTCCATCAAGTATCACCATCGATGATGTGGTGTATGTGGTGGATGTGGGCCAGCAGAAGGAGACGCAGTTTGACGCCACGACGGTGAGTTCATGAAGTATCATGACTCTCTGAATGCTCCGAATCACAGCTCTACGCTGTAACTGCACCTTAAGTTGTACCCGTTTTCCAAAGTGCCTCAAAAGGCAGTCCTGCGCTGTAACAGCACCCTAAGTTGCACCCGCGTTCTGAAAAATGTGAGACAAAGAGCTTTTCAAAGCACTTGAAGAAAGGAACCTTCTTTTGAGCGTGCTGCAGGCAGGGCGGGGCGAGTGCAGGCAGGGCGCTACTTTGTCCAGTCTCCTTCCCACTCCCCCCACCATTCCCACTCCTCCCACTGTTCCCTGTAAAACACAGGGCATGACCAGTCTGGTGGAGGCGTGGGTGGCCAAGGCGAACGTGGGGCAGAGGGCTACATGAGGTTCCCACAGTAATGACCTTTTGCTCTAACGTGCATTTCTCCCCCCTCCCACTGGCCCCACTCCGCCCACAGGGCATGACCAGTCTAGTGGAGGCATGGGTGGCCAAGGCGAACGTGAGGCAGAGAGCTGGCAGGGCGGGGCGAGTGCAGGCAGGGCGGTACTTTGCCCTCTTTACCCGCCACCGCTTTGAAACCATCATGCGGCCCTTCCAGGTGGGTTAGCAGTCACTCTGCATGGGATATATTTGGGGCAGGCAGAGCGGGGAGAGTGCAGGCAGGGCGGTACTTTGCTCTCTTTACCCGCCACCGCTTTGAAAACATCATGCGGCCCTTCCAGGTGGGCTAGAGATCTCGTGCATCGAATGGCATGGGAATCAGGGAAGCGATTGGTGTATGCATGTGGGGCGCCACGTGTATAGAGTGAATTTTTATTTTTTTGACACGATTGGTGTAAAGAGCAAAAATTCACTCTTTACACGATTGGTGTATGCATGCGGGGCGCTCTGGGCAGGGCAGGGAGAGAGTGCAGAGAGAGGGGGCAGGGCGTTATTTCGCCCTCTTCACCCGCCACCACTTTGAAACCATCATGCGACCCTTCCAGGTGGGCTAGCAGTCATTCCGTATGGGGCATTCGGCTTATCAGCGAGTACCTCTGGTGACACTGCTTGCAGATCAGATCAAGCTGCTGGAGCTTGCTTCTCGCTCTTCTCACCATTTCCTCTCCATGTTCGCTCGCCCCCCTCACCTCTCCATGTTCGCTCGCCCCCCTCACCTCTCCCCTTGCCTCTCTTTTTTCCCTTCCCCCCAACAGCAACCGGAGATCCAGCGAGTGCCTCTGGTGGAGCTGTGCTTGCAGATCCATTCAATTGTCCCTCTGCTATGAAATGTTCCCCTCACCTCTCCCCTCGCTCTTCTCTCCTTGCTCTCTGCCACCCAACAGCAACCGGAGATCCAGCGAGTGCCTCTGGTGGAGCTGTGCCTGCAGATCAAGCTGCTGGACTTGGGCACGCCAGCACATTTTCTCAGCAAGGTAAGGAGGTTTTTTTAACAGGTTGTTTTCGTGAAAATGATATTTAATACAGTTTTATTTTCACCACCCAATCTCGGCTGCAGGCCAGAGAGCCAAACTCTTAGGTGCCTCAGAAATAGCACTTTTCACAACCCATCTCTGCTGCACTGCACTCCACCCCCACCTCTCTGGCATGCTCTCTAAAATGAACTCTTCCCCACCCACCACCCATGTCTGCTACAGGCGATTGAGCCGCCCAAAGAGGAGGCGGTGAGGAGTGCGATGAAGACCCTGAGGGAGGTGGGGGCGGTGGACGAGAGGGAGGAGCTCACTGCTCTGGGTACACACTTGGCTGCCCTGCCGGTTGACGTTCGCATAGGCAAGGTGGGTGTCTCGTGGCATTTGGGAATCACTTTTGAGAATTCTCAAAAGTGCTCTGGGTACACACTTGGCTGCTCTGCCTGTCGACGTTCGCCACCCCTGTGATGGTTGCCCGTGATCGTGCTGCCACTCCACCTCACTCCACCCTGTCCCACCCCACCTATCCCATTCCACCGCACTCCACCGCACTCCACCGCACCCTATCATGGCAGATGATGATCTACGGGGCAGTCATGGGGTGTCTCAGCACGGCGCTCACCATTGCTGCCTGCCTCAGCTACCGCTCCCCCTTCTCCTCCTCCTTCCACGATGTAAGTGTTACCATAGCCACACCTCTTCTACCACACTCCGCCTCTCTGCCCTTCTCTCCCACTCTCCTCCTCTCTACCCTCCCTACCACTTTCCTCCTCCCTGTCTGAGTTTCTCAGCACACTGCTCTTAAATCCAAATCTCGAGATTCCGACCCAGACGCAAGCTCATAGGAAGCAAGTACCACTGATACAGATTCGTCTTATCCTAGGCATAAACCCCACCCTTTCAAACACTCTCCTCCTCTCTGCCATTCTGCTCTGCCTGTCTTTCTCAGCGCAAAGCAGCTGCCAGGGCAAGGCAGGCCCTTGTAGCCAAAGCTCGAGAAGCAGACCCAGATGCAACCTCCCGTGAAGCGGGAGGCAAGCAAGGAGAGGAGAGCTGGGATGATGAAGATAGTGAGGACGAGGACGAGGATGAAGGGTGGGAGTCTCAGGCAGAAAAGGAGTCAGCAGGGGGAAAAGGAGGGAAAGGAGCAGGAGAAGCAGGGGGGAAGGGAGAGCGGGGAGCAGGTGTGAGTGGGGACGACAGGGCGTGGAACATGGCGCGGGGGCAGCAGTCGGACCATCTCGCTATGGCCTCAGCCTACAATGGCTGGGTGCTTGCTCTCCAGGTGCGTCTGGTGGTTCTCCGAGTGGGTTTCTTTTGAGTCCAGCTCAGCAGGAGTGGGTGGGGGTGGGGACGACAGGGCGTGGAACATGGCGCGGGGGCAGCAGTCGGACCATCTCGCTATGGCCTCAGCCTACAATGGCTGGGTGCTTGCTCTCCAGGTGCGTCTGGTGGTTCTCCGAGTGGGTTTCTTTTGAGTCCAGCTCAGCAGGAGTGGGTGGGGGTGGGGACGACAGGGCGTGGAACATGGCGCGGGGGCAGCAGTCGGACCATCTCGCTATGGCCTCAGCCTACAATGGCTGGGTGCTTGCTCTCCAGGTGCGTCTGGTGGTTCTCCGAGTGGGTTTCTTTTGAGTCCAGCTCAGCAGGAGTGGGTGGGGGTGGGGACGACAGGGCGTGGAACATGGCGCGGGGGCAGCAGTCGGACCATCTCGCTATGGCCTCAGCCTACAATGGCTGGGTGCTTGCTCTCCAGGTGCGTCTGGTGGTTCTCCGAGTGGGTTTCTTTTGAGTCCAGCTCAGCAGGAGTGGGTGGGGGTGGGGACGACAGGGCGTGGAACATGGCGCGGGGGCAGCAGTCGGACCATCTCGCTATGGCCTCAGCCTACAATGGCTGGGTGCTTGCTCTCCAGGTGCGTCTGGTGGTTCTCCGAGTGGGTTTCTTTTGAGTCCAGCTCAGCAGGAGTGGGTGGGGGTGGGGACGACAGGGCGTGGAACATGGCGCGGGGGCAGCAGTCGGACCATCTCGCTATGGCCTCAGCCTACAATGGCTGGGTGCTTGCTCTCCAGGTGCGTCTGGTGGTTCTCCGAGTGGGTTTCTTTTGAGTCCAGCTCAGCAGGAGTGGGTGGGGGTGGGGACGACAGGGCGTGGAACATGGCGCGGGGGCAGCAGTCGGACCATCTCGCTATGGCCTCAGCCTACAATGGCTGGGTGCTTGCTCTCCAGGTGCGTCTGGTGGTTCTCCGAGTGGGTTTCTTTTGAGTCCAGCTCAGCAGGAGTGGGTGGGGGTGGGGACGACAGGGCGTGGAACATGGCGCGGGGGCAGCAGTCGGACCATCTCGCTATGGCCTCAGCCTACAATGGCTGGGTGCTTGCTCTCCAGGTGCGTCTGGTGGTTCTCCGAGTGGGTTTCTTTTGAGTCCAGCTCAGCAGGAGTGGGTGGGGGTGGGGACGACAGGGCGTGGAACATGGCGCGGGGGCAGCAGTCGGACCATCTCGCTATGGCCTCAGCCTACAATGGCTGGGTGCTTGCTCTCCAGGTGCGTCTGGTGGTTCTCCGAGTGGGTTTCTTTTGAGTCCAGCTCAGCAGGAGTGGGTGGGGGTGGGGACGACAGGGCGTGGAACATGGCGCGGGGGCAGCAGTCGGACCATCTCGCTATGGCCTCAGCCTACAATGGCTGGGTGCTTGCTCTCCAGGTGCGTCTGGTGGTTCTCCGAGTGGGTTTCTTTTGAGTCCAGCTCAGCAGGAGTGGGTGGGGGTGGGGACGACAGGGCGTGGAACATGGCGCGGGGGCAGCAGTCGGACCATCTCGCTATGGCCTCAGCCTACAATGGCTGGGTGCTTGCTCTCCAGGTGCGTCTGGTGGTTCTCCGAGTGGGTTTCTTTTGAGTCCAGCTCAGCAGGAGTGGGTGGGGGTGGGGACGACAGGGCGTGGAACATGGCGCGGGGGCAGCAGTCGGACCATCTCGCTATGGCCTCAGCCTACAATGGCTGGGTGCTTGCTCTCCAGGTGCGTCTGGTGGTTCTCCGAGTGGGTTTCTTTTGAGTCCAGCTCAGCAGGAGTGGGTGGGGGTGGGGACGACAGGGCGTGGAACATGGCGCGGGGGCAGCAGTCGGACCATCTCGCTATGGCCTCAGCCTACAATGGCTGGGTGCTTGCTCTCCAGGTGCGTCTGGTGGTTCTCCGAGTGGGTTTCTTTTGAGTCCAGCTCAGCAGGAGTGGGTGGGGGTGGGGACGACAGGGCGTGGAACATGGCGCGGGGGCAGCAGTCGGACCATCTCGCTATGGCCTCAGCCTACAATGGCTGGGTGCTTGCTCTCCAGGTGCGTCTGGTGGTTCTCCGAGTGGGTTTCTTTTGAGTCCAGCTCAGCAGGAGTGGGTGGGGGTGGGGACGACAGGGCGTGGAACATGGCGCGGGGGCAGCAGTCGGACCATCTCGCTATGGCCTCAGCCTACAATGGCTGGGTGCTTGCTCTCCAGGTGCGTCTGGTGGTTCTCCGAGTGGGTTTCTTTTGAGTCCAGCTCAGCAGGAGTGGGTGGGGGTGGGGACGACAGGGCGTGGAACATGGCGCGGGGGCAGCAGTCGGACCATCTCGCTATGGCCTCAGCCTACAATGGCTGGGTGCTTGCTCTCCAGGTGCGTCTGGTGGTTCTCCGAGTGGGTTTCTTTTGAGTCCAGCTCAGCAGGAGTGGGTGGGGGTGGGGACGACAGGGCGTGGAACATGGCGCGGGGGCAGCAGTCGGACCATCTCGCTATGGCCTCAGCCTACAATGGCTGGGTGCTTGCTCTCCAGGTGCGTCTGGTGGTTCTCCGAGTGGGTTTCTTTTGAGTCCAGCTCAGCAGGAGTGGGTGGGGGTGGGGACGACAGGGCGTGGAACATGGCGCGGGGGCAGCAGTCGGACCATCTCGCTATGGCCTCAGCCTACAATGGCTGGGTGCTTGCTCTCCAGGTGCGTCTGGTGGTTCTCCGAGTGGGTTTCTTTTGAGTCCAGCTCAGCAGGAGTGGGTGGGGGTGGGGACGACAGGGCGTGGAACATGGCGCGGGGGCAGCAGTCGGACCATCTCGCTATGGCCTCAGCCTACAATGGCTGGGTGCTTGCTCTCCAGGTGCGTCTGGTGGTTCTCCGAGTGGGTTTCTTTTGAGTCCAGCTCAGCAGGAGTGGGTGGGGGTGGGGACGACAGGGCGTGGAACATGGCGCGGGGGCAGCAGTCGGACCATCTCGCTATGGCCTCAGCCTACAATGGCTGGGTGCTTGCTCTCCAGGTGCGTCTGGTGGTTCTCCGAGTGGGTTTCTTTTGAGTCCAGCTCAGCAGGAGTGGGTGGGGGTGGGGACGACAGGGCGTGGAACATGGCGCGGGGGCAGCAGTCGGACCATCTCGCTATGGCCTCAGCCTACAATGGCTGGGTGCTTGCTCTCCAGGTGCGTCTGGTGGTTCTCCGAGTGGGTTTCTTTTGAGTCCAGCTCAGCAGGAGTGGGTGGGGGTGGGGACGACAGGGCGTGGAACATGGCGCGGGGGCAGCAGTCGGACCATCTCGCTATGGCCTCAGCCTACAATGGCTGGGTGCTTGCTCTCCAGGTGCGTCTGGTGGTTCTCCGAGTGGGTTTCTTTTGAGTCCAGCTCAGCAGGAGTGGGTGGGGGTGGGGACGACAGGGCGTGGAACATGGCGCGGGGGCAGCAGTCGGACCATCTCGCTATGGCCTCAGCCTACAATGGCTGGGTGCTTGCTCTCCAGGTGCGTCTGGTGGTTCTCCGAGTGGGTTTCTTTTGAGTCCAGCTCAGCAGGAGTGGGTGGGGGTGGGGACGACAGGGCGTGGAACATGGCGCGGGGGCAGCAGTCGGACCATCTCGCTATGGCCTCAGCCTACAATGGCTGGGTGCTTGCTCTCCAGGTGCGTCTGGTGGTTCTCCGAGTGGGTTTCTTTTGAGTCCAGCTCAGCAGGAGTGGGTGGGGGTGGGGACGACAGGGCGTGGAACATGGCGCGGGGGCAGCAGTCGGACCATCTCGCTATGGCCTCAGCCTACAATGGCTGGGTGCTTGCTCTCCAGGTGCGTCTGGTGGTTCTCCGAGTGGGTTTCTTTTGAGTCCAGCTCAGCAGGAGTGGGTGGGGGTGGGGACGACAGGGCGTGGAACATGGCGCGGGGGCAGCAGTCGGACCATCTCGCTATGGCCTCAGCCTACAATGGCTGGGTGCTTGCTCTCCAGGTGCGTCTGGTGGTTCTCCGAGTGGGTTTCTTTTGAGTCCAGCTCAGCAGGAGTGGGTGGGGGTGGGGACGACAGGGCGTGGAACATGGCGCGGGGGCAGCAGTCGGACCATCTCGCTATGGCCTCAGCCTACAATGGCTGGGTGCTTGCTCTCCAGGTGCGTCTGGTGGTTCTCCGAGTGGGTTTCTTTTGAGTCCAGCTCAGCAGGAGTGGGTGGGGGTGGGGACGACAGGGCGTGGAACATGGCGCGGGGGCAGCAGTCGGACCATCTCGCTATGGCCTCAGCCTACAATGGCTGGGTGCTTGCTCTCCAGGTGCGTCTGGTGGTTCTCCGAGTGGGTTTCTTTTGAGTCCAGCTCAGCAGGAGTGGGTGGGGGTGGGGACGACAGGGCGTGGAACATGGCGCGGGGGCAGCAGTCGGACCATCTCGCTATGGCCTCAGCCTACAATGGCTGGGTGCTTGCTCTCCAGGTGCGTCTGGTGGTTCTCCGAGTGGGTTTCTTTTGAGTCCAGCTCAGCAGGAGTGGGTGGGGGTGGGGACGACAGGGCGTGGAACATGGCGCGGGGGCAGCAGTCGGACCATCTCGCTATGGCCTCAGCCTACAATGGCTGGGTGCTTGCTCTCCAGGTGCGTCTGGTGGTTCTCCGAGTGGGTTTCTTTTGAGTCCAGCTCAGCAGGAGTGGGTGGGGGTGGGGACGACAGGGCGTGGAACATGGCGCGGGGGCAGCAGTCGGACCATCTCGCTATGGCCTCAGCCTACAATGGCTGGGTGCTTGCTCTCCAGGTGCGTCTGGTGGTTCTCCGAGTGGGTTTCTTTTGAGTCCAGCTCAGCAGGAGTGGGTGGGGGTGGGGACGACAGGGCGTGGAACATGGCGCGGGGGCAGCAGTCGGACCATCTCGCTATGGCCTCAGCCTACAATGGCTGGGTGCTTGCTCTCCAGGTGCGTCTGGTGGTTCTCCGAGTGGGTTTCTTTTGAGTCCAGCTCAGCAGGAGTGGGTGGGGGTGGGGACGACAGGGCGTGGAACATGGCGCGGGGGCAGCAGTCGGACCATCTCGCTATGGCCTCAGCCTACAATGGCTGGGTGCTTGCTCTCCAGGTGCGTCTGGTG